ATAGCTTCAAAGTGACTATTTACCTAACGCTACTCAAACTGTTATGTTAAGGGGATTGCATGCGGTCAGTTATTTTGATGAATTAAATCAAAACCCAGCCAAATTTTCGAATACTTAGGTTGGCCCAATTTTAATTCTGTAGATACATACGTGTTCTTTGGCAAATTTTTTTTATGTTGTTTATTATTTAATAACTTGCAAATTCCATTTTTCTAACTACAAGAAACTGAAATTTTAAATAAAAAAAAAATTGTTCATAACAAAGTAATGTAGCCAAAAAACTCGAATATTTTTGATATACTGAAATTGGACCAACCTATGTTGTCGAAATTTTATCGGACTTTTTGGTCTAAAATAAACCAAAATGGCCAATACCCATAGAAAAAATTATTTATATTAAAAATTATACCTTGGAGCTATATAAAGTTCCTGGTAAATAAATTTGCATGGTCGAAATTGATTAAAACCTCTCTTTTCCTTTAATATTGGGTATAAAAAACTCCGTTTAATTATAGGAATAGATTTTTTTAAATATAAAATAAATAATGTATTCGGTTTTCTTTTACAATTTAATATTTATACAGTATCACTTGGTATACTGGTACTATTTACCCCGTTCACTTATATTTTGAACCGATTTAAAAAAAAAAACTATAGCTTGTTTTTTATTTATAAATCATCTGAAAATAAAAAAAATCTTACTTGTAGCATAAGCCTCTCTGATGTGTTTGTCTGTATTAAATTATTTCAAACTTATGTATAAAATTGATAAAATAAAATAAAAATGTTAATGAAAATTTGGTACTGACTTGTTATGCTAACCAAATTTGCATATTCTCCTATGACGAAGAATTACATGTTAAATTTTCCATTCAGATTTTCAACTTTCTTGAAGAGGTACGAGTAAAAATTAAATTATTACCTGTCATTATCGGCGAAACGTTCACAAAAGCAATCGTTATTAAAATGCAAAGAAGCTTCATAATGCTGGACAATATAGTTGAAACAATTCAAATAATATAACGTATGAGAAAGGTATGAATTATAATAGCTTGTTTTACTTTTTGCGTTACAGTGATTTCCTTGCAACTAGTCGTAAGGCCGGTGTGTCGATATGTCAACCAAAGAAGTGAAATGAAAATATATCGTGCAGTATGCAAAGCACTATATTATTTCAGAAAAATTTAGTGCGACGATTGTATTACAAAGTAAATAACGTATACAGGGTAATTTTTTTATCGTGGGCAACTCTATTTCTCACTGTGTTAAATCAATAATTTAATAATTTTTTAATCCCAGTGTTTTTGTATAATGTGATCGCAATTGTCCAAAATTTGTTATGTTCATACCCCTCCTTTAAATAAGATTTTATGATAGCGTTGTTATAAATAATTTTCCAAAACTGGTTATTAACCAGTCAATATTTTTACTACTTACATTGTTCTCTATTTGAAAAGTTAATAATAATTCTTTAAAAGCAACTTGGCCCAGTAAAAATAGTTGTTTTATATTATTCCTAATTAAAAAAATAATAAAATGTATGCGTTACCATTTAAGTGTGAAAAAGTTGATATAAAATAATTTGTTTGGACAGGGGTAGGAACATAAATATTATATGAAAACACTATGAATAAAACAATTCAATTATTAGTTAAACCCAATTTGATATTGAGTGGCCCTTTATAAAAAAATCACCCTGTACATATCTGTTAAATTTTTTTTTTGCACTTTTTTTTTTACCTAGTATACATACATGTTATACTGTGACGACTTTTAGTCGTTCTTAAAAGAAAATATATTAGATTTCTTATAAAATCCCGAGTACAATATTCCAACAATATCTACGTGTTACAAAGTCATTTGTACACGTCGTTTTTATACTTTAACAACACCTATCGTATCGGCTATGTGTACCCGTGAAAATTTAAAACCAATTTGGAATACCCAACATTATATTTTTTCACCGGCGTCACAAATAAATTCTTATTGAAAATAAGTTTTAACAGAAAAGCAAACATTTTAAATATAATGTATGTTTTTCATCACACTACCATTCTGTATAGTAAATTTCTTAAAGGAATATATTTTAAAATTTGATAACATTTAACGCTATTTTAATACTATTCCACTTATACAAATAATAATTACCTACTAATAATATTTATTATTATTACTCATGATAAGTCAAACCAATTATATTTATTAAAAACCTTCAACATTTTGTGTAAAATATATAACATTTAATATCTTTTTAAATAATATTGTTTATACTACCACCTTACTATGATTTTTATAGGTATATTTTAATATATTATAATAAACGTTATCATTAAATTATCGCTTCTCTAGATCACTATTCCAATATATAATTCATTGTAGACCATTCATAATCTTTCTAATTTATTTTAATATTAAAATTTGTACTTGCTAAGGTTTATACTCACAACTATCAAAGTTTTACTATAGTTTCTAATAAAATTAGTCTTAATATTTTTTAGTTGACACTACCGCCATAACATTTTTACTTCAAAGACTATAATAGTTGAATTTTGTCTTTTAAATTATTTACCTGTTCTACACTACTTTCACATTTTAATTACAAAATAAGCATTTTCTCTTAGATTTTTGCTATAAAATTTGAACAAAGCCACCTGTTGAAGGAAATATATGGTTGTCATATTTAGATTGGTTTTGTAGTGGTAGTCTATAGTTTTTTATAGGTATATTTTTAATATATTATAATAAACGTTATCATTAAATTATCGCTTCTCTGGATCACTCTTCCAATATATAATTCATTATTTATACTTATTTTAATATTAAAATTTGTACTTGCTAAGGTTTATACTAACAACTATCACAGTTTTACTATAGTTTCTAATAAAATTAGTCTTAATATTTTTTAGTGACACTACTGCCATAACATTTTTACTTGAAAGACTATAATAATTTAATGTTATCTTTTATAATATTTACTTGTTCTACACTACTTTCACATTTTAATTACAAACAACTATTTTCTATATAGATTTTTGCTGTACAATTTGTACAAAGCCACCCGTTGAAGGAAATATATGATGCTCATATTTAGATTGGTTTTGTAGTGGTAGTCACACAACAATCATATTTGTCTAAGGAAGTTATGGGGAGAGGCAGTACTGACAGCTACTTATCTAGAAAATATACTACTAACACATGGTAATTTCAACAAGACACCTGTTGAATTTGTGACTAGGATATTTAAAATGTTTCTAAATTCGAATTCTCAGATGAGTTACTTTAGTACACATTCCTAACCAACTAAGGCGCATGTTAGATTCAAGATCGAGAAAACTTTAAGTGATGGTTGTACAATAAACCATTAAAGAATATTAAACCATTTTACAAAGCCGGGATGTCTTTTTTTATGAAAATGTATTGTTCAACTCAACAATTGAAAGAGAAAAAAATAATTTTTTTAATGAAAATTTAGAAAATGTTGAAACAAGAGTAAAAAATATTGATAAAAAACCTCAAAATGAAGAAAACATATATTATTTAAGTGGTAAATCATAGTAAAGGCTTTGATTCTATTGAAACGTATGTGCCTGTCTTTACCATAGTGACTGTTAGCACATTACTAGCACTAGCAGTACACAATATTTTAATAAAAATCACAAGTGGTTTAAAGTATTAAATATCACTAAAAGAAATTGTTTATTATGTAATACATTAAATAAAACAACAATTTAGATACAAGTGACACATATAAATATTATTGAGGTAAAATAACAACAGTAGGTGCGATTAAGTTTTTTAAAAGCTAACTACGATTGAGGTTCTATTTTACATGAACCATCCCATTGTCTCATCCAAAACGTCCTCATGTTCATTATGAATTGGACGACCCATTGGCCTTACCACAACAATAGAACCGTAATGAGGTCTGTAATGGAATCTGCCGTTTTGTGAACTTAACATACAAACATTATCATCTGAATCAACACGAGCGATTTTTATATACGAATCTGGGAATTGCATACTTCGGAGCAAACCTATTAGAATACATATTTCCTTAAGGTTGGTGAACCCTGGTGTTCCTCTACCTAAAAAATTATAAAAAAAATTGTTTTTAAAAACTTTGCAATTTTAGCTTTCATCTACTTTTTTTTTTTGTTCAAACACCGTTTTTACATGTGTATAAGCAAATTCAAAGAAAAAAAATTACAAAACACATAAAAAAAATCCTATTTTAAGTGTCCTATTATGAAATTAAATTTATTAAAATTAATTTAAAAATGAATAGCCGCAGTTTGCTTTAAAACTTTTTAAATTTATTTATTGTTATGGATTTAGTTTTTCTTTATTTAATTTGTATTTATGAAGTTTGTTACAAGTAGAACAACAATCATAATAGATGTAATATTTACAAAGAGTTGATAAACAGAAAAATGAAGCCTACCAATGGAGGAACTCAATTTTTTTTATTCTATAAAACTAATAATAACATTTCACTTAATTTTATGTGTACTATTCTTATTCTAGTCTTAAATATTTTATACATCAAGGAAAATTTTTGATAAAAGGACATTGCAAAAGTGACGGATCAAAAAAGTTTAAAGTGACAATAAATTAATAAAACAAATAAGATTATTCATAATCCTTCCAATAGTTGTATGTTAAAACAGGAGTCTAAAAAACTCATTCGTATATGTTGTGTACTTGTATTGTTTTATTATTATTGATATGTTTATGTAGAAATCGAAAATGACGTCAATAATAAAATATCCACCTTTGGTAATTGTTAAGAATATTTGGATAGACAGTATATTAGTGTACTAGGCCAAATATCTAGCGTAGCATCGGCTATACAAGAATATAAGTGGATACAAGAAATACTTGTTGAGATGAAGTGTATAAACTATAAATATATTATTTGAATAGTACATCGAATAAAATAATTACAATTAAAAGTAAATCTAGTAGAAATCTACAAAAATATTTATATTTACTTATTGCAGCGATAAGTAAAAGTCTTGTAAGATATCCCATTATCCTTCGTCTACTATTTCCAAGCCAAGACAATGTGCGACGATCATTCTCATAATCTGTGAAAAAAATAAGTAACAGTGTTATAAATAAAATTAAAAAAAAAATAGTTAATTGGCTTATAAACTAGGACTATAGAGCTATTTACGTTATTTATTAAACGGTTCCTTACTTTCGTTGAGGTCATTATTAGGCACAGGGATATCTGTATAAAAAATGTGAAAAGTTTTAATATTTTACAATAAAAAACTCACAAAAAAGTTCGAATTATAAATTAAATGATTATAAAACTTAAAAATTATGATTTTTGAAAATAATTCACATTAATGTGTGTTAGACAATATATTATTACTTGTAACTTGGAATATTGCTTGTTGCACTGCCTCCTGATCAGCTATGGCAATATTTTCTGAAATACAAATAAAATAACGTATATTTTCTTATGACAGGAATTTTAATATAATAGATTATGTCTATTTTAGTTTTTTAATTTGATAATTTGGTAACTTTTTATTAAATTAAAAAAAGTTAAATACGACACTTGAAAAATACTATATATTATATTTTATTATGACAAAAATGATAATTTATTTTATATTAAAAAAAATATGATTTTCGCATATAATTCAAACAAAAAAAATTAATATGGTACGTAAACAAAAACCGTATAATAAATACTTATAATAGAAACTGATAGTGTCAGTATTAGGACTATAAAATATATACGAATAGGTTACCTGGTAAGTTGATAATAAACGGCTCATCTAAAATTAAAACAAATATATGTTATCAAGCTATGTGGAAATTAACTATGTATATAATAACTATTTTTAATTAATAAATTTGATGAAATAAATTACCTGTAAAAGAGCTGTTCACTAACGAAACGTTAGGATTTAATATTTTTGTAACTTATAAAATATTAAGTATATACCTTTCCATTTTTTTGATAGATTTTAATAATTCTGAAGTGTCTTTTTCATAGACAACGTTGGATGTTGAAAGAAAATTTAAAGAGAGTACACATTTTTTTAACTAGAATTTTTTCAATGAAAAAACGAGAAGTACTACTTAAATTTGAGGTAGAGATTTAATATCTAGGAGTTTTTTTTCGGGAAGACTAACATCAATTGAAAGTGTGAGCCATTGGAAATAAGCATCTGTGTAAAGTATAAGTAGTATATAACAATTGGTTACCGTGCTCAATTGTGAATCTAAAATTTGCTTTATCTGAAATTAAAACGAAAATATGTTATGCCCAATTTAGTTATTAATTATTATCAAAAACTATGTGATAATACTTTCAATAACTAATAGGAAATATTATTACCCGGTATTGCCAACATCAAATTAAGAGTGTCTAAAATTGGAATAATATAACTTGTTTAATTAAAGATGTTCGATATTTTTAAAGTATTATAATTTTAATACTTTTTTCGAGTAGCATTCTATAACGAATTTTTTTATTTTTATTGCATAATAATAATTACCGAACTTTTTATTTCCGTTAATAATATTTAAAATTGCAGTTTTCAGTCCTTCAAAATCTATAAGCAAATAGTGGATTTAGCTATACACAAAATTTCAAATGAAATCTTAAAAATGTATATAATTATAAATAAAAATGTTTAGAACAAGAATTTACATAGCTTTACAGTGACTATTTACCTAACGCTACTCAACCTGTAATGTTAAGGGGATTGAATACAGCCAGTTATTTGGATGAATTAAACCCAAAAGCCAGACAAAATTTCGAATATTTAGGATGGCTCGATTTTAATTCTTTAGAACAATACGTGTTCTTTGGCAACATTATTTATGTAGTTTAATTGATATACAGCAGGTTTCACCAACTCTTGTTAAACACCTTCTTAACACAATGTAAGTTACCCAATCATTTAAAATTAACATCTGATATAATAAAACTAGTTTCTTCATAATATTAGTATTGTTAAATTATACTTGTTAAGTTAACAAAACGTTAGTTGGGTTACCAAAGCGGTTACATCGATTTCAACATTCTCTTTGGTTATGAGAACCAAAGATATGTGATAGATGATAAGTGATTGTAATATTTAATTCGTCAGTTTGTTATTATTTAACATTTTATTTTACTTTATTTCAACTTTTCACTTTATATAAATAATTTGTACATAATTTTGTAACACATTATGTATATATTTATAGTCTATACCTTTCTAAAAATAGTTTGTCATCAAGCACAGGCAAGACATTCCTAATAATATTATCTCAATTATAAAATACAATAAATTATGATATACCTATAATGCAAGTCCATGCCATTCCTTTGATCCTGATCTACCTACATAAAATAACTTATGCTGACCTAATAAAAAATTATCGAAGTTGTCATTTCTACAGTTCTGTAAATACTCATTTTAAAGAAGGTCCTCATCAAAGGTGTAATTCTTTATTTATATTACTAATATGCTCAGTCAACAAAAGTTATGAAACAATTTTTTAACTATAATAATATAAATATTATTTATATAGGGTGGCCCCACAAAGATTTGACAAATGAAATAACTTTTGTTTTTGTGAATATTTTTGAGATTTTGTTTTAAGTGCAATAAGAACCACGGTGCTTACATCGCAAATGAGTATAAATTATTTAAAAAAAAAAAATCTCAAAAATATTCACTAGAACAAAAGTTATTTCATTTGTCAAATCTTTGTGGGCCACCCTGTATAAGACTACAGAACATTTTTACATGCAGATTTCGGGTGAAAAATTTTAACAATGTGTTAAGGCTAACAAATCGATGAAACCCAATTTTCATTAACTAATTGTTAAATATAATTATCAATAAATTAAGTTCTTAACAAGTGTAGGTAAAACCGGTTGAATATGTTGCAAATTTAATTTACATAATTACAGAAAATTTAAATATTTCAATAAAAGTCGGCTACCTACAAATTATAGTACTGCTATAAATTATAATACTGTAGCCAAAAAACTTGAATCCTATACTGTCGAAATTTTGTTAGACTTTTAGGTCTAAAATAAACCAAAATGGCCAATACCCATAAAAAAAAATTATTTAAATTAAACCTTGAAGCTTGTACAAAGTAACTGGTAAATAAATTGGCATGGTCGAAATTGATTAAAACCTTTTTTTCCCTTAAATAATGCGTATACAAAACTTCGTTTAATAATAGGAATAGATTTTTTGAATAGAAAATATACAATGTATTCGATTTTCTATTACAACTTAGTATTTATACAGAATAATTTGGTATACTGGTATAATATACCCGTATTGAATTATATGACAATTTTAGATACAAGAGCGACATATAAATTTTATGAAAGTAATGTAACAAGAACAGGTGCTATGCTTTTTTTTTAAATCGAGCTAAGATTACTGGTCTCTATTGCGGGTACCAATCCCTTAGCTTATACATAACTTCACGTAACATATAACGTACAAGCCCTGTTTGCCTAATCACAACAATAGCGCCGTTACGAGGTTTGTATTTGTATCTGTCATCTTGTGAAGTTAACATACAAAAGTGATTAGAGTGATTAACATCAACCGTTTTATTACATGAATCTGGGAATCTTATACTTCTGAGCAAACCTAACAGACGACATATTTCGGTAAGGTTGAGGTATTCTGGTGCTCCTTTACCTTAAAAATTAAAAAAAAAATGTAACTACTTAGATTGTACAAATTAATTATTTTTTTTTTTTATATATACAACTAGCAGGCCATGGCACCAACATTTTATTAAATTCAATGAGTACTTACTCTTGTTCTGAACTATCATCTCTTAGATGCCTTGCAAAATAATTTATTTAATATGGCATTGTCTAAGTGATGGACCAAATAAGATTAAAATGACAAGAAATAAATAAGACAAACTAGGTAAATCATGTTGCTACCAATAGTTGTATGTTACAATAAGAGTATAGACAAATCGGTCGTATGTGTTGTGTGAGTTTTATGCAATACAAGTACTACAAAAAACTACATTTGTGTACTACTGTATATTACTCTTTGAATAATTTATTTATGAAGTAATGTTGTATTACATTTTTGTAATCATGTGTTAGATGATGATATTTTGTACTAAATAACTAAAAAAAAGTGTATTTCGAAGAATCTATAAAAAGTATTAGATAACACAATATACAGGTAATAATTTTTTAAAGTAGACATTGATAGTAGCAGAAGAGTTAACAAAGTGGGTAAAGATTACCAAGAAATTCAAGTCGTTTATTATGCAATGTGTTGTCGATAGCCATTTAGAATATGTAAAGGGTAAAAAAACTGCAATGGAAATCTCGAACTCGTTAAAAAGCAGAGTTTTCGTAGAAAGAACTAGATCATCGCAACAACAATCAAATGTGTCTAAAGAAATTATTCGGACAAACCTTACTGACAGCCACTTGCCATGAAACACTACTAGACTACCAATACATTATAATTTAAACTAGACGCCTGTTGAACTGTCGACGGGACTTAATCCAAATTTGTCCACTATCCTAACCAACTAAGGCGCAAAATTGATTCAAGATCAAGAAAACGTATACTTGTTGGTAATACAATGTTATTTTTAATGAAAATTTATTGTTCAAGTCAACCAATGATAAAGAAAAAAAACTTTTATATTTTATAGAAAATTTAGAAAATGTTAAAACAACAAAAGAAAATATTGAATAAAATCCACAAGATGAAAAAAACATTAAAACGTCTGAAACCTAAAATAGATCATATGTCAAGATTTGTAAAATTTATAAATTTATTATTTAACTGGTAAATCATAGTAAAGACTTGGATTATATTGATACGCATGTGCCTGTCTTCGCCATAGTGATTGTTAGCACATTACTAGAATTAGTAGCATACAATAATTTCTCAGGTAAATATCATATTGTTTTGTGGGCAGGTAGTATAATTATTTTAATTTCGTTTTATGCACTGCAATGGACAGAATTTAATAAAAATCACAAGTGGTTTAAAGTATTAAATATCACTAAAATAAATAGTTTATTATATAATACATGAAATTAAATGACAGTTTAGATACAAGTGCGACATATAAATATTATTGAAGTAAAATAAAAACAGTAGATGTGATTAAGTTTTTTAAAAGCTAACTACGATTGAGGGTTTATTTTAATGGAACCATCTCATTGCCTCATTCAAAACGTCTTCATGTTCATTATAAACAGGACGACCCATTGGCCTTGCCGCAGCAATATAGCCGTCATAAGGTTTGTAATGGAATCTGCCGTTTTGTGAAATTAACATACAAACATTATCATCTTGATCAACACGAGCGATTTTTATATACGAATCTGGGAATCGCATACTTCGGAGCAAACCTATTAGAATACATATTTCCTTAAGGTTGGTGAATCCTGGTGTTCCTTTATCTAAAACATTATATCTATTTTTATATTTAGTTCATAATACAGTTTATTCACGTGTAAAAGCAAAATCAAAGAAAAAGAATTTTAAAACACATAAAAAAATCCTATTTTATAAAAAATATTATGAAATTAAATTTATTAAAATTAATTTAAAAATGAATAGCCGCAGTTGGCTTTAAAACTTTTTAAATTTATTTATTGTTATGGATTTAGTTTTTCTTTATTTAATATGTATTTATGAAGTTTGTTACAAGTAGAACAATAATCATAATAGATGTAATATTTACAAAGAGTAGATAGACAGAAAAATGAAGCATACCAAAGGAGGAACTTCGACAATTTTAAATAAAGACATATTTAAATACTAGCAGATTATGATAATAACATTTTATTTAATTCTATGTGTACTATTTTTGTTCTAATCTTAAATATTTTATATATCTTGGAAATTTATTGATAAAAGGGCATTGCAAATGTGACGGATCAAAAAAGTTTAAAATGAAAATAAAAGATTCAAACAAACAAGGTTTAATCATAAAGCTACCAATAGTTGTATGTTAAAATAAGAGCCTAAACAACTCATTCCTATATGTTGTGTGAGTTCTATGCCTACATATATTGTTATATTATTATTGATATAATAATATAAAATGTCAATAATATAATATATTATTGATATGTTTATGTAGCAATCGAAAAAGTTCCACCTTTGGTAATTATTTAGAATATTTGGATAGTATGCTAGTCTACTAGAAAGCAAACGACAGAAATAAATTCTTAAGCATAGGCCGAATATTTAGCGTAGCATCGGCTAAACAAGAATATAAGAAGATAATTCTTCAATCTTCTTATATTCTTGTTGAATGGAATATAAAATTGAATAAAAAATAAAAGTAAAACTAGTACAAATCTACACAAAATATTAATATTTACCTATTGCATCGGTAAGTACATTTTGTGTAACAAAACTCAAATACATTCGTCTACTATCTCCAAGCCAAGACAATGTGCGACGATCATTCTCATAATCTGTGAAAAAAAATTACAGTGTTCTAAATAAAATTTTAAAAAAATGGATAATTGGCTTATAAACTAAGACTTTAGAGCTATTTACGTTTTTTATTAAACGGTTGCTTACTTTCGTTGCAGCGAAGGTTAGGCACAGGGATACCTATACAAAAATTATAAAAATGTTTTAATATTTTACACTAAAAAACTGAAAAAAGTTCGAATTATAATTTAAATGATTATAAAACCTAATAATTATGATTTTTGAAAATAATTCCCATAATTGTGTGTTAGACTTTATATTACTTACCTGTAACTTGGAATATTGCTTCTTGCACTGCCTTCTGATCAGCTATGGCAATATTTTCTGAAATACAAATAAAACAACGTATATTTTCTTATGATAAGAATTTTAATATAATAGATTATGTCTATTTAATTGTTTTAATTTGATTACTTGAGAACTCTTTATTGAATATTTTTGTTAAAACACTTAAAGTAAAATAAAATAAAACTATATAATATATTTTATTATGACAAAAATGGTAATTTATTTTATATTAGGTAAAATATGATTTTCGCATATTAATCAAACAAAAAAAAAATTAACGTAAACAAAAACCGTATAATATAAACTTGTATTAGAAACTGATAGTGTCAGTATTAGGACTATAGAATATATACAAATAGGTACCTGGTAAGTTGGTAATAAATGACTCTTCTAAAATTAAAACAAATATATGTTACCAAGCTATGTGGATAATTTACTATGTATTTATATACTAATTATTTGCAAATTGTAAATCTGATGACATAACATTTACACAAATTACATAAATAACCGAAAAAAGGGGCTGTTCACTAACGGCACAACAGGTTTTAATATTTTTGTAATTTGTAAATATTAAATACATACCTATCCATTCTTTTGTTACATTTAAATTATAATTTTTTTTTTTTTCTATAAATCTCAAGACTAGTTTTTTTTATAGACGACATTGGAAGTTGTCAGGAAAATGAAAGAAAGGACATATTTTTTTAAACAAAAATTTTTCATGTAACTAAACGAAAAAACGAGAGTTACTACTTAGATTTGAAGTAGAGATCTAATATCTAAGGAGTTTTTTTCGGGAAGACTAACATCAATTGTAAGTTTGAGCCATTTGAGAAAAAATTAATTATATTGGTATATAAGAATCTGTGTAAAGTATTAGTAGTACATAATAATTGGTTACCATGCTGAATTGTGAATCTAAAATTTGCTTTATCTGTAATTAAAACGAAAATATGTTATGCCCAAATTAGTTATGAAAAAATATTAAGCCACTCTGTGGAAATCTGCCAATAAGAGATAAGAAATATTATTACCTGGTATAGCCAACATAAAATTAAGTGTCTCTGGAATAAAAATAATACAAATTGATGATTTAATGATGTTAGATTTATTTTTTTGCACAATAGTTTTATTTTATTTACATAATAATGATTACCGAACGTTTTATCTCCGTTAATAATATTTGAAATTACAGTTTCCAGTCCTTTAGGATCTATAAGCAAATAGTGGCTTTAGCTGTACACAAAATTTCAAGTGAAATCTTATAAATGTATATAATTATAAATAAAAATGTTAAGAACAAGAATTTACATAGCTATAAAGTTACTATTTACTTAACGCTACTCAGCCTGTTATGTTGAGAGGACTGAATGTGGTCAGTTAGGTCGACGATTTAAATCCAAAAGCCAGACAAAATTTCGACTACATAGGATGGCCCGATTTTATTTCTTTAGAACAATACGTTTTCTTAGGCAACATAAAACATTATTTATGATGTTTAATTGATTATCAGCCGGATTCACCAACTACTGTTAAATACACTCTAAACACTATGTATGTTAACAGTTCATTAAAAATTAACATCTGATAAAATAAAATAAATTTCTCCATAACATTAGTATTGTTAAATTCTATTTTTTTAAGTTAGCAAAACGTTAGTTGGGTTACCAAAGCTGTTACCTCGATTCCAACATTTTGATTGATTTTGAGAACTAAAGATATGTGATAACTGATAAGTGATTGTAATATTTAATTTGTCAGTTTGTTATTATTTGACATTTTATTTTACTTTATTTTAACATTTCAGATTATATAAATAATTTATACATTTTTTTTAGCTTCTTTGCAAATCGACAAAGGTATTGGTTTTACTCTGATGTGGGCTTTTTTTTTATCTTTATACACTGTAACTTTTTTAATACTTGTCCAATTCATTCGAGTAGCAACTCTATAAATCACAAACTTCATCTAGTTGGTACTTTGCGGGGGGGAGGGGGGTAAAATTTGAAAAAGTTTACTTCTTAACAGTCGAAATTTTAAAAAACAAAAAATAAACAGTACGAGTTTTTAATTTAGAACTTTAACTGGCTATAATTTCAAGAAAAAGTCGGATCGAAATGAAATTTATTAGAAATATTTTAATTGGTATGCTCGCACACGTCAGTTTTATCAAATTTAAATTATACCCTAACTATATGCATATGTATCCATAACTTATTAAACGGGAAAAAATTCGACACTACAGTTTTTCTTTTATTTCCGGAAAACTGTGTTTTCGCAGATTGTGTACATTTCAACAAAAAAACCCTAAAATCTTTAAAAAAAATGTATCAAATCATTAAAACAATTTTGTGTATATCTATGCAGCATGATACTATTAAGTAAAATTGAAAACTGATATTAAATTCGTAATCACCGACCCAAAAAAACATATAATTTGACCACTTTTGATGTCTTTTACATAAAAATCCAGAAAAATGTTTTAGCCTCGATGCAAAGCGACGAAGGTATTGATTTTATCCGAGAGGTCCAGTACAGTAGAGTATAGGCATAATGGAATCAAAGCAACGAAGAGACGGAGAGGTCACAGCTATATAGGAATTATTATAAATAGAAAACATAAAATTGAATAAAATCACTTTCAAATAAACGCTTTGATGCTTATTTGTAAATACAGAACCTCAATTTAAAACTTACTAACTTTGCTGGTTTATACTGTGCTTGGTTTGGACTGTACTGGCTTGAAATTATTAGCTACCGATTTGCATCGAAGCGTTATTTCGAAAGTGATTTTATCACTTTCAGATTTAAAAACTCTTTTAAACGTGTGACTTCCCCGTCGCCACTATGCCCCGACTCAACTAAGTTCCGTCCCCACTATGCCCTGAACCAACTGTACTGGTTTTTAACATATTATTTAGAAAGTCTATACTTTTCTAAAAATAGTTTGTCATCAAAGACAGGCAAGATACTCTTAATAATATTATCTTAATTATAAAATACAATAAATTATGATATACCTATAATGCAAGCCCGTGCCATTTCTTTGTACCTGATCTACCTACATAAAATAACTTATGCTTACCTAATAAAAAATTATCAAAGTTGCCATTTTTACAGTTCTGTAAATACTCATCATAAAGAAGGTCCTCATCAAAGGGGTAATTCATTATTATATAATACTAATATAATCAGTCAGCAAAATTTATGAAACAATTTTTTAACTATAATAATATAAATATTATATATTATATATATATGAGTCTACAGTACATTTAACATGCAGATGTCGAGTTATAAATGTAATAATGTGTTAAGGCTAACAAAACGATGAAACCCAATTTTCATTAACAAATTGTTAAATATAATTATCAATAAATTAATTTCCTAACAAGTGTAGGTGAAACCGGCTGAATATGCTGCAAATTTCATTTATTTAATTACAGAAAACTTAAATATTTCAATAAACGTCGGCTTCCTACATAAATTATAGTACTGTAGCCAAAAAACTCGAATCCTATGCTGTCGAAATTTTGTTAGACTTTTAGGTCTAAAATAAACCAAAATGGCCAATACCCATAAAAAAGTTATTTAAATTAAACGTTGGAGCTTGTACAAAGTAACTGGTAAATAAATTGGCATGGTCGAAATTTATTAAAACTTTTTTTTCCCTTAAATATTGCGTATACAAAACTCCGTTTAATGATAGGAATATATATTTTTTGAATATAAAATATATAATGTATTCGATTTTCTATTACAATTTAGTATTTATACAGAATAATTTGGTATACTGGTACTATATACCCCGTTCACTTATATTCTGAACTGATATAAAAACAAACTATAGCTTGTTTTTAAATTATAAACCATCTGAAAATCAAAATGTATCTTACTTTTAATAGAAGCCTCTCTGATGTGTTTGTCTGTAATAAATAATTTCAAACGTATGTATAAAAATGATAAAATTAAAAAAAAATGTTATATTGTATAAAAATTTGGTACTGACTTGTTTTCTTAACCGAATTTGCATATTCCCCTATGATGAAGAATTAAATATTAAATTTCCCATTCAGATTTTTAACTTCCTTGATGAGTTTCGTGTAAAAATTAAATAATTACCTGTCATAATCGGTGAAACGTTCACAAAGGTAATCGTTATTAAAATGCTGAGAAGCTTCATAGTGCTTGATAATAAAAATGAAACAATTCAAATAATATAACTTATAAGAAAGATGTGAATTATAATAGCTTGTTTTACTTTTTGCGTTACAGTGATTTTCTTGCAACTAGTCGTAAGGTCGGTGTGTATGAAGTAAAATAAAAATATAATTTGCAGTATGCAAAGCACTATAATATTTTATAAAAAACTAGTGCAACACTTGTGGTTTGTATTATAAAAAAAATAACGCATACAGGGTGATTTTTTTTATCGTGGGCAACTCTAAGTCTCATCTTGTTTAATCAATATATTTTTTCTATAGTGTTTTTATGTAATAAGATCTCAATTGTTCATAAATTTCAATCTTCATACCCCCCCCCCTCTTCAAATTAGTTTTTATGATAGTAACTTTAAAAATAATTAAACAAACTGGTTATTAACAGTCTAATTTACTATTCAGTGCATACTTTATGTGTTACCATTTAAGTGTCAAAAGTTGGTGTAAAAATAATTTGTTTGGAAATGGGTAGGATCATAAACATTATGGTGAAATATTGTGTGGCCCATTATTAAAAAATCACCCTGTACATAGTTGTTACATTTTTTAACACATATTTTTTAAACTACAATAACAGCTATCGTATCGGCTATGTGTATCCATGAAATATTAAAACCTATGAGAAAACCCAATATTATATTATTTCACACTGAAAAAACGTTGTAATACGAAAACAAAACAATTATATCTAACGTTTGTTTTTGGTTCCACTACTATTCTGTATTGAGCATTTCTCAATTATATTTTAATACTTCATAACAATTTACACAATCTTAGTACTTATCATAAGTCAAACCAATTAGAAAAACAATGTTTTTTAAAAAAAACAGTACCTTTTTGTGAAACACATGCAATATTTAAATATCTGTTTAATTTATACAATAATATGTTGTTATGAAAAAAAACCAAAAATCCCTTTTTGACTTATTAGGATTGGTGATAATAATTTTCAATAAATTAAAAAATATAGTACAGTGTGTGCCAAAAAATCTTGGAAAATTATTGTTCAAAGTATAAATATTTTCTGAGAAAATTAGTATCTTGCCCAAAATGAATCACACTGTAGATGTGTGCAACCTAAAAAAAAATGTTTTAAATTTTTCTTAAAACTATATTATATTAACACCAATAATTTTATAAATTGATAACGGCTAATTGCATAAAAGAATAGAACTCCGAACAAAGTGTGTCGACTTATGAATCCGAAAACATGGTAGGGTAAGAAATGTTTACTTACTTTTATTGATGATATTGACTGTTTTCCAGTTGTCTAGTCTATTACAAAACAAGTATCAAGGGTTTGATTGTTTTAAATCATATAAAGCATATATATATATACACTGTAATCTGTATGTGTATATATTTTGACTTTAAATTATCTATGCTGAGATGTGATAATGGAAAAGAGTAGTTAAGTAATGTGTTTAAAAGTTTTTGTTAAGTTAAAGAAATTGTGGTCGACTTTACAATTCCCTATATGCCTGAAAACCAATAGTTTAACAGAAAGATTAAACAGAGTATTCGTAGAAAGAACTAGATCATCGCAACAACAATCAAATGTGTCTAAAGAAATTATGCAACCAGGCCGTACCGACAGCCACTTGCCAAGAAAATCTACTAGACTACCAATATATAATAATTTAAACAAGACGCCTGTTGAACTGTCGACTGGACATAACCTAAATTTGTACACTATCCTAACCAACTAAGGCGCAAAATTGATTCAAGATCAAGATAACGCATACTTGTTGGTTATAAAATGACATTTTTAATGAAAATTTATTGTTCAACTCAACCAATGGTAAAGAAAAAAAAACCTTTTATATTTTATGGAAAATTTAGAAAATGTTAAAACAACAAAAGAATATATTGAATAAAATCCACAAGATGAAAAAAACATTAAAACGTCTAAAACCTAAAATAGATCATATGTCGAGATTTGTAAAATTTATAAATTTATTATTTAACTAGTAAATCATAGTAAAGACTTGGATTATATTGATACGTATGCGTCTGTCTTCGCCATAGTGATTGTTAGCACATTACTAGAATTAGTAGCATACAATAATTTCTCAGGTAAATATCATATTGTTTTGTGGGCAGGTAGTATAATTATTTTAATTTCGTTTTATGCACTGCAATGGACAGAATTTAATAAAAATCACAAGTGGTTTAAAGTATTTAATATCACTAAAATAAATAGTTTATTATATAATACATTAAATTAAATGACAATTTAGATACAAGTGCGACATATAAATATTATTGAAGTAAAATGAAAACAGTAGGTCTGATTTAGATTTTTAAAAGCTAACTACGATTGAGGGTCTATTTTACTAAAACCATCTAAACATCTCATTCAAAACGTCTTCAATTGGATTACCCACTGGATTTACCGCAACAATATAGCCCATGTAAGGTCTGTAATGGAATCTGCTATATTGTGAAGTTAAAATACAAACATAACCAGCTTGATCAACACTAGCGGTTTTTATATACGAATCTGGGTATCGCATACTTCGCAGCAAACCTATTAGGATACATATTTCATTAAGGTTGGAGAATTCTGGTCTTCCTTTATCTAAAAAATTTTTAAAAAAATTGTTTTTAAAAACTTGTCAATTTTAGATTATATCTAAATTTTTTTTTTGTTCAAAACACAGTTCTTACACGTGTATAAGCAAAATCATAGAAAAATAATTACATTACACCTAAAAAAAACCCTATTTTATGTAACCTATTTTGAAATAAAATTGATTTGATTGTTATTTATACAAACTTTTACAATTTAGAACAAAAAGCATAATAAATGTAGTATTTACAAAGAGCAGATTGACACAAAAAGAAGCCTCCCCTGGAGGAACTTCGACAAAATTAAATAAAGATATTTTTCAAATTTTTTATTCAATATAACTAGCAGATTAGGATAATGCAGTTTTATTTAATGTTATGTGTACTATCCTTATCTAATGTTAAATCTTTTATATATCTTGCACATTTATTGATAAAATCACATTGTACAATCGACGGATCATAAAAGTTTAAAATGACAATACATTGATAAAAATAACATGGTTTAATCATAATGCTACCAATATTTGTAAGTTAAAATAAGAGTCTAGAAAACTCATTCCTATATGATGTGTGAGTTCTATGCCTACTTGTAATGTTACATTATTATTGATATCATAATATAATCTAATAATATAATATATTATTGATATGTTGATACAGAAATCGGTAATGACGACAATAATAACAACCTGTGGTAATTATTTAGAATATTTTAATAGACAGTATGCTGGTCTACCAGAAAGCAAATGACTAGGTTTGGCATGGGGCATAGGCTATACAAGAATATATGTGAAAAACAGAATTACTAGTTGAGATGTGTATAAATTATAAATGCATTATTTGAATGGTACATCTAATATGATAATTTAAATTAAAAGTAAAACTAGTGAAAATCTACACAAAATATTCACCTATTGCAGTAACAAGTACGTTTTGTGTAACATGTCCAATTATTTTTCGTCTATCTCCTCCAAGCCGAGACAATGTGCTACGATCATTCGAATAATCTATGAAAAAAATAAAGTTACTGTGTTAACAAATAAAATTTAAAAAAAAATGGATAATTGGCTTATAAACTAAGACTTTAGAGCTATTTACGTTATTTATTAAATGGTTGCTTACTTTCGTTGCAGCGAAGGTTAGGCACAGGGATACCTGTACAAAAATTATAAAAATGTTTTAATATTTTACACTAAAAAACTGACAAAAAGTTCGAATTATAATTTAAATGATTATAAAACCTAATAATTATGATTTTTGAAAATAATTCCCATTAATGTGTGTTAGACTTTATATTATTTACCTGTAACTTGGAATATTGCTTCTTGCACTGCCTTCTGATCAGCTATGGCAATATTTTCTGAAATACAAGCAAAATAACATACATTTTCTTATGACAGGAATTTTAATGTAATAGATTATGTCTATTTAATTTTTTTAATTTGATAACATTAGAAGTTTTTAATTAATTAAAAAAAGTAAAATACAACACTTGAAAAATACTATATAATATATTTTATTATGACAAAAATGGTAATTTATTTTATAGTAGGTAAAATATAATTTTCGCATATTAATCAAACAAAAAAAAATTAACGTAAACAAAATACCGTATAATATAAACTTGTATTAGAAACTGATAGTGTCAGTATTAGGACTATAGAATATATACAAATAGGTACCTGGTAAGTTGATAATAAATGACTCTTCTAAAATTAAAACAAATATATGTTACCAAGCTATGTGGATAATTTACTATGTATTTATATACTAATTATTTGCAAATAGTAAATCTGATGACATAACATGTACACAAATTACATAAATGACCGAAAAAAGGGGCTGTTCACTAACGGCACAACAGGTTTTAATATTTTTGTAATTTGTAAATATTAAATACATACCTATCCATTCTTTTGTTACATTTAAATTATAATTTTTTTTTTTTTCTATAAATCTCAAGACTAGTTTTTTTATAGACGACATTGGAAGTTGTCAGAAAAATGAAAGAAAGGACATATTTTTTTAAACTAAAATTTTTTAGTAAAAAATTAAAATTTTCTATGTAACTAAACGAAAAAACGAGAGGTACTACTTATATTTGAAGTAGAGATCTAATATCTAAGGAGTTTTTTTCGGGAAGACTAACATCTATTGAAAGTGTGAGCCTTTGGAGAAAAAATTAACTATATTGGTATATAAGAATCTGTGTGTAAAGTATTAGTAGTATATAATAATAGTTTACCATGCTGAATTGTGAATCTAAAATTTGCTTTATCTGAAATTAAAACGAAAATATGTTTTGCCCAAATTAGTTATTAATTATTATCAAAAACCATGTGAAAATACTTCCAATAAGAGATAAGAAATATTATTACCTGGTATAGCCAACATCAAATTAAGTGTCCCTGAAATAAAAATAATATAAATTGATGAAATAATGATGTTAGATTTATTTACATAATAATGATTACCGAACGTTTTATCTGCGTTAATAATATTTGAAATTGCAGTTTCCAGTCCGTCAGGATCTATAAGCAAATAGTGGCTTTAGCTGTACACAACATTTCAAATGAAATCTTATTAATGTATATAATTATAAATAAAAATGTTTAGAACAAGAATATACATAACTATATAGTGACTATTTACTTAACGCTACTTAGCCTGTTATGTTGAGAGGTTTGAATATGGTCAGTTAGGTCGACGATTTAGACCCAAAAGCCAGACAAAATTTCGACTACATAGGATGGCCCGATTTTATTTCTTTAGAACAATACGTTTTCTTAGGCAACATAAAACATTATTTATGATGTTTAATTGATTATCAGCCGGTTTCACCAACTATTGTTAAATACACTCTAACATAAAATTGAATAAAATCACTTTTAAATAAATGCTTTTATGCTTATTTGTAAATACAAAACCTCAATTTAAAACTTACTAACTTTGCTGGTTTATACTGTGTTTGGTTTGGACTGTACTGACTTGAAATTAATAACTACTGATTTGCATCGAAGCGTTATTTCGAAAGTGATTTTATCACTTTCAGATTTCAAAACTCTTTTAAACCTGTGACTTCCCCGTCACCACTACGCCCCGACTCAACTAAGCTCCGTCCCCACTATGCCCTGAATCAACTGTACTGGTTTTTAACATATTATTTAGAAAGTCAATACTTTTCTAAAAATAGTTTGTCATCAAAGACAGGCAAGATACTTTTAATAATATTATCTTAATTATAAAATACAATAAATTATGATATACCTATAATGCAAGTCCGTGCCATTCCTTTGTACCTGAATACCTACATAAAATAACTTATGCTTACCTAATAAAAAATTATCAAAGTTGTCATTTCTTCAGTTCTGTAAATACTCATTATAAAGAAGGTCCTCATCAAAGGTGTAATTCATTATTATATATTACTAATATGCTCAGTCAACAAAATTTATGAAACAATTTTTTAACTATAATAATATAAATATTATATATTATATATATGAGTCTACATTACATTTAACATGCAGATGTCAATTGATAAATGTAATAATGTGTTAAGGCTAACAAAACGATGAAACCCAATTTTCATTAACAAATTGTTAAATATAATTATCAATAAATTAATTTTCTAACAAGTGTAGGTGAAACCGGCTGAATATGTTGCAAATTTCATTTATTTAATTACAGAAAACTTAAATATTTCAATAAAAGTCGGCTTCCTACATAAATTATAGTACTGTAGCCAAAAAACTCGAATCCTATGCTGTCGAAATTTTGTTAGACTTTTAGGTCTAAAATAAGCCAAAATGGCCAATAACAATAAAAAAAAAATATTTAAATTAAACCTTGAAGCTTGAACAAAGTAACTGGTAAATAAATTGTCATGGTCGAAATTTATTAAAACTTATTTTTCCCTTAAATATTACGTATACAAAACTCCGTTTAATGATAGGAATAAATATTTTTTGAATATAAAATATATAATGTATTCGATTTTCTATTACAATTTAGTATTTATACAGAATAATTTAGTATACTGGTACTATATACCCCGTTCACTTATATTCTGAACTTATATAAAAACAAACTATACCTTGTTTTTAAATTATAAACCATCTGAAAATCAAAATGTATCTTACTTCTACTATAAGCCTCTCTGATGTGTTTGTCTGTAATAAATAATTTCAAACGTATGTATAAAAATGATAAAATTAAAAAAAAATGTTGTATAAAAATTTGGTACTGACTTGTTTTCTTAACCGAAATTGCATATTCCCCTATGATGAAGAATTAAATATTAAATTTCCCATTCAGATTTTTAACTTCCTTGATGAGTTTCGTGTAAAAATTAAATAATTACCTGTCATTATCGGTGAAACGTTCACAAAGGTAATCGTTATTAAAATGCTGAGAAGCTTCATAGTACTGGACAATAAAAATGAAACAATTCAAATAGTATAACTTATAAGAAAGGTATGAATTATAATAGCTTGTTTTACTTTTTGCGTTACAGTGATTTTCTTGCAACTAGTCGTAAAGCTGGTGTGTCGTTATACCAACGAAAGAAGTAAAATAAAAATATAATTTGCAGTATGCAAAGCACTATAATATTTTATAAAAAACTAGTGCAACACTTGTGGTTTGTAGTATAAAAAAAATAACGCATACAGGGTGATTTTTTTTATCGTGGGCAACTCTAAGTCTCACCTTGTTTAATCAATATATTTTTTCTATAGTGTTTTTATGTAATAAGATCTCAATTGTCCATAAATTTCAATGTTCATACCCCCTCCCCCCCTCTTTAAATTAGTTTTTATGATAGTTACTTTAAAAATAATTATCCAAACTGGTTATTAACAGTCTAATTCACTATTCAGTGCATACTTTATGTGTTACCATTTAAGTGTCAAAAGTTGGTGTAAAAATAATTTGCTTGGAAATGGGTAGGATCATAAACATTATGGTGAAATATTGTGTGGCCCATTATTAAAAAATCACCCTGTACATAGTTGTTACATTTTTTAACACATATTTTTTAAACTACAATAACAGCTATCGTATCGGCTATGTGTATCCATGAAATATTAAAACCTATGAGAAAATACAAAATTATATTATTTCACACGCGTGGAAAAAAAACGCGCACTGAAAAAACGTTGTAATACGAAAACAAAACAATTATATCTAACGTTTATTTTTGGTTCCAAAGTGTGTCGACTTATGAACCCGAATACATGGTAGGGTAAGAAATGTTTACTTACTTTTATTGATGATAATGACTGTTTTCCAGTTGTCTAGTCTATTACAAAACAAGTATCAAGAGTTTGATTGTTTTAAATCATATAAAGCATATATATATACACTGTAATCTGTATATATATTTTGACTTAAAGTTATAAATGCTGAGATGTGATAATGGAAAAGAGTGGTAAGTAATGTGTTTAAAAGTTGTTGTTAAGTTAAAGAAATTGTGGTCAACTTTACAATTCCATATACGCCTGAAAACGAATAGTTTAACAGAAAGTTTAAACAGAGTATTCGTAGAAAGAACTAGATCATCGCAACAACAATCAAATGTGTCTAAAGAAATTATGCAACCAGCCCGTACCGACAGCCACTTGCCAAGAAAATCTACTAGACTACCAATATATAATAATTTAAACAAGACGCCTGTTGAACTGTCGACTGGACATAACCTAAATTTGTACACTATCCTAACCAACTAAGGCGCAAAATTGATTCAAGATCAAGATAACGCATACTTAGTGGTTATAAAATGAAATTTTTAATGAAAATTTATTGTTCAACTCAACCAATGGTAAAGAAAAAAAACCTTTTATATTTTATGGAAAATTTAGAAAATGTTAAAACAATAGAAGAAAATATTGATTAAAACCCACAAAATGAAAAAACATTAAAACGTCTAAACCTAAAATAGATCATATGTCGAGATTTGTTAAATTTATAAATTTATTATTTAAGTAGTAAATCATAGTAAAGGCTTGGATTATATGCTTGGATACCTATGCGCCTGTCTTCGCCATAGTGATTGTTAGCACATTACTAGCACTAGTAGTATACAATAATTTCTCAAGGCGGTATCACAGCTACGCCGTGCGTCGTGTCGTATGCCTTATATCGCCTTCTGATTGGCCGTTGTAATCACGGTATCATTGAGTAACCATGACCTACCGGTTATTGCTAGAGTTGAGCTGAGCTCAACTTTTGTATCGTGTGGTATAGGTGGTTGAAGTATGGCAATTGCGGTCAATTGATTTTTTATCAATTATCAATTAGAACATACTTATTACTATCACTATCTGCATTAAATGCCGGTTTGTCATTGATGGGCCGTATACGGTATATTTAAAAGTAATTATTTTATCAAATTTCAATTTAATTCGCGAGTACTCTATGGCATTCACTGATTAGGTGTAACCACAATAGATAATTACAAAATTGGTATTGTACATTTACCATTAGTAACTTTAAGTGGCCACGCCCACTTTTTAAATCGTACGACACGATAGACGACGTAGCTGTGATAACGCCTTCAGGTAGACATCGTATTGTTTTGTGGGCAGCTAGTATTATTATTTTAATTTCGTTTTATGCACTGCAATGGATAGAACTTAATAAAATCACAAGTGGCTTAAAGTATTAAATATCACTAAAAGAAATTGTTTATTATGTAAAACATTAAATAAAATGACAATTTAAATACAAGTGCGACATATAAATATTATTGAAGTAAAATGAAAACAGTAGACGCGATTAAGTATTTTAAAAGCTAACTACGATTGAGGGTATATTTTACAAGAGCCATCTCATTGCCTCATCCAAAACGTCCTCATATTCATTATGAACAGGACGACCCATTAGCCTTACCACAGCAATATAGCCGTCATGAGGTTTGTAATGGAATCTGCCGTTTTGTGAAATTAAAATACAAACATTATCATCTTGATCAACACGAGCGATTTTTATATACGAATCTGGGAATTGCATACTTCGGAGCAAACCTATTAGAATACATATTTCCTTAAGGTTGGTGAATCCTGGTGTTCCTCTACCTAAAAAAAAAATGTTTTTAAAAATTTGTCTATTTTAGATTATATCTACTTTAATTTTTTGTTCAAAACACAGTTTATACATATGTAAACGCAAAAACAAAGAAAAAGAATAATATTACACATAAAAAAAACCCTATTTAAAGTAACCTATTTTAAAATTAAATTTATTAAAATACATTTAAAAATGAATAACCGCAGTTTGCTTTAGAATTTTTTAAATTTATTTATTGTTATGGATTTAGTTTTTCTTTATTTAATATGTGAATTTGAAGTTTGTTAAAAGTGAACAATCATCATAATAGATGTAATATTAACAAAGAGTAGATAGACAAAAAAATAAGCCTACCAACGGGGGAACAAATTTAAATAAAGACATATTTCAAATTTTGTATTCTACAAAACTAGCATACTACGATAATAACATTTTACTTAATTTTATGTGTACTATTCTTGTTCTAATCTTAAATCTTTTATATATCTTGCAAAACTATTGATAAAAGGGCATTGTAAAAGTTTAAAATGGCAATAAATAAATAAAACAAACAAGGTTAATCATAATGCTACCAATAGTTGTATGTTAAAATAAGAGTCTAAAAAACTCATTATCTTATATGTTGTGTGAGTTCTATGCCTACTTGTATTGTTACATTATTATTGATATAATAATATAATATATTATCGATATGTTTATGTAGAAATCGAACACAACGATAATAATAAAAGATCCACCTTTGATAATTATTTAGAATATTTGAATAGACAGTATGCTGGTATACTAGAAAGCAAACGAAGGTAATACTTTCTTAAACGTATACCGAATATCTAGCGTAGCATCGGCTATACAAGAATATAAGTGGATAGAAGAATTACTTGTTGAGATAAAGTGTATAAGTTATAATTAATATATTATTTGAATGGTACATTGAATAAATTATTTACAATTAAAAGTATATATAGTAGAAAACTACAAAAATATTTATATTTACTTATTGCAGCCTTAAGTAACGTAAATGTAACAAATCTCATTAACATTCGTCTGTTTTCTCCAAGCCAAGACAATGTGCGACGATCATTCTTATAATCTGTGAAAAAAATAAGTTATAGTGTTATAAAAAAAGTTTAAAAAAAATGGTTAATTGGCTTATAAACTAGGACTTTAGGGCTATTTACGTTATTTATTAAATGGTTGCTTACTTTCGTTGCGGCGAAGGTTAGGTACAGGGATACCTGTACAAAAATTATAAAAATGTTTTTATATTTTACACTAAAAAACTGACAAAAAAGATTGAATTATAATTTAAATGATTATAAAACTTAATAATTATGATTTTTGAAAATAATTCCCATTAATGTGTGTTAGACTTTATATTATTTACCTGTAACTTGGAATATTGCTTCTTGCACTGCCTTCTGATCAGCTATGGCAATATTTTCTGAAATATAAGCAAAATAACATACATTTTCTTATGACAGGAATTTTAATGTAATAGATTATGTCTATTTAATTTTTTTAATTTGATAACATTAGAAGTTTTTAATTAATTAAAAAAAGTAAAATACAACACTTGAAAAATACTATATAATATATTTTATTATGACAAAAATGGTAATTTATTTTATAGTAGGTAAAATATAATTTTCGCATATTAATCAAACATAAAAAATTAACATGGTACGTAAACAAAAACCGTATAATATAAACTTGTATGAGAAACTGATAGTGTCAGTATTAGGACTATAGAATATATACAAATAGGTACCTGGTAAGTTGATAATAAATGTGTCGTCTAAAATTAAACAAATATAAGTTATCAAGCTATGTGGATAATTTACTATGTATTTATATACTAATTATTTGCAAATAGTAAATCTGATGACCTAACATGAACACAAATGACATAAATGACCAAAAAAAGGGGCTGTTCACTAACGGCACAACAGGTTTTAATATTTTTGTAATTTGTAAAATATTTAATATATACCTATCCATTCTTTTGTTTCATTTAAATTATAATTTTTTTTTTTTTAATAAATCTCAAGACTAGTTTTTTGTATAGATGACATTGGAAGTTGTCAGAAAAATGAAAGAAAGGACATATTTTTCAAACTAGAATTTTTCAGTAAAAAAATAATATTTTCTATGTAAATAAACGAAAAAACGAGAGGAACTACTTAGATTTGAGGTAGAGATCTAAGGAGTTTTTTATTTGGGAAGACTAACATCAATTGAAAGTGTGAGCCATCGGAGAAAAAATTAATTATAATGGTGTATAAGAATCTGTGTAAAGTATGAGTAGTATATAATAATTGGTTACCATGCTGAATTGTGAATCTAAAATTTGCTTTATCTGTAATTAATACGAAAATATGTTATGCCCAAATTAGTTATTAATTATTATCAAGAACCATGTGAAAATACTTCCAATAAGAGATAAGAAATATTATTACCTGGTATAGCCAACATCAAATTAAGTGTCCCTGAAATAAAAATAATATAAATTGATGAAATAATGATGTTAGATTTATTTACATAATAATGATTACCGAACGTTTTATCTGCGTTAATAATATTTGAAATTGCAGTTTCCAATCCGTCAGGATCTATAAGCAAATAGTGGCTTTAGCTGTACACAAAATTTCAAGTGATATCTTATTAATGTATATAATTATAAATAAAAATGATTAGAACAAGTATATATATAACTATATAGTGACTATTTACCTAACGCTACTCAGCCTGTTATGTTGAGAGGATTAAATATGGTCAGTTAGGTCGAAGATTTAGACCCAAAAGCCAGACAAAATTTCGACTACATAGGATGGCCCGATTTTATTTCTTTAGAATAATACGTTTTCTTAGGCAACATAAAACATTATTTGTGATGTTTAATTGATTATCAGCCAGTTTCACCAACTATTGTTAAATACACTCAAACATAAAATTGAATAAAATCACTTTTAAATAAATGCTTTTATGCTTATTTGTAAATACAGAACCTCAATTTAAAACTTACTAACTTTGCTGGTTTATACTGTGTTTGGTTTGGACTGTACTGACTTGAAATTATTAACTACTGATTTGCATCGAAGCGTTATTTCGAAAGTGATTTTATCACTTTCAGATTTCAAAACTCTTTTAAACCTGTGACTTCCCCGTCACCACTACGCCCCGACTCAACTAAGCTCCGTCCCCACTATGCCCTGAATCAACTGTACTGGTTTTTAACATATTATTTAGAAAGTCAATACTTTTCTAAAAATAGTTTGTCATCAAAGACAGGCAAGATACTTTTAATAAAATTATCTTAATTATAAAATACAATAATTTATGATATACCTATTAAATCGAAATTTATTAAAACTTATTTTTCCCTTAAATATTACGTATATCAAAACTCCGTTTAATGATAGGAATATATATTTTTTGAATATAAAATATATAATGTATTCGATTTTCTATTACAATTTAGTATTTATACAGAATAATTTAGTATACTGGTACTATATACCCCGTTCACTTATATTCTGAACTTATATAAAAACAAACAATACCTTGTTTTTAAATTATAAACCATCTGAAAATCAAAATGTATCTTACCTCCACCATAAGCCTCTCTGATGTGTTTGTCTGTAATAAATAATTTCAAACGTATGTATAAAACTTATAAAATTAAAAAAAAATGTTATATCGTATAAAGATTTGGTACAGACTTGTTTTCTTAACCGAAATTGCATATTCCCCTATGATGAAGAATTAAATATTAAATTTCCCATTAAGATTTTTAACTTCCTTGATGAGTTTCGTGTAAAAATTAAATAATTACCTGTCATTATCGGTGAAACGTTCACAAAGGTAATCGTTATTAAAATGCTGAGAAGCTTCATAGTACTGGACAATAAAAATGAAACAATTCAAATAATATAACGTATAAGAAAGATGTGAATTATAATAGCTTGTTTTACTTTTTGCGTTACAGTGATTTTCTTGCAACTAGTCGTAAGGTCGGTGTGTATGAAGTAAAATAAAAATATAATTTGCAGTATGCAAAGCACTATAATATTTTATAAAAAACTAGTGCAACACTTGTGGTTTGTATTATAAAAAAAATAACGCATACAGGGTGATTTTTTTTATCGTGAGCAACTCTAATTCTCATCTTGTTTAATCAATATATTTTTTCTATAGTGTTTTTATGTAATAAGATCTCCATTGTCCACAAATTTCAATGTTCATACCCCCTCCCCCAATTCAAATTAGTTTTTATGATATTAACTTAAAAAATATTTATTCAAAACTGGTTATTAACCGTCTAATTCACTATTCAATGCATACTTTATGCGTTACCATTTAAGTGTCAAAAGTTGGTGTGAAAATAATTTGTTTGGAAAGGGGTAGGAGGATCATAAACATTATGGTGAAATATTGTATGGCTCATTATTAAAAAATCACCCTGTACATAGTTGTTACATTTTTCAACACATATTTTTTAAACTACAATAACAGCTATCGTATCGGCTATGTGTATCCATGAAATATTAAAACCTATGAGAAAACCCAATATTATATTATTTCACACGCGTGGAAAAAAAACGCGCACTGAAAAAACGTTGTAATACGAAAACAAAACAATTATATCTAACGTTTGTTTTTGGTTCCAAAGTGTGTCGACTTATGAACCCGAATACATGGTAGGATAAGAAATGTTTACTTACTTTTATTGATGATAATGACTGTTTTTCAGTTGTCTAGTCTATTACAAAACAAGTATCAAGAGTTTGAATGTTTTAAATCATATAAAGCATATATATATATATATATATATATATATGTATATATATACACTGTAATCTGTATATATATTTTGACTTAAAGTTATACATGCTGAGATGTGATAATAGAAAAGAGTAGTAAGTAATGTGTTTAAAAGTTTTTGTTAAGTTAAAGAAGTTGTGGTCAACTTTACAATTCCATATACGCCTGAAAACGAATAGTTTAACAGAAAGTTTAAACAGAGTATTCGTAGAAAGAACTAGATCATCGCAACAACAATCAAATGTGTCTAAAGAAATTATGCAACCAGGCCGTACCGACAGCTTGTTGGTTATAAAATGCCATTTTTAATGAAAATTTATTGTTCAACTCAACCAATGGTAAAAAATAAAACGTTTTATATTTTATGGAAAATTTAGAAAATGTTAAAACAACAGAAGAAAAAATGATTAAAATCCACAAGATGAAGAAACATTAAAACGTCTGAAGAACTTGAAAAAGATCGCATGTCAAGATGTGTAAAATTGATCAATTTCTTATTTAAGTAGTAAATCATAGTAAAGGCTTGGATTATATGCTTGGATACCTATGCGCCTGTCTTCGCCATAGTGACAGTTAGCACATTACTAGCACTAGTAGTATACAATAATTTCTCAAGGCGGTATCACAGCTACGTCGTGCGTCGTGTCGTACGCCTTATATCGCCTTCTGATTGGCCGTTGTAATCACGGTATCATTGAGTAACCATGACCTACCGGGTTATTGCTAGAGTTGAGCTGAGCTCAACTTTTGTATCGTGTGGTATAGGTGGTTGAAGTATGGCAATTGCGGTCAATTGATTTTTTATCAATTATCAATTAGAACATACTTATTACTATCACTATCTGCATTAAATGCCGGTTTGTCATTGATGGGCCGTATACGGTATATTTAAAAGTAATTATTTTATCAAATTTCAATTTAATTCGCGAGTTCTCTATGGCATTCACTGATTAGGTGTAACCACAATAGACAATTACAAAATTGGTATTGTACATTTACCATTAGTAACTTTAAGTGGCCACGCCCACTTCTTAAATCGTACGACACGACAGACGACGTAGCTGTGATAACGCCTTCAGGTAGACATCTTATTGTTTTGTGGGCAGGTAGTATTATTATTTTAATTTCGTTTTATGCACTGCAATGGATAGAACTTAATAAAATCACAAGTGGTTTAAAGTATTAAATATCACTAAAAGAAATTGTTTATTATGTAAAACTTTAAATAAAATGACAATTTAAGTACAAGTGCGACATAAAAATATTATTAAAGTAAAATGAAAACAGTAGATGCGATTAAGTTTTTTCAAAGCTAACTACGATTTAGGGTACATTTTAATAGAACCATCTTATTGCCTCATCCAAAACGTCCTCATATTCATTATGAACAGGACGACCTATTGGCCTTACCACAGCAATATAGCCGTCATGAGGTTTGTAATGGAATCTGCCATTTTGTGAACTTAACATACAAACATTATCATCTGGATCAACACGAGCGATTTTTATATACGAATCTGGGAATTGCATACTTCGGAGCAAACCTATTAGAATACATATTTCCTTAAGGTTGGTGAATCCTGGTGTTCCTCTACCTAAAAAAAGATAAAACAAATTGTTTTTAAAAACTTTGCAATTTTAGCTTATATCTACTTTTATTTTTTGTTTTAAACACAGTTTTTACACGTGTATAAGCAAATTCAAAGAAAAAAAATTACAAAACACATAAAAAAAATCCTATTTTAAGTGACCTATTTTGGAATTAAACTTATTAAAATTAATTTAAAAAAGAATAGCCGCAGTTTGCTTTAAAACTTTTTAAATTTATTTATTGTTATGGATTTAGTTTTTCTTTATTTAATATGTATTTATGAAGTTTGTTACAAGTAGAACAATAATCGTAATAGATGTAATATTTACAAAGAGTAGATAGACAGAAAAATGAAGCATACCAAAGGAAGAACTTCAACAAATTTAAATAAAGACATATTTCAAATTTTTTATTCTATAAAACTAGCAGATCATGGTAATAACATTTTATTTAATTCTGTGTGTACTGTTCTTGTTCTAATCTAAAATCTATATATATTGCAACATTATTGATAAAAGTGCATTGCAAAAGTTTAAAATGGCAATAAATAAATAAAACAAACAAGGTTAATCATAATGCTACCAATAGTTGTATGTTAAAATAAGAGTCTAAAAAACTCATTATCTTATATGTTGTGTGAGTTCTATGCCTACTTGTATTGTTACATTATTATTGATATAATAATATAATATATTATTGATATGTTTATGTAGAAATCGAACATAACATTAATAATAAAAGATCCACCTTTGGTAATTATTTAGAATATTTGAATAGACAGTATGCTGGTCTACTAGAAAGCAAACGAAGGTTATACTTTCTTAAACTTAGGCCGAATATCTAGCGTAGCATCGGCTAAACAAGAATATAAGTGGATAGAATATTTACTTGTTGAGATGAAGTGTATAAGTTATAATAAATATATTATTTGAATGGTACATCGAATAATTTATTTATAATTAAAAGTATATCTAGTAGAAATCTAAATAAATATTTATATTTACTTATTGCAGCCTTAAGTAACGTAAATGTAATATATCCCATTGTTTTTCGTCTGCTTTCTCCAAGTATAGACAATGTGCGACGATCATTCGAATTATCTGTGAAAAAAATAAAGTTACGTTGTTAACAAATAAAATTAAAAAAAAACTGGCTCATTGGCTTATAAACTAGGACTTTAGAGCTATTTACGTTATTTATTAAACGGTTGCTTACTTTCGTGGCGGCCAAGCTTAGGCACACGGATATCTGTATAAAAATGTTGAAAATTTTAAATATTTTACACTAAAAAACTCACAAAAAAGTTTGGATTATAATTTAAATGATCATACAACTTAATATTTATGATTTTTAAAAATAATTTGCATTAATGTGTGTTAGACATTATATTATTACTTGTAACTTGGAATATTGCTTCTTGCACTGCCTTCTGATCAGCTATGGCAATATTTTCTAAAATACAAGCAAAATAACATACATTTTCTTATGACAGGATTTATAATTTAATTAATTATCAGCCGGTTTTTACATCTATTGTTAAATACACTCTTAACACAAAGTTAGTGAACAGTTAATTTAAACTTAACATCTGGAATAATGAAGTAAGTTTCTCCATAACATTACTTTTGTGAGATTCTCTTTGTTAAGCTAACAAAACTTTAGTTGGGTTACATAAGCGGTTAGCCTGATTCCAACGTGCTCATTGGTTATTAAGGTATGTGATAACTGACTAGTGATTGAATTATTTAATTTGTCAGTTTGTTATTACTTAGCATTTTATTTTACTTTCTTATAACATTTCGGCTTATATAAATAATTTATATATAATTGTGTATTACATTGTTGAGATAGTCCTATACCTTTCTAAAAATAGTTGGTCATGAAGTTAATTCAAATATCTTGAGAAAATTGTATTACAATTTTTTATCAAAACACTTAAAGGTAAAATATGACACTTTGAAAAAATACTATATAATATATGTTATATTAGGAAAAATATAATGTATCCATATTAATTAAATAAAAAAAAAACATAGTACGTAACCAAAAACCGTATAATATATACTTGTATAAGAAACTGATAGTGTCAGTATTAGGAGTATAAAATATGTACAAATAGGTTACCTGGTAAGTTGATAATAAACGACTCATCTAAAATTAAAACAAATATATGTTATCAAGCTATGTGGAAATTAACTATATATATAATAATTATTTTTAAATAGTAAATTTGATGACATAAATGACCTGTAAAAGGGCTGTTCACAAACGAATTGTTAGGATTTAATATTTTTGTAATTTATAAAATATTAAGTATATACCTTTCCATTTTTTTGTTAGATTTTAATTACAATTTTTTTTTTTTTTGTGTCTTTTTCAAGTGTTTTTTTCATAGACAACGTTGGATGTTGAAAGAAATATTAAAGAGAGTACACATTTTTTGAACTAGAATTTTTTCAATTAAAAATTTTTTTTTTATCTAAATAAACGAAAAAACGAGAAGTACTACTTAAATTTGAGGTAGAGATTTAATATCTGGGAGTTTTTTTTCGGGAAGACTAACATCAATTGAAAGTGTGAGCCATTGGAAATAGCATCTGTGTAAAGTATTAGTAGTTTATAACAATTGGTTACCATGCTCAATTGTGAATCTAAAATTTGCTTTATCTGAAATTAAAACGAAAATATGTTATGCCCAAATTAGTTATTAATTATTATCAAAAACTATGTGAAAATACTTTCAATAAGTAATAAGAAATATTATTACCCGGTATAGCCAACATCAAATTAAGAGTGTCTAAAATTGAAATAATATAACTTGTTTAATTATTGATGTTCGATATTTTTAAAACACTATAATTTTAACACTTTTTTCGAGTAGCTTTCTATACATAATTTTTTTATTTGTATTGCATAATAATAATTACCGAACTTTTTATTTCCGTTAATGATATTTAAAATAGCAGTTGTCAGTCCACCAGGGTCTAAAAGCATATAGTGGATAAAGCTTTACACAAAATTTCAAATGAAATCTTATTAATGTATGTAATTATTAGGTCGACGATTTAGACCCAAAAGCCAGACAAAATTTCGACTACATAGGATGGCTCGATTTTAATTCTTTAGAACAATACGTGTTCTTTGGCCACATTATTTATGTAGTTTAATTGATATACAGCAGGTTTCACTAACTATTGAAAAATACACTCTTAACACAATGTAAGTTACCCAATCATTTAAAATTAACATAAACGTTAGTTGGGCTGTCTCGATTCCAGTATTCTCCTTGGTTATGAAAACCAAAGATATGTTAAGAATGATAGCTGATAAGCGATTGTAATATTTAATTGGTCAGTTTGTTATTATTTGACATTTTATTTTAACGTTTCGGTTTATATAAATAATTTATAAGTCATTTTTTATCACATTGTTTAGATAGTCTATACCTTTCTAAAAATAGTTTGTCATTAAGGACAGGCAAGAAATTCCTAATAATATTATCCTAATTATAAAACAATATTAATTATAATATACCTATAATGCAAGTCCGTGCTATTCCTTTGTACCTGATCTACCTACATAAAATAATTTATGCTTACCTAATAATAAGTTATCGAAGTTGTCATTTCTACAGTTCTCTAAATACCCATTATAAAGAAAGTCCTCAGTAACTAAAGTAACTGGTAAATAAATTAACATGGTCGAAATGGAATAAAACTTTTTTTTCACCTTAAATATTGTGTTTACAAAATTCTGTTTAATTATAGGGGTATATTTTTTGAATATAAATTATATAATGTATTCGTTTTTCTATTACAATTTAGTATTTTTACAGAATAATTTGGTATTTTGGTGTAATATACCCCGTTTTTTTATATTCTGAACTGATATAAAAACAAACTATAGCTTGTTTTTATTTATAAATCATCTGAAAATCAAAATAAATCTTACTTGTATCGCACGCCTTTCTGATGTGTTTGTCTGTAATAAATAATTTCAAACATATGTATAAAACTTATAAAATTAAAAAAAAATGTTATATCGTATGAAAATTTGGTACTGACTTGTTTTGCTAACCGTATTTGCATATTCATCTATGATGAGGAATTAAATATTAAATTTTCTGTTAAGATTTTTAACTCCCTCGAAGAGGTACGTGTGAAAATTAAATAATTACCTGTCATTATCGGTGAAACGTTCACAAAGGTAATCGTTATTAAAATGCTGAGAAGTTTCATAGTACTGGACAATATAATTGAATCAATTCAAATAATATAACTTATAAGAAAGAAATGAATTATAATAGCTTGTTTTACTTTTTGCGTTAAAGTGATTTTCTTGCAACTAGTCGTAAAGCTGGTGTGTCGTTTTACCAACGAAAGAAGTAAAATGAAAATATAATTTGCAGTATGCAAAGCACTTCAATATTTTATAAAAAAACTAGTGCAACACTTGTGGTTTGTATTATAAAAAAAATAACGCATACAGGGTGATTTTTTTTATCGTGGGCAACTCTAAGTCTCACCTTGTTTAATCAGTATAGTTTTTCTATAGTGTTTTTATGTAATGTGATCTCAATTGTCCACAAATTTCAATGTTCATACCCCATCCCCCACTTCAAATAAGTTTTTATGATAGTAACTTAAAAAATAATTATTCAAAACTGGTTATTAACCGTCTAATTCACTATTCAATGCATACTTCATGCGTTACCATTTAAGTGTCAAAAGTTGGTGTGGAAATAATTGGTTTGGAAAGGGGTAGGAGGATCATAAACATAATGGTGAAATATTGTATGGCTCATTATTAAAAAATCACCCTGTACATATTTGTTACATTTTTTCACTTGTACTTTTTACTTTTACCTATTATAGATGTTCCACTGCGACGACTTTTAGTCATTCTTTAAGGAAAATATATTCGACAATAACGTGTTACACAGTTATTTGTACACATATTTTTCAAACTACAATAACAGCTATCGTGTTGGCTATGTGTATTCATGAAAATTCAAAACCTATGGGAAAACACAACATTATATGATTTCACACGCGTGGAAAAAAAATGCGCACTGAAAAAACGTTGTAATACGAAAACAATAAAATTATATCTAAAAGATAATCAAATAGTAGATACTAAACCCCAGCTTAAGTCTAAAGATTTTTCGTCTTTCGAACACATCCGAATGTCACAACGTATCATAACGCGTAGTTATTTATTATATCTGATAATGATAGGGTAACACGACAAATTATCTTTATGGGATGTAATAGAACTATTTATATTTGTAGTAACAATTGAAAATATTAATAAATACATTCAAATAATCAAATCTTTATAAAGTCATAACAAATGAACAATTAAATTCAAAATTCAAACGCTAAAATATGTTTTGTCTACAAACTTTTGTAATGAAAATCATATGTTACCATGAAAAAAAAACCAAAACTCCTTTATTGAATTTTTTTTTTTTTTATTGATCATTTTCATTTTTCAAGAGAATGTGTAATTTTTAAATTAAGTTATATAAGTCAGTTGATTTTAGGAAGTCGATCATCTTGGCATTGTTCTCGGGTTCTGGTCCTAGTGAAGTGTCAAGTGTCGCGTCGATTCCAATCCTTTGTCTGTCTTGTTCGTACTTGAGGCATTCGGTTAATATGTGTTTCACGGTCAGTCTTACACCGCAAGCTACATATATAGGAGTTTCTTCCTTAGCCATTAGATAACTATGGGTTAGTCTCGCGTGTCCGATTTGCATGCGGTTTAGTATTGTTTCATCTTTCCTTTTTAGAAAGCTGTTAATCCATCGGTTAGTGGAACTTTTAATAGTGTTCAGTTTGGTAGTTTGTTGCTTCCATAACTGAAGTGATTTGTCGTTGGACATCTCATTAATCTGGGTTTTTAAGTCATCGTATGTTAGCCCTGGTATTAATGTTACTTCCGTATTTTGGGTGGCAATTTTAGCCTGTTGGTCGGCTAACTCGTTACCTTTGATGCCTGCATGTCCAGGAACCCACATGAGCGTGATTTGTTTGTTCATAGTTGAGGCTTCGTTTAGTTTGTTTTGAATTTTTATTGCGATGTCGCCGGGATGGAATTGGTTTTTGATGCTGTTGAGGGTACTTAGGGAGTCACTAAAAATAATATGTTTTGAGTGCTCTTCATGTATTATTCTTTTTATTGCCTCTAGTATCGCAATTGCTTCAGCCGAGAATATGGAACATGTGCTTGGAAGTTTGAATAATAGATTTCTGTTTTGGAATATTATTGAAAAGCCAACTTTGTCTTGGGATTTAGAAGCATCGCTGTATACTTTTTGGTAGTCTTTATATTGTTCTAGTATACTGAGAAAGTGACTTCTGTATACTGGGGGAGGAGTTTGAGGTTTTAGGAGGGAAGTTAGTTCTGTATTTATTGCGTAATGAGCTATCCAAGGAGGATAGGTCATTGGTTCTCTTGAAATTATTTGAGCCGTGTTAATACCGTTTACTTTTAATTCTTGGTGAATTTCAGTATTTTCCTCTGTGAGTGAGTTGAAGTTGGCTCTAACTGTTCTAACCATGTATTTTAGAGCTTAGTCTATCCTTTTTATCTCGGGTAGGTGTTCTCCAGTTATGTTATATATGCTTAAAATTGGACTACTGCGGAAAGCACCTATAGCTAGTCTTAGTCCGCTGTTGTTGATAGTATCAATTGCTTTTAGGATAGAGTATGTTGCAGATTTGAACATAATGGATCCATAGTTTAGTCTGGACTGTATAGTAGATCTGTGGATTTTGATTAGTGTTTCGGAATCACCTCCCCAAGCTGTGTGGGATAGTATTTTGAGTAAGTTTAGAGCGTTGTTGATTCTTTATTGAATTATAATGTTTGTTAAAAACAATTTTCAATATATTTCAAAATATAGTACAATGTGTGCCAACAAATCTTGGAAAAATTATTGTTCAAAATAATAATATCTTCTGAGAAAATTTTTGTCTTACCCAAAATGAATCACACTGGAGATGTGTGCAACCTAAAAAAAATGTTTTTAATTTCTCTTAAAACTGTATTATATTAATACCAATAATTGTCTGAAGATCCTGAAAAAGATCACATGTCGAGAAGAACAAAATTTATTATTTTAGTGGTAAATCGTACTAAAGGCTTGGATTGTATTGATACGTATGCGTCTGTCTTCGCCATAGTGACTTTTAGCACATTACTAGCACTAGTAGTATACAATAATTTCTCAGGTAAATATCATATTGTTTTGTGGGCAGTTAGTATTATTAGGTATTTTTATTTCGTTTTATGCACTGCAATGGATAGAATTTAATAAAATCACAAGTGGTTTAAAGAATTAAATATCACTAACAGAAATTGTTTATTATGTAATACATTAAATAAAATGACAATTTAGATTCAAGTGTGACATATAAATATTATTAAATTAAAAAAAACAGTAGGTCTGATTTAGATTTTTAAAAGCTAACTACGATTGAGGGTCTATTTTACTAAAACCATCTAAACATCTCATTCAAAACGTCTTCAATTGGATTACCCACTGGATTTACCGCAACAATATAGCCCATGTAAGGTTTGTATTGGAATCTGCTATATTGTGAAGTTAAAATACAAACATAACCAGCTTGATCAACACTAGCGGTTTTTATATACGAATCTGGGTATCGCATACTTCGGAGCAAACCTATTAGAATACATATATCGTTCAAATTGGAGAACTCTGGTTTTCCTTTATCTAAAAAATTATAAAAAAAATTGTTTTTAAAAACTTGTCAATTTTAGATTACATCTAAATTTATTTTTTGTTCAAAACACAGTTCTTACACGTGTATATGCAAAATCATAGAAAAATAATTACATTACACCTTAAAAAACCATATTTTATGTAACTTATTTTGAAATAAAATTGATTTGATTTTTATTTATACAAACTTATACAATTTAGAACAAAAAGCATAATAAATGTAGTATTTACAAAGAGCAGATTGACAGAAAAAGAAGCCTCCCTTGGAGGAACTTCGACAAAATTAAATAAAGATATTTTTCAAATGTTTTATTTTATAAAACTAGCAGATTAGGGTAATGTAGTTTTATTTAATGTTATGTGTACTATTCTTATCTAATGTTAAATCTTTTATATATCTTGCAAATTTATTGATAAAATGACATTGTACAAGCGACAGATCATACAAGTTAAAAATGACAATAAATTAATAAAAATAACATGGTTTAATCATAATGCTACCAATATTTGTATGTTTAAATAAGAGTCTAGAAAACTCATTAATATATAATGTGTGAGTTCTATGCCTACCTGTAATGTTACATTATTATTGATATAATAATATAATATATTATTGATATGTTGATACAGAAATCGGTAATGACGACAATAATAACAACCTGTGGTAATTATTTAGAATATTTGAATAGACAGTATGCTGGTCTACCAGAAAGCAAATGACTAGGTTTGGCATAGGGCATAGGCTATACAAGAATATATGTGAAAAACAGAATTACTAGTTGAGATGTGTATAAATTATAAATGTATTATTTGAATGGTACATCTAATAGAATAATTTTAATTAAAAGTAAAACTAGTGAAAATCTACACAAAATATTCACCTATTGCAGTGACAAGTACATTTTGTGTAACATGTCCAATTATTTTTCGTCTATCTCCTCCAAGCCGAGACAATGTGCTACGATCATTCGAATAATCTGTGAAAAAAATAAGTTACAGTGTTCTAAATAAAATTTAAAAAAAATGGATAATTGACTTATAAACTAAGACTTTAGAGCTATTTACGTCAGTTATTAAATGGTTGCTTACTTTCGTTGCGGCCAAGTTTAGGCACAGGGATATCTATGTAAAAAATATGAAAATTATAACTATTTTAAACTAAAATACCAACAAAAAAAATCATTGTAAAAATTTGTACATTTGTTTGAATTATATTTCTAATGATCATGAAACTTAAAATTTATGATTTTTGAAAATTGTTCTCAATAATGTATGTTAGACTTTATATTTACTAGTAGCGTGGTATATTGCTTCTTGCACTTTCTCCTGGTCAGCTATGGCAATATGTTCTGAAATACAAAAAATATTATATACAATATTTTCTTATAACAGAAATAATAATATATTTTATACTAGCAAAAATATCATTCCCCCATAATAATCGAACAAAAAAAAAAAATCACTCGGTACTTAAACAAAAACCGTATAATATACCAGTTTCTTATACCAGTAAGTATAAGAAACTGATAGTGTCAGTATTAGGAGTATAAAATATGTACAATTTAAAAAAAATTAACATAGTACGTAAACAAAACCGTAAAATATATACTTTTATAAAAAACTGATAGTGTGAGTATTAGGAGTATAGAATATAAATACAAATAGGTTACCTGGTAAGTTGATAATAAATGACTCGTCTAAAATTAAAACAAATATATGTTATCAAGCTATGTGTATAATTACCTATGTATGTACTAATTATTTTCAGTTAGTAAATTTGATGACATAACATGTACACACATGACATAAATGACAGAAAATAGGGGCTGTTCACTATCGGCACAGCAAGTTTTAATATTTTTGTAATTTGTAAAATATTAGTTATATACATATGCATTTTTTTGTTAGATTTTAATTACAAATTTTTTTTAAATAAATCTTGAGACCAGTTTTATCGTAGACGACGTTTGGAATTGTCAAAAAAAATTAAAAAAAAGGACATATTTTTAAAATTATAATTTTTTCATTGAAAAATTAATATTTTCTATGTAAATAAAAAAAAAAAAACGAGAGGTACTACTTAGATTTGAAGTAGAGATCTAATATCTAAGGATTTTTTTTCGGGAAGACTAACATCAATGTGTGAAAGTGTGAGTCATCGGAAAAAAAAATTAATTATATTGCTATATAAGAATCTGTGTAAAGTATAAGTAGTATATAACAATTGGTTACCATGCTCAATTGTGAATCTAAAATTTACTTTATCTGAAATTAAAACGAATATATGTTATGCCCAAATAAGTTACTAATAATTTTTAAAAACTATGTGATAATACTTTCAATAAGATATAAGAAATATTATTACCTGGTACAGCCAACATCAAATTAAGTGTCACTGAAATAGAAATAATATAAATTATTGAATTAATGAAATTCGATATTTTTAAATACTATAATATTAACACTTTTTTTGAGTAGCAATCTATATATATATATATATATAAAATTGTATTATTTTTATTGCATAATAATTCTTACCGAACGTTTTATTTATGTTAATAATATTTAAAATTGCAGTTTCCAGTCCATCAGGATCTATAAGCAAATAGTGGTTTTAGCTATACACAAAATTTCAAATGAAATCTTATTAATGTATATAATTATAAATAAAAATGTTTAGAACAAGAATATATATAACTATATAGTGACTATTTACTTAACGTTAATCAGCCTGTCATATAAAGATGAATGAATGCGATTAGTTACGTCGACGAATTAGACCCAAAAGCCAGACAAAATTTCGACCACATAGGATGGCCCGATTTTTATTTTTTTTAGAACAATACCCCTATCGCTCAATCTCTATCTTCCATCCTATCACTCACCCCTATTCCCTACCCCTATCTCCCAACCCCTATCACTCTTTCCTATCTCCCATTCTATCACTCACTTCCTACCCCCTATTACTCACCCTATCCCCTACCACATATCTCCCACCCTAACCCCTACCATATATCTCCCACCCTCATCACTCACCACTATCCCCAACCCCTATCACTCGCCCTTCCCCCTACCCATATCTCCCGACCCCTCTCCCCTACCCCCTCTCCCCTACCCCCTCTCCCCTACCCCCTCTCCTCTACCCCCTATCTCACGAACCCTCTCCCCTACACCCCTATCCCCCACCCCTATCGTTCACCCCTATCCTCTACCCCTATCTCATATCTCATATTAGATAACAGCATAACACTTTTTTCGTTATGCTTTTTTCGGTTATTTGCCACTGCTAATTCCACCCCAACCCCATTCCCACCCCCAACCTCATCTTCATTCCAATTTCTTTTTTCGTTACGCTTTTTTGGTAACGCTTTTTGATATTTTCATGCTTAGCTCTGGCACATAACCCTGGCACATAAACGAAAAAAACGTTACGAAAAACACAAATCAGCCATTTTTCAGCCGAGTCTGCAACCACGATAAAACATTTTCGCGTCTCGTTGAAGTACCAAATAAATTGCACTTTTTTTCGGTTATGTACTTAATAAAAAGATATCGAAGTTGTCACTTCTACAGTTCTCTAAATACTCATTAGTTAGAAGGTCCTCATCAAATGTGTAATTCATTATTATATATTACTAATATACTCAGTCAACAAAAATGATAGAACAATTTCTTAACTATAACAATATAAATATTATAAATATAAGTCTACAATACATTTTTACATGCCAATTTCGGGTGATAAATTAAACAATTTGTTAAGGCTAACAAATCGATGAAATCCAATTTTCATTTACTAGTATATAAATATAATTAACAATAAGTTAAAATTTAAGGGTTTGGTGAAACCGACTGAATATGTTGCAAATTTCATTTATTTAATTACAGAAAACTGAAATGTTTAAATTAAAATCGGCTTCCTTCATAGCATTGTAGCCAAAAAACTCTAATCCTATGTTGTCGAAATTTTGTTAGACTTTTAGGTCTAAAATAAACCAAAATGGCCAATACCCATAGCAATAATTATTTAAATTAAAAATTATACCTTGAAGCTTGTACAAAGTAACTGGTAAATAAGTTGGCATGGTCGAAATTGATTAAAACTTATTTTTCCCTTAAATAATTTGTATAGAAAACTCCGTTTAAATATAGCAATAGATTTTTTGAATAAAAATTATAAAACGTATTTGATTATCTATTACAATATAGAATTAATACAGAGTAATTTAGTTTACTGGTACTATATACCCCCTTCAATTATATTCTGAACAGATAAAAAACAAACTGTAGCTTATTTTTAGTTTATAAATCATCTGAAAAAAAAATTAACTTACTTGTTACATAAGCCTTTATAATATGGTAGTCTGTAATAAATAATTTCAAACGTTTGTATAAAAATGATAAAATTAAAAAAAAATGTTATATCGTATAAAAATTTTGTACTGACTTGTAAGGTAAACCGAATTTGCATATGGCGCTGTGATATATAGTCAAATATTTAATTGCAATTCAGATTTTTAACTACCTGGATGTGATAGGTGTAAAAATTAAATAATTACCTGTCATTATCGGCGAAACGTTCACAAAGGCAAGCGTTATTAATATGCAGAGAAGCTTCATAGTGCTGGATAATAAAAATGAAACAATTTAAATAATATAACGTATACGAAAGATATAAATTATAATAGCTTGTTTTACTTTTTGCGTTACAGTGATTTTCTTGCAACTATTCATAAGGTCAGTGTGTCGATATATCAACCAAAGAAGTAAAACGAATATATAATTTGCAGTATGCAAAGCACTATAATATTTTATAAAAAACTAGTGCAACACTTGTGGTTTGTATTATAAAAAAAATAACGCATACAGTGTGATTTTTTTTATCGTGAGCAACTCTAATTCTCACCTTGTTTAATCAATATATTTTTTCTATAGTGTTTTTATGTAATAAGATCTCAATTGTCCATAAATTTCAATGTTCATACCCCCCCCCCTCTTCAAATTAGTTTTTATGATAGTAACTTTAAAAATAATTATCCAAACTGGTTATTAACAGTCTAATTCACTATTCAGTGCATACTTTATGTGTTACCATTTAAGTGTCAAAAGTTGGTGTAATAATAATTTGTTTGGAAATGGGTAGGAGGATCATAAACATTATGGTGAAATATTGTGTGGCCCATTATTAAAAAATCACCCTGTACATAGTTGTTACATTTTTTAACACATATTTTTTAAACTACAATAACAGCTATCGTATCGGCTATGTGTATCCATTAAATATTTAAACCTATAAGAAAACACAATATTATATTATTTCACACGCGTGGAAAAAAAACGCGCACTGAAAAAACGTTGTAATACGAAAACAAAACAATTATATCTAACGTTTATTTTTGGTTCCAAAGTGTGTCGACTTATGAACCCGAATACATGGTAGGGTAAAAAATGTTTACTTACTTTTATTGATGATAATGACTGTTTTTCAGTTGTCTAGTCTATTACAAAACAAGTATCAAGGGTTTGAATGTTTTAAATCATATAAAGCATATATATATATATATATATATATATATATACACTGTAATCTGTATATTTATTTTGACTTAAAATTATCCATGCTGAGATGTGATAATGGAAAAGACTAGTAAGTAATGTGTTTAAACGTTTTTGTTCAGTTAAAGAAATTGTGGTCAACTTTACAATTCCCTATACGCCTGAAAACAAATAGTTTAACAGAAAGATTAAACAGAGTATTCGTAGAAATAACTAGATCGTCGCAACAACAATTAAATGTGTCTAAAGAAATTATGCGGACAAACCTTACTGACAGTTACTTGCCATGAAACACTACTAGACTACCAATATATTATAATTTAAACTAGACGCCTGTTGAACTGTCGACTAGTTTTAACCTAAATTTGTAAACTATCATAACCAACTAAGGCGCAAAATTGATTCAAGATCAAGAAAACGTATACTTGTTGGTTATAAAATGCCATTTTTGATGAAAATTTATTGTTCAACTCAACCAATGGTAAAAAAAAAAACGTTTTATACTTTATGGAAAATTTAGAAAATGTTAAAACAACAGAAGAAAATATTGATTAAAATCCACAAGATTAAAAAAACATTAAAACGTCTGAAGAACTTGAAAAAGATCGCGTGTCAAGATGTGTAAAATTTATCAATTTCTTATTTAAATAGTAAATCATAGTAAAGGCTTGGATTATATACTTTTATCTTATTTTGTATAGTAAATTTCTAAAAATATTTTAAAATTTGATAACATTTAACACTGTTTTAATACTATTCCACATACACAAATAATAACTACCTACTAACATCAACCGTTTTTATACATGAATCTGGGAATCTTAAACTTCTTACAAACCTAATAGACGATATATTTCGGTAAATTTGAGTTATTCTGGTGCTCCATTACCTTAAACATTTTAAAAAAATGTAACTACTAAGCTTGTACAAAATTTTTTTAATTTTTCTCAAAAATATATTATTTTAATACCAAAAATTGTATAAATTGTATAACGGCTTATTGCATAAAAGAATTGAACTCCAAACAGAGTGTGTGGACTTATGAAACCGAAAACATGGAAGGGTAAGAAATGTTTACTTACTTTTATTGATTATTATGCCTGTTTTTCAGTTGTCTTGTCTATTACAATACATCTGTCAATGGTTTGATTGTTTCAATACAAATAAAGTTATAAATATACACTGTATGTGTATATTTTTAAATTATCCATGCTGAGTTGTGACAATGGACAAGAGTAGTTAAGTGATGTGTTTAAAATTTTTTGTTAAGCTACAGAAATTGTGGTCGACTTTACTATTCCCTATACACTTGAAAACAAATAGTTTAACAGAAAGATTAAACACAGTATTTATAGAAAGAACTAGATCATTTCTACAACAATCAAATTTGTCTTAAGAAATTAAGCAAATAGGAATATCAAATTGAAACAAGACACCTGTTAAATTGTGGATTGGACATAATTTAAATTTGCCACATTTTGAATTCTCAGATGTCTCAGAACTAAGGCGCAAGTTAGATTCAATATCGAGAAAACGTATACTTGTTGGTTGTACAATAAACCGCTGAGGAATATTAAACCAATAAACAAAGCCTGGATGTCATTTTAGGACATTGTATTATTTATAATTGTATTGTTTTTACTCAACCATTGAAAGAGAATAAAAGAAAGAATATTTTCTAGTAGAAAATGTTGAAACAACAGAAGAAAGAACATATTGATGAAAAACCTCAAGATGAAGAAAACATTTATTATTTTAGAGGTAAATCATAGTAACGACTTGGGTTATGTTGATACATATGCGTCTGTCATCGCCATAGTAAATTTTAGCACATTACTGGCACTAGCAGTACACAATAATTTTTCAGATAAACATCATATTGTTTTGTGGGTAGGTAGTATTAGTAGTGTACAATACACTACTAGTATTATTATTTTAATTTCATTTTAGGCACTGCAATGGATAGAATTTTATAAAATCACAGGTGGTTAAAGTATTAAATATCACTAAAAGAAATTGTTTATTATGTAATTCATTAAATTAAATGACAATTTAGATACAAGAGTGACATATAAATATTATTGAAGTAAAATAAAAACAGTACATGCGATTAAGTATTTTAAAAGCTATCTACGATTGAGGGTCTATTTAACCTGAGCCATCCCATTGCTTCATCCAAAACGTCCTCATATTCATTATGAATAGGACGACCCATTGGCCTTACCACAGCAATATAGCCCCTATAAGGTTTGTAATGGAATCTGCCATTTTGTGAAGTTAACATACAAACATTATCATCTTGATCAACACGAGCGCTGATTATATACGAATCTGGGAATTGCATACTTCGGAGCAAACCTATTAGAATACATATTTCCTTAAGGTTGGTGAATCCTGGTGTTCCTTTATCTAAAACATTATATCTATTTTTATATTTAGTTCATAATACAGTTTATTCACGTGTAAAAGCAAAATCAGAGAAAAAGAAATTCAAAACACATAAAAAACTAACAGATTAGGATTATAATATTTTATTTAATTCTATGTGTACTATTCTTGTTCTAATCTTAAATATTTTATAAATCTTGCAAAATTATTGATAAAAAGGACATTGCAAAAGTGACGGATCAAAAAAGTTTAAAATGACAATAAATTAATAAAAATAATATGGTTTAATCATAAAGCTACCAATATTTGTATTTTTAAATAAGAGTCAAGAAAACTCATTCATATATGTTGTGTGAGTTCTATGCCTACTTGTATTGTTATTTTATTATTGATAAAATAATAAAATATATCAATAATATAATATACTATTGATATGTTTATGTAGAAATAGAAAATGACGTCAATAATAAAAGATCCACCTTTGGTAATTATTTAGAATACTTTGATAGACAGTATGCTGGTCTACTAGAAAGCAAGCGACGCGACGGTAATAATTTCTTAAACGTAGGCCGAATACTAGCGTAGCATCGGCTATACAACAATATTAGTGGATAGAAGAATTACTTGTTGAGATGAAGTGTATAAATTAAAAATATATTATTTGAATGGAACATCGAATATTAAAATTATTGTTAAAAGTAAATCTAATAGAAATCTACAAAAATATTTATACTTACCTACTGCATAGATCAGTACACGTGTTGTATAATATCCCATTATTACTCGTCTACTTATTCCAAGCCGAGACAATGTGCGACGATCATTCGAATAAACTATGAAAAAAATAAAGTTACGTTGGTAACAAATAAAATTAAAAAAAAATTGGTTATTTGGCTTATAAACTAGGACTTTAGAGCTATTTACGTTATTTAATAAACGGTTGCTTACTTTCGTTGCGGCCAAGCTTAGGCACAGGGATCTCTGTATAAAAATTGTGGACATTTTTAATATTTTACACTAAAAAACTCACAAAATCGTTTGAAATATATTTTAAATGATCATAAAATTTAATAACTATGATTTTTGAAAATAATTCGCATTAATGTGTGTTAGACTTTATATTATTACTTGTTACTTGGAATATTGCTTCTTGCACTGCCTCCTGATCAGCTATGGCAATATTTTCTGAAATTCAAACAAAATAACATACATTTTCTTATGACAGGAATTTTAGTATAATAGATTATGTCTATTTAATTTTTTTAATTTCATAACATGAGGACTTCTTATTATATTGAAAAAGTAAATTACGACACTTGAAAAATACTATATAATATATTTTATTATGACAAAAATGGTAATATATATTTTATATTAGGAAAAATATCATTTCCCCATAATAATCAAATAAAAAAAATCACTCGGTACTTAAACAAAAACCGTATAATATATACTGGTGTAAGAAACTGATAGTGTCAGTATTCGGAGAATAAAATATATACAATTGGATTACCTGGTAAGTTTATAATAAATGCCTCGTCTAAAATTAAAATAAATATATGTTATCAAGCTCTGTGGATAATTTACTCTGTGTGTACTAATTATTTTCAAATAGTAAATTTGATGACATTACATGTACACAAATGACATAAATGACCGAAAAAGGGGGCTGTTCACTAACGGCACAACAGGTTTTAATATTTTTGTAATTTGTAAAATGTTAAATATATACCTATCCATTTTTTTGTTAGATTATAATTTTTTTTATTTTTAATAAATCTCAGGACTATTTTTTTATAGACGACATTGGAAGTTGTCAGAAAAATGAAAGAAAGGACATATTTTTCAAACTAGAATTTTTCAGTGAAAAATTAATATTTTCTATGTAAATAAACGAAAAAACGAGAGGTACTACTTAGATTTGAAGTAGAGATCTAATATCTAAGTAGTTTTTTTTCGGGAAGACTAACTTCAATTGAAGGTGAGAGCCTTTGGAGAAAAAACTTAATTATATTGGTATATAAGAATCTGTGTAAAGTATTAGTAGTATATAATAATTGGTTACCATGCTGAATTGTGAATCTAAAATTTACTTTATCTGAAATTAAAACGAAAATATGTTATGCCCAAATTATTTATTAATATTTATCAAAAACTATGTGAAAATACTTCCAATAAGAGTTAAGAAATATTGTTACCTGGTAAAGACAACATCAAATTAAGTGTCACTGAAATAGAAATAATATAAATTGATGAATTAAACATGTTCGATATTTTTAAAACACTATAATATTAACACTTTTTTTCGAGTAGCAATCTATAAATAATTTTTTTCATTTAATTTGCATAATTATGATTACCAAACGTTTTATTTCCGTTAATGATATTTAAAATAGCAGTTATCAGTCCATCAGGATCTAAAAGCAAATAGTGGTTTTAGCTATACACAAAATTTCAAATGAAATCTTAATAATGTATATAATTATAAATAAAGAGGTATAGAACAAGAATATACATAGCTATATAGTGACTATTTATTTAACGCTAATATGCCTGTCATGTAAATAGGACTGAATGCGGTCAGTTACGTCGACGATTCAGACCTAAAAATCAAACAGAATTTCGAATACATTTACCTTACATCTACTTTAATTTGGAAACATTACTTATGTAGTATAGTTGTTATGCTGCCGGTTTCACTAACTATTGTTAAATACACTCTTTACACGATGTAAGTTAACAAATCATTTAAAATTAACATCTGATTAAATAAAATAATTTTCTCCATAACATAAGTATTGTTAAATTATATTTGTTAAGTTAACAAAACGTTAATTGGATTACTAAAGCGGTTACCTCGATTCTTACATTCTCTTAGGTACTGATTGTAATATTTAATTTGTCAGTTTGTTATTTTTTGACATTTTATTTTACTTTATTTTAATGTTTCAGTTTAAATAAATAATTTGTACATTATTTTTTAACACATTATAAATATAGTCTATACCTTTCTGAAAATAGTTTGTCATTAAGGACAGGCAAGATATTCCTAATAATATTCTCTTAATTATAAAATACAATAAATTATGATATACCTATAATGCATGTCTGTGTCATTCCTTTGCACCTGATCTACCTACATGAAATAACTTATACTTACCCAATAAAGAGTTATCGAAGTTGTCATTTCTACAGTTCTCTAAATACTCATTAGTTAGAAGGTCCTCATCAAATGTGTGATTCATTATTATATATTACTAATATACTCAATCAACAAAAATTATGGAACAATTTCTTAACTATAATAACATAAATATTATAAATATAAGTCTACAATACATTTTTACATGCCGATTTTGGGTGATAAATTTAACAATGTGTTAAGGCTAACAAATCGATGAAACCCAATTTTCATTAACTGGTTGTTAAATATTATTTACAATAAGTTAAGTTTCTAACAGGTGTAAGTGAAACCGGCTTAATATGTTGCAAATTTCATTAATTTAATTACAGAAAACATAAATAATTAAATAAAAATCGGCTTCTTACATAAATTATAGTGTTGTAGCCAAAAAACTTGAATCCTATACTGTCGAAATTTTGTTAGACTTTTAGGTCTAAAATAAACCAAAATGGCCAATACCCATAGAAAAAATTACTTAAATTAAACCTTGAAGCTTCTACAAAGTAACTGGTAATTAAATTGGCATCATCAATATTAATTAAAACTTATTTTTTCCTTAAATATTGCGTACACAAAACTCCGTTTGAATATAGAAATAGACTTTTTGAGTATAAAATGTATAATGTATTCGATTTTCTATTACAATTTAGTATTTATATAAAATAATTTGGTATACTGGTATTATATAACCCGTCCACATATATTCTGAACTGATATAAAAACAAACTATAGCTTTTAACAAATTTAAAGTTTAAGTTTCTAACCAAACTAGCTATTACAATATAGAATTAATACAGAATAATTTGGTTTACTGGTACTATATACCCCTTTCAATTATATTCTGAACTGATATAAAAACAAACTATAGCTTGTTTTTAAATAAAAATCATCTGAAAATCAAAATGTATCTTACTTGTACCATAGACTTTTTTGATGTAATTTGCTGTAATAAATTAGTTCAAACTTATGTATAAAAATGATAAAGTTTAAAAAAAAAGTTATATCGCATGAAAATTTGGTACTGACTTGTAGTGCAAACCGAATTTGCATATTCCCCTATGATGAAGAATTAATAATGAAATTTTCTATTTAGATATTTAACTCCCTTGACAAGGTACGTGTAATAATTAAATAATTACCTGTCATTATCAGTGAAACGTTCACAAAGGTAATCGTTAATAAAATGCCGAGGAGCTTCATAGTGCTGGACAATATAATTGAAACAATTCAAATAATATAACTTATAAGAAAGATAATGTGTATTCTAAAAGCCTTCCTTGCAACTAGTCGTAAGGTCGGTGTATTCGATATGTTAACCAAAGAAGTAAAATGAAAATATAATTTGCACTATACAAATCACTATAATATTTCATAAAAAACTAAGGCGACACCTGTGGTTTGTATTATAAAATAAATAACGTATACAGGGTGATTTTTTTTATCGTGGGCAATTCTAAATCTCACCTTGTTTTTATTCAATATATTAACATTTTTTTTTCTATAGTGTTTTTACATAATGTGATCGCAACTGTCCACAAATTTCAATGTTCACACCCCCTCCCCTTCAAATTAGTTTTTATAATAGTAACTTTAAAAAAAAACAATCCAAAACTGGTTATTAACAGTCTAATTCGCTATACAGTGCATACTTTATGTGTTACCATTTAAGTGTCAAAAGTTGGTATAAAAATAATTTGTTTGGAAAGGGGTAGGATCATAAACATTATAGTGAAATATTGAGAGACCCATTATTAAAAAATCACCCTGTACATATTTGTTACATTTTTTTACTTGTACTTTTTCTTTTACCTTTTCTTTTACACAATAATTTGTACACATATTTTTTAGACTTCAATAACAGCTATCGTATCGGCTATGTGTAAACCATGTAACCCATGAAAATTCAAAACCTATGGGAAAACACAATATTATATTATTTCACACGCGTGGAAAAAAAATGAGTATTGAAAAAAAGTTTTAATACGAAAACAGAAAAATAATATATAATGTCTGTTTTTGGTCCCATTACTATTCTGTACTGATCATTTCTCAATCATATTTAAATACTTGATAATAATTTACACAATTCTAGTACTCATGATAAGTCAAATCAATTGAAATTGTTAAATGTTAAAAGTTGAAATAAAAATAATCGGATTGGAAGAGGGTAAGGAATATAAACATTGTAGAAAAATTAGTGTCATATTATATATGAAAACACTATTAAAAAACAATTAAATTCATAGTTAATCCCAGTGAAATATTGAGTGGCCCATTATTAAAAAATCACCCTGTACATATTTGTTACATTTTTTTTTTACTTGTACTTCTTACTATTACCTAGTATACATAGATGTTACACTGTGACGCATTTTAGTCATTCTTAAGAGACGATATATATTCGCGAGTACAATATCGAGACAACGACTACGTGTTACACAATCGTTTGTTTGTCAGACATATTTTTTAAGCTTCAATAACAGCTATCGTATCTGCTATCTGCACCCATGAAAGTTTAAATCCTCTGGGAATACACAACGTTATATTATTTCACACGCGCGGTAAAAAAAATGCGTATTGAAAAAATGTTTTAGCACGAAACAAAAAAATAAAAGATAATGTTTGTTTTTCGTCCCGCTACTATTCTGTATTGATTATTTCTAAATTATATTTTAATACTTGATACCATTTCACACTATACTATTACTGTTTCACGTACACAAATAATAACCACTAATAATAATTGTAATTATTACCTATGATAAGTCGAACCAATAAAATTTGTTCAAAAAACCATAACTTTTGTCTTCGTACAAAAATTCCAACTTTTTGTGAAAAACGTGCAACATTTAAAATATATCTGTTTAATTAATATTGTTTGTACTAGCACATTATTATATAATTTCAAATAATTTTGTATAATATCATATTAAACGTTATCATTAAATTATCTCTTTCCTGGTTCACTATTAAAAACACAATATATAGAGATCCATTTATAATATTTCTAACTTATTTTAATGTTTCAGTTTGTACTTTCCAAGATTTATACTCACATCACTCAAACAAATCTCAACTTTTGTTTTTAATATACATATTTTAATCTAATGAATATTTGTTAAGGATTTTTTTTTAACACGTTTACTGCCATGGATAGTGCCGGCGATCTCAGTTCAGTTATTTATCTTGGCATTTGAAGTGTTAAATTAATTTATGCTCTAGACGTCACCATTTGTATTTCTCTTAACTGTTTTATTTTTTTGTTATGTTATTATTATTTCAATTTCGTTTTTAACACTGCAATGAACTGAATTTAATGAAAACACAAGTAGTTAAGAGTATAAATTGACACTGAAAGAAATTTTTTATTACGTAATACATTGAATAAAATGACAAATTTAGATACAAATGCGACATATAAATACTATTAAAGTAATATAAGATGAGTAGGTGTTATAAAATGTTTTAAAAGCTAGCTACGATTGCTGGTCTATATTATGGGTACCAATGAAACCAAACCCTTAGGTCATCCGTAACGTCAGAAAAAACCTGGCTACCTAAGCCAGGAGAATTTTCCAGAAGGTCTGTATTCGAATCTGCCAGTTCGTGAATTTAATATACAATATTTACCAGAGTGATCAACATCAACTCTTTTTATAACTGCATATGGGAATCTTATACTTCTGAGCAAACTGAATAGACGACATATTTCTGTAAGATTGAGGAATTCTGGTCTTCCTTTATCTTAAAAAAAATATAAAAAATTGTTTTTAAAAACTTGACAATTTTAGCATACAACTACTTTTTTTTTTGTTTAAAACACAATTAATACACGTGTATAAAAAAAAATTATGGAAAATAATTACATTACCTATTAAATACACCCCGTATCATGTAATTTATTATGCAATGAAATTTAATAATGTGTTTGAAAAAGAAAAATATACTTGAAAAGAAAAAACAATTTGGAAATTAGGTTTGCTTCTCAGTTAGAATAGAATGTAAATTAAAAAACTTTATATGGTCTCAAACAAGGTCCTCATTGCTGGGTTACAAGATTTAAATTAATCATAAAAGAGCAATGCTTTATTAGTATTAAGAAATAATTCTGATAAATATTTATTCAAGAAAACTGATAAAAATGTGTGCTTGATTTATTATTGTATGTGGAAGAAGTTTTGCTTGAGAGCAATTTTTTGCAGTCAATCAATGACATTATTAGACCGTTAAAGAAAAATGTAAGTTGCGATGAAACAAGATGTAGCAAAGTCAATTCTAGGTGTTAAAATGGAAGGCACTGAAAAAGAATTTGAAAATTGGCCGAACTTCTTAACTAATAACCTTAATGTGAGGTATATAGCTGTGCGTGTACACAATAATCCAAATAAGATTAGAGCTAGTACAAATCCACACAAAATATTAACATTTACCTATTGCAGCGATAAGAACATTTTTTGTAGCTTTTGCAGTTATACGTCTTCTGTCTTCTCCAAGCTGTAACAATGAATCATTCTCATAACCTGTGAAAAAAATAAGTTACAGTGTTATAAATACTATTTTAAAAAAATGGTTAATTGACTTATGAACTAAGACTTCACGGCTATTCACGTCAGTTTTTAAATGCTTGCTTACTTTCGTTCGGACCAAGTTCAGGCTTAGGGAATTCTATGTAAAAAATATGTAAAATTTAACTATTTTAAACTAAAAAAATCATTGTAAAAATGTGTACATATGGTTTGAGTTATATTTCAAATGATCATGAAACTTAAAAATTACGATTTTTGAAAATTGTTCTCAATAATGTGTGTTAGACTTTATATTTACTTGTAACTTTGGATATTGCTTCTTGCACTTTCTCCTGGTCAGCTATAGCAATATGTTCTGAAATACAAAAAAATATTATATACAATATTTTCTCATGACAGAAATGATAATATATTAGAAAGTGTCAATTGTATTTTTTTATTATATTAACATTGGAGTTTAAAATTTTTGTATTAAATAATTTTACCAACACAATTAAAACTAAAATACGACGCTTTGAAAATCTTTCAATTGATACTACTCCGTTATTTTTATAAAGTTAGAGCACAATGAAACTAATAAAACTGTATGCTAAAAAAAATGTTATTCCGGAGTATTAAATGAATAATCTTCAAAGTGTTGTAATTTAAAAGAATCGAATGAAAAAGAATTACAATATACTACTTAAAGTTAGTGACTAAAATCTTATGAATTGCTATCGATTAAAAATGTGAGCCATAGGAGAAACAAAAACAAAAATGAAAACGAAAATCATTTAAAAGATACTTGTATAAGAATCTGTATAAAGTGTAAGTATTGGAATTATAAAATATAAACAATTAGGTTACCTGGTAAGTTGATAATAAATGTATCATCTGAAATTAAAACAAAAATATGTTAACAAACAATGTGGATAATACACTATGTGTTAATATGTCCAACAATTATTTTTTTTATATAAAGATTTACAATTTGTAAATGTATTACAATAAATACATTTTATGACATAACATGTACACATGACATAAATGGGTGGTTCACTAACGGATTTAGTATTTTTGTAATTTGTAATATACGAACAATACACCCATTTTATGATTAGTTTTTATTTATAATTTATATTTTTTTAATAAATCTCGAGACCAGGGTCTTTATAGACGAAGTTAGATGTTGTTAGAAAAATGAAAGAGAGAATATATTTGTAAACTATAAGCTTTTGGAAAATTAAAATTTTTTATGTGAGTTAGAGATCTAAAATCTAAGGGAGTTGTATTTCGGATAGACTACTGTCAATTGAAAGTGTGAGCTATAGGAAAAACCAAATAAAAACGTTTGATAAATCATCAATCATATAAGAATCTGTGTATAGTGTTTGTGGTATATAACAATTAACCAATAACAATTGCTTACCATGATCAATTGTGATTCTGAAAATTGCTTTTTCTGAAATTTAAACGAATATGCCCAAATTAGTTATAAGTTTATTATCAAGCAACCATGTGGAAATATGTCCAAACAATTATAAGGTATATTATTACCCGGTGTAGCCCACATCAAATTAAGTGTTCCTGAAATAGGAATAACACTAATTGATGAATTTATTAATGATGATGGTTTTTTTTAACACTACAATTTTAACAATTTGCGTAGATATCTTTATTTTAATTATGTTTCTTATTAAAAAATAATGATTACCTATCGATTTATCTCCGTTAATAGTATTTGAAATTGCAGTTTCCAATCCAGCAGGATCTACAAGCAAATAGTGTTCAATTTTTAATTGAAAATCGACTTTCTACATAAAATTGTATCGTAGTAAAAAAACTCGAAACATTTGTTTTCTTAAATATTGGCTATATAAAACTCCTTAAAAATAGACCGCATACAATCCACTTGTATAGTAATCTTGTATAGCCTAGTAATTGCCTTTTTGTGTAAAAACATCATTTATTCGATTTTCATTTACAAATTAGTATTTATACATTACTTGGTATACTAGATACCACATTCACTTATATTCTGAACTGATATAAAAGAAAAATACTTATACCTTGTTTTTAATTTATAAATAATCTGAATGTTATAACTCCTACACGAGCCTTGTTGTTGCTGACTCAGCACAACAGCACACAGCACGGCCCGTGCAGATGGAACCGGATATTATATTAATTAGGCTGAGTTGCAACGTCGTATAATTACGATTCTTAACAACCCGAGGTTAACATTGTTGCAAACCTGCCAATAAACTCGACCAAGGTAAGGTTAGGTTAGGTTTTACCGGAATTAACCTCGGCGACAACATGAAAATCAAAATGTATCTTACCTTTTTCAGCAGCCTCTTTGATCCATTTGTCTGTAATACATTTTTCCAAACTTATGTATACAAAATGATAAAAAAAAAAAAAAATTATATATCGTATGACAGATTTGTACTGACTTGTAAGGTAAACCGAATTTGCATATAACGCTATGAGAAAGAAATTAATATTGAATTTTATATTCAGATTCTTAACTACCTGGATATGGTACGTGTAAAAATTAAATAATTACCTGTCATTATCGGCGAAACGTTCACCAAGGCGAGCGTTATTAAAATGCAGAGAAGCTTCATAGTACTGGATAATATTAACGAAACAGTTCAATTAATAAAACTTATTAGAAAGCTATGAACTCTAATAGCTTGTTTTAGATTTTGTGTTGGAGTTATTTTATGCGAATAGTCGTTTCTTCGCCTTGTCGATGACTTGTCGTCTTGTCAATCAAAGAAGTAAAACTAAAATTATATTTTTCAGTATGCATAGCACTATGATAAGTTATGAAAAACGTAAGCGTTACTAATAAAATCCCGAATACACATTGTTTTTACACTTTAACAACAACTATCGCAAGGGCTATGTGTACCCATGAAAATTTTAAACCACTAGGAATACGCAACGTTATATGTTTTCACCAGCGTCGTTGATATTTAAGTATTACGGCAAAAAGTAAAATTTTTATTACTATTTATACAAATTTTTTATTTTATTCTTATAATTGAATAATTACCTATCATTTTTGGCGAAACGTTTACAAAGGCAACGTTATTTAAATGCAGTGCAGTTTCATAATGCTGGATATTATAAAATAAATATTTAAAAAAATATAACTTATAATATGAATTCTAATAGCTTGTATCATTTTTTGTTGGTGATTTTCTTGTGACTAGTCGTTGGGTCGGTGTTTGATGTGTCAACCAAAGCAGCAAAAGCTTAATGCTAAATTAGTCATATTTTCTTTTCAGTTTAAAATAAAATACAGTGTAGACAAATTTATTACATGTTTGAGTTACTGCTTTTCCAAATAATTTTCAACATATCATTATTTCGCTCGGATTGGTTTTTTTTTTTTGAAGTTTGTGTAAGCGCTTGTTACAATAGCTTAGAAAATCGTAGAACTTATTAGTGTTAAATAATATGCTGACAATATTCTCTAATCAAATGTACCATTGCAGGATTTGCCATACACAGACGCCTTAATACTTTTGTGCTACGTTTGAAATGGTATATCGTTTGATTATTCCTTTAGGCGTGTTACATATAGTCATTTGTACACATTTTTTTAAAACTTTACTAACAGCTATCGTATCGTTTATGTGTACCAATGAAAATTTTAACCTAAAGGAGTACACAATATTTCACCCACGTGACAAAAAAATGCGTACTGCAAAAAAGGTTTAACTCTAAAGAAAAATAAAAAATAAACATTATGTTGGTTAGGTTTTTGGTCACACTACCATTCTGTAAACAAAATACAGAGTGAACCCAGAAATATTTGATAAATGAAAAACCTTTTGTTCTAGTGAATTTTTTAACATGAAAAATACGCATTCTGTGTGGAATGAAATGTTAGGCTAATGTTTATTTTATTGATATTATCATGTAAAGACTTAGACAAAAATGTGGTCCAGTATGCACAAATTCACATGGACACGTTTTCTTTTATGTGATTTTATAGGATCTCTGCTCCTATATAGTATAATAGTATTATAATGATTGCATTTAAGATTTTTTTTTTTAAATAATTTGTACTCACTTCGCCAATGAGTATGGATTAATTTTAAAAAGTTAAATCTTTGAAATATTTACTAGAACAACCATTATCATATCATTTGTCAAATTTTTGTGGGACAACCTGTATTTTACTGTTAAATTGAAAACGTTACAAAGATTTAGGAAGAGTTTTTTGGAAGGTTAGACAGACTAAGGAATAATTACCCAAAATGATCTATTAAACGAGGTTTCCCAATTTTAAAGATGAAAAAATTATATAGCTAGATAATAAGGTATGACAATAGATAAACTGATATTCTTTTACACATTTAATTACATACTACGGAAGAGCCTGAGTCTGAAAGCCTTGATATATGATGACATGTATGTTAATAGAATTGTAACATGAATCGAGGTATAAAAAAAGTTACTCATGCAAACATTATGTGTTTTTGTTATACAATTGTTTCAATTGCGTTTTTTACATTGCAACGAACAGAATTCAATAAAAAAACAAGTGGTTAAGAATATATAATAATATTGAAAAAAATTCTTTATTTTGTAATACATTGAATTAAATGACAATTTTGGATACAAATGCGACATAAATATATTATTAAAGTAATATAAGGAGAATAGGTGGTATATAATAATTAAAAGCTAGCTACGACTGCTGGTCTATATTACAGGGTACCAATCGTTTAGAATAGGCATAACGTCAAAAAATACCTCACGAAAAACACCGACTGGCCTTACTTCAACAATAATGCCGTTATGACGTCTGTATTGGAATCTGCCAGTCCGAGAGTTTAATATACAATAATCACCAGAGTGATCAACATCAACTCTTTTTATAACTGCATATGGGAATCGTATACTTCTGAGCAAACCGAATAGACGACATATTTCGGTAAGATTGAGGAATTCTGGTCTTCCTTTATCTTAAAAAAATTATAAAAAATTGTTTTTAAAATAATGAAAATTTTAGCTTATAACTACGTTTGTTTTTTTTTCAAAACACAACTAATACACGTATAGATAAAATTATAAAAAAATAATTCCATTACATAAAAAAAACACCTCGTATTATGTAACTTATTATGCAATGGAATTTATTATACTAAATTTGTTTAAATTTGTTACAAAATACATTTGGTAACAAAGAGTAACAAGAAAGGCAAGTCGTTTATTGTGCGAAATGTTGCTGATAGCCGTTTAGAATATGTGATGGGTAAAAAAACTGAAATAAAAATTTGGGACTCGTTAGTATAGACTTTTGAGCGTGAAGGTGATGCTAGTCAACTCTACTTAAGAATTAAAAAAATGTAAAAGGTCAAATGTTAGACAAATAATGGAAGAAAGCTAATAGCAGTGATCAAATAGGTAAGAAGTCCCAACAAAGTTCTACAGCTTTTGTGGTATAGCCGCCAGTAGTTTCCCTTCTAAATGTTACGGATGTGATGAAGTTGGACATTGTTTATCTGAATGTAAATTTAAGAATAAGTTTGGGAAGTAAAAAAAATACATGAAAAGTAAAAAAAATTAAAAATAGGTTTGTTTCTCAGTTAGAATAGATTGTAAATTAAATAAATCGTTATAAGGTCTGAGGTCTCAAAGACGCTCCTCATTGTCGCGATAAAAGATTTAAATTAATCATAAAAGATCAAGGCTTTATTAGCATTAAGAAATAAATCTGATTAATATTTAAACATGAAAGTAGATAGAAATGTGTGCTTGATTTATTATTGTCTGTGGAAGAAGTTTTGCTTGAGAGCAATTTTTTGCAGTAAATCAATGACATGATTAGATCGTTAAAGAAAAATGTAAGTTGCGATGAAACAAGATGTAGCAAAGTCAATTCTAGGTGTTAAAATAGAAGGCACTGAAAAATAATTTGAAAATTGGCCAAACTTATTAACTAATAACCTTAATGTGAGGTATATAGCTGTGCGTGTACACAATAATCCAAATAAGATGAGAGCTAGTACAAATCCACACAAAATATTAACATTTACCTATTGCAGCGATAAGAACATTTTTTGTAGCTATTCCAGTTATACGTCTTCTGTCTTCTCCAAGCTGTAACAATGAATCATTCTCATGATCTGTGGAAAAAAAAAGTTACAGTGTTATAAATCAAATTAAAAAAAAAATTGTTAATTGGCTTATAATCTAGGACTTTAGAGCTATTCACGTCAGTTTTTAAATTCTTGCTTACTTTCGTTCGGACCAAGTTCCGGCTTAGGGAATCCTAAAAAAAATCATTGTAAAAAAGTGTACATATGGTTTGAGTAATATTTCAAATGATCATGAAACTTAAAAATTACGATTTTTGAAAATTGTTCTCAATAATGTGTGTTAGACTTTATATTTACTTGTAACTTGGGATATTGCTTCTTGCACTTTCTCCTGGTCAGCTATGGCAATATGTTCTGAAATACAAAAAATTGTATATTTTTTAATTTGATTACTATGGAAGTTTTAAATTTTTGTATAAAATAATTTTAAGTTTTTAGATTGATAGCTTACATCTGAATAGTTTTAAATTAGTTTTTTTTTTCAATGGAAAATTAAAATCTAAATTTAATCATATGAACAAAAATTACACTGTTCTACTTAAAGTTAGTGACTAAAATCTTATGCTAAAAACGTATAATATTCACAAATAGGATACCTGGTAAGTTTTCAATAAACCGGTCATCTGAAATTAAAACAAAAATATGTTATCCAGCTTTTTGGATAATTAACTATGTGGAAATATGTCCAACATATTTTTATAGAAGTTATAACAATTTATACATGTTTTGCAATAAATAAATATGATAACATAACATAATTTTGTCATGTACACATGACATAAATGACCTAAAAAATAGGCTGTTCACTAAAGGATTTAGTATTTTTATAATTTGTAATATAAGAACTGTACACCCATTTTATTATTAGTATTTATTTTTAATTTCTATTTTTTGAATAAATCTCGAAACCAGTGTCTTTATAGACGAAGTTAGATGTTGTTAAAAAAATGAATAACATATTTTTTAAACTAGAAGTTTTTCGAAAATTAATATTTTTAATGTGAGTTAGAGATCTAAAATTTAATTTGAGCTCTTTTGCCGATAGACTACTGTCGATTTAAAGTGTATGCTATAGGAAAAAACAAATAAAAACGTTTGATAAGTCATCGTTCATCTAAGAATCAATGTATAATATTAGTGGTATTTAACAAATAACAATTGCTTACCATGATCAATTGTGATTCTGAAAATTGCTTTTTCTGAAATTTAAATGAATATGTCCAAATTAGTTATTAATTTATTATCAAGCAACCATGTGGAAATATGTTTAAAAAATTATAAGGTATATTATTACCCGGTTTAGCCCACATCAAATTAAGTGTTCCTGAAATAGGAATAATACTAATTGATGAATTTATTAATGATGATGGTTTTTTTTGAACACTACAATTTTAACACTTTGCGTAGATATCTATATTCTAATTATGTTTTTTATTACAAAATAATGATTACCCATCGATTCATTTCCGTTAATAGTATTTGAAATTGCAGTTTCCAATCCAGCAGGATCTACAAGCAAATAGTGTGAGAGCTATTAACACAATTTCAAATAAAATCGTAATACTCTTCAAAAGTATACATAAAAACGATCAGAATATGAATATACACAGCTTTAATGTGACTATTTAGCTTAACGCTACTCAACCTGTTATGCTAAGGGTATTGCATGCGGTCTGTTTCTTTGACGAAAAAGCATACGAGTTATTTGGCAACATTTTTAATTGGGTTTTAATATTTGACAACAGAAAATCGACTTTCTACATAAAATTGTATCGTAGTAAAAAACTCGAAACCTTTGTTTTCTTAAATATTGGCTATATAAAACTCCTTAAAAATAGAACCGCATACAATCCACTTGTATAGTAATTTTGTATAGCCTAGTAATTGCCTTTTTGTGTAAAAACATAAAATATTCGATTTTCTTTTACAAATTAGTATTTATACATTACTTGGTATAAACATTCACTTTTATTCTGAACTGATATAAAAGAAAAATACTTATACCTTGTTTTTAATTTATAAATAATCTGAATGTTATAACTCCTGCACGAGCCTTGTTGTTGCTGACTCAGCACAACAGCACGGCCCGTGCAGATGGAACCGGATATTATATTAATTAGGCTGAGTTGCAACGTCGTATAATTACGATTCTTAACAACCCGAGGTTAACATTGTTGCAAACCTGCCAATAAACTCAACCAAGGTAAGGTTAGGTTAGGTTTTACCGGAATTAACCTCGGCGACAACATGAAAATCAAAATGTATCTTACCTTTTTCAGCAGCCTCTTTGATCCATTTGTCTGTAATACATTTTTCCAAACTTATGTATACAAAATGATAAAAAAAAAAAAAAATGTTATACCGTATGACACATTTTGTACTGACTTGTAAGGTAAACCGAATTTGCATATGGCGCTGTGATAAATAGTCAAATATTTAATTGCAATTCAGATTTTTAACTACCTGGATATGGTACGTGTAAAAATTAAATAATTACCTGTCATTATTGGCGAAACGTTCACCAAGGCGAGCGTTATTAAAATGCAGAGAAGCTTCATAGTACTGGATAATATTAACGAAACAGTTCAATTAATAAAACTTATTAGAAATTGCTATGAAGTCTAATAGCTTGATTTTAGATTTTGTGCTTGAAGTTATTTTATGCGAATAGTCGTTTCTTCGTCTTTTTGTGACTTGTCGTCATGTCAACCAAAAGAAGTAAAACTAAAATTATATTTTTCAATATGCATAGCACTATCTGATAAGTATATCCCGAGCACAATATTCCATCAGTGTCTACGTGTTACACAGTCATTTGTACACATCGTTTTTACACTTTAACAACAGCTATCGCATGGGCTATGTGTACCCATGAAAATTTAAAACCACTAGGAATACGCTTCGTTATACCAGCGTCGTTGATATTTAAGCATTACGGCAAAAAGTAAAATTATTATTACTATTTTCTTGCGACTAATCGTTGGGTCGGTGTGTGATGTGTCAACCGAAGCAGTAAATGTTTAAAGCTAATTTAATTATATTTTCTTTTCAGTTTAAAATTAAATATAGTTTAGACAAATCTGTTACATTTTTGAGGTACTGCTTTTCCAAATATTTCTCAACATATCATTATTTTGCTCAAATTTGTTTCTTTTTTTGAGGTTTGTGTAAGGGCTTGTTACAATAGCATAGAAAATAGTTGATTTTATTAGTAATTAATAACTTATTAGTACTCACTATCACTACAGACACTAATAAGGCTCAAGCTTTTCTTTTTAGTATAAAATTAAAGATATTTAACATTATTTAAAATTGTAGTTAATACTCGGTTGTTTTCAAAGTAATTGACATTTTAAATAAAATGTGCTACAATTGATTGGTAAATCGTTCTTGTAGTAAAATTATTTTGCAAATTAATTTATACTCATTTATGCTTTAAACACTACGGATTTAATTGTTCTATTTTTTAAAGTTATTTAGAAAACATTTTTAAAATTAGCTTATAATTTAATTATCTAAACTTAGTTTCAACAAATCATAATATTCTTAACAAATTATTCTTAATAAAAGAAAAAAACATGTAAAAAAGTCACATAAAAAACGTGGTGTTAACAGCGCAAATGAGTATGAATTAGTTTAAAAAAAATAATCTTTGGTATATGCTGAAGCCTTGATACATGATGACATGTATGTTAATAGTATTGTTACATTATTCGAGGTGTAAAAAAAATTACTCATGCAATCATTATGTGTTTTTGTTATATTATTTTTTTCAATTTCGTTTTTTACATTGCAATGAACAGAATTCAATTAAAACACAAGTGGTTAAGAGTATATGATAACACTGAAAAAAATTCTTCAATATGTAATACATTGAATTAAATGACAATTTTAGATAAAAATGCGACATATAAATATTATTAAAGTAATATAAGAAAAGTAGGTGCTGTATGATTAAAAGCTAGCTACGATTACTGGTCTGTATTACGGGTACCATTCCCTTAGAATACGCATAACGTTAAAAAATACCTCACGAATAGGACCGACTGACCTTACTTCAATAATATTGCCGTTATAAGTTCTGTATTCGAATCTGCTAGTTCGTGAGTTTAATATACAATAATTACCAGAGTGATCAACATTAACTCTTTTTATAACTGCATATGGGAATGTTATACTTCTGAGCAAACTGAATAGACGACATATTTCGGTAAGATTAAGGAATTCTGGTCTTCCTTTAGCTTAAAAAAATAATAAAAAATTGTTTTTAAAAACTTGACAATTTTAGCTTACAACTACTTTTGTTTTTTGTTCAAAACACAATTAATACACGTGTACAAGTATAATAATTAAAAAATAATTACATTACTTATTAAATACACCCCGTATCATGTAATTTATTATGCAATGAAATTTAATAATATGTTTGGAAAAGAAAAATATACTTGAAAAGAAAAAAGCAATTGGGAAAATAGGTTTGCATCTCAGTTAGAATAGAATTTAAATTAAAAAAAAAACGTTATATGGTCTCAAACAAGCTTCTCATTGTCGCGATAAAAGATAAATAATCTAATCATAAAAGATCAAGGCTTTATTAGCATTAAGAAATAAATCTGATCAATATTTATTCAAGAAAATTGATAGAAATGTGTGCTTGATTTATTATTGTCTGTGGAAGAAGTTTTGCTTGTGAGCAATTTTTTTAAGTAAATCAATGACATAATTAGATCGTTAAAGAAAAATGTAAGTTGCGATGAAACAAGATGTCACGAAGTCAATTCTAGGTGTTAAAATAGAAGGCACTGAAAATATATTGAAAATTGGCCAAACTTCTTAATTAATAACTTAACTGTGAGGTATATAGCTGTGCGTGTACACAATTAACCAAATAAGGTGAGAGCTAGTACAAATCCACATAAAAATATTAAAATTTACCTAATGCAGCGATAAGAACATTTTTTGTAGCTATTCCAGTTATACGTCTTCTGTCTGCTCCGAGCTGTAACAATGAAACATTCTCATAATCTGTGAAAAAAAATAAGTTACAGTGTTATAAATGAAAATTAAAAAAAAATGGTTAATTGACTTATAAACTAGGACTTTAGTGCTAATCACGTCAGTTTTTAAATTCTTGCTTACTTTCGTTCGGACCGAGTTCCGGCTTAGGGAATTCTATGTAAAAATATGAAAAATTTAACTGTTTTAAACTAAAAAAAACCATTGTAAAAAAGTGTACATTGGTTTGAGTTATATTTCAAATGATCATGAAACTTAATAATTACGATTTTTGAAAATTGTTCTCAATAATGTGTGTTAGACTTTATATTTACTTGTAACTTGGGATATTGCTTCTTGCACTTTCTCCTGGTCAGCTATGGCAATATGTTCTGAAATACAAATAATATTAAATACAACATTTTCTCATGACAAAAATGATAATATATTAGAAAGTGTCAATTTTATTTTTTTATTATATTAACATGGAAGTTTTAAATTGTTGTATTAAACAATTTTACTAATCACAATTAAATCTAAAATTCGACGCTTTGAAAACCATTCAATTGATACTCCGATAAAATATTTTTTTTAGTAATTCTTTTACATATTAGAAATAAGATGCTCTTATTCCTAAAATATGGCAATTCAAAGACATAAATATAAAAATAATTTTTATAAAGTAAGAGCACTATGATACTAATAAAACTGGATGTTAAAAAAAATGTTATTCCGGAATATCATTTGAATAATCTTCAAAGTGTAGTATTTAAGTTTTTAGATTGATAGCTTACATCTGAATAGTTTTAAATTAGTTTTTTTTTCAATGGAAAATTAAAAGCTAAAGTTAATCATATGAACAAAAATTACACTGTTCTACTTAAAGTTAGTGACTAAAATCTTATGCTAAAAACGTATAATATTCACAAATAGGATACCTGGTAAGTTTTCAATAAACCGGTCATCTGAAATTAAAACAAAAATATGTTATCCAGCTTTTTGGATAATTAACTATGTAGAAATATGTCCAACATATTTGTATACAAGTAATAACAATTTATACATGTTTTGCAATAAATAAATATGATGACATAACATTTACACATGACATAAAGACCTTAAAAATAGGCTGATCACTAAAGGATTTAGTATTTTTGTAATTTGTAATATACCAACAATACACCCATTTTATGATAAGTTTTTATTTATAATTTCTATTTTTTGAATAAATCTTGAGACCAGTGTCCTTATAGATGAAATTAGATGTTGTTAGAAAAATGAAAGAGTGGACATATTTTTTAAACTAGAAGTTTTTCGAAAATTAATACTTTCAATGTGAGTTAGAGACCTAAAACCTAAGGGAGTTCTTTTTCGGATAGAGTACTGTCGATCGAAATTGTGAGCTATAGAAAAAACCAAATAAAAACCTTTGATAAATCATCATTCATATAAGAATCTGTGTAAAGTATTAGTGGTATATAACAATTAACAAATAACAATTGCTTACCATGATCAATTGTGATTGTGAAAATTGCTTTTTCTGAAATTTAAACGAAAATCTGTTATGCCCCAATCAGTTATTATTTATTATCAATACAACTATGGGGAAATATATCCAAAAAATTATATGGTATATTATTACCCGGTGTAGCCCACATCAAATTAAGTGTTCCTGGAATAGGAATAATACTAATTGATGAATTTATTAATGATGATGGATTTTTTTGAACACTACAATTTTAACACTTTGCGTAGATATCTATATTCTAATTAAGTTTTTTATTTCAAAATAATGATTACCCATCGATTCATTTCCGTTAATAGTATTTGAAATTGCAGTTTCCAATCCAGCAGGATCTACAAGCAAATAGTGTGAGAGCTATTAACACAATTTCAAATAAAATCGTAATACTCTACAAAAGTACACATAAAAACGATCAGAATATGAATATACACAGCTTTAAGGTGACTATTTAGCCTAACGCTACTCAACCTGTTATGCTAAGGGTATTGCATGCGGTCTGTTTCTTTGACGAAAAAGCATACGAGTTATTTGGCAACATTTTTAATTGGGTTTTAATATTTGAAAACTTGCAAATATCATTTATTTAATTACAGAAAACTGAAATTTTCAATTGAAAATCGGCTTTCTACATAACATTGTATCGTAGTCAAAAAACTCGAAACCTTTGTTTTCTTAAATATTGGCTATAATAAACTCCTTAAAAATAGAACCGCATACAATCCACTTGTATAGTAATTTTGTATAGCCTAGTAATTGCCTTTTTGTGTAAAAACATAAAATATCGATTTTCTTTTACAAATTAGTATTTATACATTACTTGGTATACTAGATACCACATTCACTTATATTCTGAACTGATATAAAAGAAAAATACTTATACCTTGTTTTTAATTTATAAATAATCTGAATGTTATAACTCCTGCACGAGCCTTGTTGTTGCTGACTCAGCACAACAGCACACAGCACGGCCCGTGCAGATGGAACCGGATATTATATTAATTAGGCTGAGTTGCAACGTCGTATAATTACGATTCTTAACAACCCGAGGTTAACATTGTTGCAAACCTGCCAATAAACTCAACCAAGGTAAGGTTAGGTTAGGTTTTACCGGAATTAACCTCGACGACAACATGAAAATCAAAATGTATCTAACCTTTTTCAGCAGCCTCTTTGATCCATTTGTCTGTAATACATTTTTCCAAACTTATGTATACAAAATGATAAAAAAAAAAAAAAAATGTTATACCGTATGAACATTTTGTACTGACTTGTAAGGTAAACCGAATTTGCATATGGCGCTGTGATAAATAGTCAAATATTTAATTGCAATTCAGATTTTTAACTACCCTGAATAGGTACGTGTAAAAATTAAATAATTACCTGTCATTATTGGCGAAACGTTCACCAAGGCGAGCGTTATTAAAATGCAGAGAAGCTTCATAGTGCTGGATAATTTATTAACGAAACAATTTAAATAATATAACTTATTAGAAATGTATGATGTATAATAGCTTATTTTTTGTGCTAAAGAAGTAAAACTAAAATGATATTTTTCAATACGCATAGCACTATAATAATTTATGAAAAACGTAAGCGATACTGATAATACATTGAGTACAATATTCCATCAATGTCTACGTGTTACACAGACATTTGTACACATCGTTTTTACACTTTAACAACAGCTATCGCATGGGCTATGTGTACCCATAAAAAATTAGAACCACTAGGAATACGCAAAGTTATATTTTTTCACCAGCGTCACAAACAAATTCTTATTGAAAAGAAGTTTTAACACGAAAACAAAAATGTTACCATTATGTATAGTACATATTTTCTTAAATTTACAGGATCATTCACAATTTCTGTAACAGCGGAAATCCCGATGAAATACTTATACTAGGCAAAAATTACCAAAATATAAATATTTTTTTTTTAAATTACATGTTGTATAATTATTTGTTTTTCAACAATTTTTAAATTCAAAATTGAAGGTGAAATAAATTTTACAGTATGCAAAGCACTGTAATATTGTAAGAACGATATGAATTACAATAGCTTGTATAACTTTTTGTTATAGATTTTCTTGATACTAGGTCAGTGTGTCGATATGTCAACCAAAAATTTAAAACTAAAATATATTTTGCAATATGCAAAGCACTAGAGCAATATATATACAGACAATGCCTATGTGTTACATATCAATTTGTACACGTTGTTTTTTTTACCTTTTATAAGTATCTTACCGGCGTTTACTGGTTCTTAGTTATTCAAGGTACATATTTTTGGTGGATGACACACAGCGGAAATATGTTTAGTTAAATTAATCATATGAAATATATTTCTTGCTTGTTTTAATATTGAAATTTTGACTTTAGTACTAAGTTTTTGAAAATTTAGAAGCTTTTAAAATAGGATAATTGTTATTGGTTTTATCATAATGCTCCCAACAGTTGTATGTTAAGTTAAACGTCTAGACAAATCAAACCTATGTATTGTCTGAGCTCTATACCTATTATACTAAAATTCTAAATAATGTTATACATCTTTAATTTTGGACCAAAAAGAAAAGCGTGGGCTCTATTCAACAAAGTCCCTCATATAATTATCAGATAATGTTTTATATTGTAAGTTTTTTTTTGTATTTTAAATTTGGTTCAATATTAGTGTGTGGCACATACATTTCATAATACTAAACTCATTGAATTTTGACTTTTGTTGAAAAGGGCCCACGCTTTTCTATTTAGTCAAAAGTTAAAGATGTTTAACATTATTTAAAATTGTAGTTAATATTCGATTATTTTCAAAATAATTGACATTTTAAATAAAATGTGCTACAATTGATTGGTAAATTATTGTTCTTGTGGTAAAATTTTTTTTCACTGTTCAGTACTATTTTTTGGAAAAGCATATTTTTAAAAAAGTTATTTTTTATTTTTACTTTTAAGTCCTATTAAAGGTACTTAATAATTATTGGCGAATAGATTACTAAATTCATTTTGGAAGATTTGAAGAAACATGAAATCTTAGTGAAACGTCGCCCACATATGACCCTGTGTATGGCGACCTGGATGCCCGAATCCCAATATTATTACAGGATATTGTATTGTCATCCAAGATGAGTGTCTGTGCCAAGTATCAGCCCTCTACGACATTGGAAACTAAACAAATATTTGTAGTGTTTATTAGCATTTAAATTTGGTAATTATTTTTTAGAATCAAACGATTATAATATGTAATACAACTAAAATCAATCGTATTTCATTAAATAATATTTACTATTGAATATTTTTTTGTGGTAAATATTATATATTATGGAAAAGTAGTATTATTCTATACAATCGAGTTTGTACACCGCACTGGACAGAATTTAATAAAAACACAAGCCATTAAGAGTATTAACTATCACGAAAAAAAAATGTTTATTATGTAATACGTTGGATTAAATGACAATTTTAGATACAAGTGCGACACATAATTATTATTAAAGTAAAATAACAACAGTAGGTGCAATGTAATTTTTTAAAAGTTGTAAAAGTTCTTAAAGTTTTTAATAGATGGTCTATATTACGGGTACCAATCCCTTAGCTGATACATAACGTCAAAAATTATACTACGTTCTGGACTTGTTGGAATTACCGCAACAATAGTGTGGTAATGTGGTCTGTATTTGTATTGGGCATTTTGTGAAGTTAACGTACAACAATTTTCAGAGTGATCGACTTCAGCGGTTTTTACATATGAATTCGGTAGTCTTAGACTTATGTGCAAACCTAGTAGACGACATATCTCGGTAAAGTTGGTGAATTCTGGTGCTCCTCTGTCTGAAAAATTATAAAAAAAATCGTTTTTAAAGCCTTGCCATAATTAGCTTATAAATACTTTTGTTATTTGTTTTAAACACAACTAATACACTAATAAGAGAGCAAACAGTAATACATTCTTAAACAGAGACCCAATATCAGCTGGCGTTAGCTATGGCCTATACATCAATCTATGGGGCTAAAAGGATTACTTGTTGAGGTGTGTATAAATTATAAATGTATTATTGGAGTGGTACATCAAATAGAATTATAATAATTTTAAGTAAAACTAATAAAAATCTACACAAATTTTTAGTATTTACGTATTGCATCAATAAGTATTTTTTTTATAATTTTTCCTGTTATAGCTCTTCTGTCTTCTCCAAGCTGTAACAATGAATCATTCTCATAATCTGTGAAAAATATGAGTAGGTTAGTTGGCTTATAAACTAGGACTTCAGTGCTATTTACGTCAGTTATTATACGCTTGCTTACTTTCGTTCGGGCCAAGTTGAGGCACAGGGATATCTGTATAAAAAATAATGAAAAATTTAAATGTTTTACATTAAAATATCATTGTAAAAATGTGTAAATTGGTTTGAATTATATTTAAAATGATAATCAAGACTTATATTAAATAATGTATTCTGGCTCTATGACATGACAATTATTTTAATACATTTTTTCACAATTGCATATTATTCTTTATACTAACTTGTAGCTTGGAATATTGCTTCTTGCATTGCCACCTGATCAGGTACGGCAATATGTTCTGAAATACAAAAAAATGTTTTATACAATATTTCCTATTGACAAAAATTATAATATAAACTACTTAGAGTTGTGTTAGGAACTGAAATCATTGGGAAAACCAAAAACGGTAAAAATATATGCTTGTATAAGAAACTGTATAAAGCTTCAGTAGTAGGAGTATAAAACATATACAAATAGGTTACCTGGTAGGTTGGCAATAAATGGTTCATCTGAAATTAAAACAAATAAATGCGGAAATATGCCCAACAATTTTTTTTTTTTTTTATAAACATAATTCAATTTGTATATTCATACAAATTTTACTAAAAGTAAATTTGAAGACATAATATGTACACACGTGACATGAATGACCTGATAAAGTGACGGTTCTCTATTGTCACCTCAGCATTTAATATTTTTTGTAACTTAAAATCTCAAATTCGATTAATACCTGGCTATCTCACGGGACAAAGGTTATTCGTGAGGTCCTCATTTAAAAAATAATACAATTTGGCAACAACAGGTTACACCTCTATCGTCTAACTAAATCTGTGTCCAATGAATAAAGCCATACAAGCTATGTAATTTTATTATGTTATTATTAACTCAGTTACCTTTTATACTTAACATAGTGTATAGATGGAAAATATTATCTTAAGTTAAAAAAAAGAAATAATTTTTATTTATAATTTATATTTTTCGAATAAATATCAAAACCAGTTTCTTTATATTGGATGTTATCCGAAAAATAAATGAGTAGACATATTTTTCAAACTAGAAGTTTTTTAATGAAAAATTATTATTTTTTATGCTAATCGAACGATAAAAACGCGAGGTACTACTTAGATTTGAGCTAAATATCTAAAACCTAGAGAAGTTCATTTTTGGATAGGCTACGATCGATTGAACAAATGAGACATAGAAAAAACAAAAATAAACCATTAATTATATTGGCATATAAGAATCTGTGTAAAGTGTTAGTAGTATATAACAATTGGTTACCATGATCAATTAGGAAAATATTGGCCGTTTCTGAAATTAAAACGAAAATATGGTATGTCCTAATTAGTTATTAAAATCAAGAATCATGTGCAAATACGTCCAATAAGTTATAAGATATATTATTACCCGGTATAGCCAAAATCAAATTAATTGTCTCTGAAATGAGAATAATATAAATTGATGAATTAATGATGTTGGATTTTTTTTTAACACTACAATTTTAATACTTTTATTCGAGTAGGAATCTATATTTTAATTATTTTTATTATTATAGAATTATGATTACCCATCGGTTTATCTCCATTAATAATATTTAAAACTGCAGCCTCCAGTCCAGCAGGATCTATAAGTAGTGTTAGAGATAAATACACAATTTTAAATGTAATCATGATAATGTGTAAAACTATACATACAAATCTTCAGAACAAAAATATACATAGCTTTAAAGTGACTATTTACCTAACGTTACTCAACCTGCTATGTGAAATAGTAATTTTGTATAGCCCAAAAATATTGTATGTAATTATAGGTATTTTACTGTTTTGAGTATATTTATAAGTTATTCGATTTTCTTTTGTAATTTAGTATATTTTGTATAGTATCATTTAGTAAAGTGGTACTATATAATCCGGTCCCTCATATTTTAAATTTAAAAATCATCTGAAAATCAAAATGTATCTTACCTCTATCAAAAGCGTCTTTGATGTGTTGGTCTGTAATATATTATTTAAAACTTATGTATAAAAATGATAAAATTAAAAAAAAATGTATTTTATGTACATTCACTACTGACTTGTAATGTAAACCGAATTTGCATATTCCCCTGTTTTAATGAATTAAACATAGAATTCGTTATTTAGATTTTGACTACCTTGAAAAGATATGTTTAAAAATTTAATTACCTGTCATTATTGGGGAAACGTTGACAAGGGCAAGTGTTATTAAAATGCAAAAAAGGTTCATATTTTTAGATTATTTTTAATTAAACAATTCAAATAATACAACTTATAAGAAAGATTTGAATTCTAATAGCTTGTTTTACTTTTTGTGTTTTATTATGAATCTAGTCGTTGGGTCATTTTGTCGATGTGTCAACCAGAACTTTAAAATTAAAATATATTTTGCAGTATGCATAGCACTGTAACAATCAATGAAAAACTTAGACGACACTTGTGTTTATTTAATATTAAGTTAAATATAATATATACAGCGTGAGTTTTTTAACGTAAGCCACTCATTATTTCACTCTTAATAGTGTTTTGATATAATGAGATACAATTATCCACAAGTTTTTATGTTCTTGACAACCTTTAAATTAGCATTTTTGACAGCAACTTCGACCAGTCAAATTTTAAAAAATTTAATAGTTTGGAACAAGGAGGTAACATACACATTTGCGGGAAGCTATGGTCAAATTATATGAAAACAGTATGGAAAAACAATTCAAATATTAGTTAAACACAGTGAGATATTGAGTGGCCCATGAAACCACCCGGCACAAGCCTGTAACGTTTTTTTTTTGCTTTTAAATTGTTCTCGAATCAGACATAATAGTCGTACATTTATAGAATTTTGTATGCTTAGATGTTTACATTTTTTTTTCAAATGTTATACGATTTAGTTATTTTTAAAAGAAAATTTATTAAATTTTTAATAAAAGCCCGGGTACAACATTCAGACATTACCTACGTGTTAAATTTTTATTTTTTATACGTTCTAATTATCAACTTTAACATCTATCGTATCGAGTATAATATGTACCCATGAAAATTTAAAACCACTGGGATTACACGTTCCAACGTGACGAAAAAATGAATACTGAAAAATAATTTCAACTCTGCTTAGTTTATATTCCGCAAGATTATTTGTGTTTTAGCTAAATTGTTTACAATTTTAAAATATGACATATTAGATAAAAAATTCATAAAGACGAAAATTGTTTTTATAATGTTAGAGCCCAATAAAGCTTATAAAACTAATAACTGGATGTCAAAATAAATGTTATTACGGTGTATCAATTAAAAGATTTTCATAGTGTTGAGTTAGTGACTATATTCCTAGAGATTTCTGATCCGAATAGACTACCATCGGTTAAAAGTGTGAACCTCAGGAGAAAACAAAAATAAAATGATAACTAAAACCGTAAAACGTATAGTTGTATAAAAATCTGTATAAAGTGTAAGTAGTAGGAGTATAAAATATATATAAAAAGGTTATTGAAAGAAACTTTATATTTTGTAATACATTGAATTAATTGACAACTATGATACAAGTGCAACTAATAAATATTATTAAAGTAAAATAACAACAGTTGGTGCGATATAATTATTTAAAAGCTAACTAAAGTTGATAATCTATTTTATAAGAACAACAATTTTATCTCATCCAAAACGTCTACATAATCATCACCATCAGGACCTCTTGGCATAACCGCGGCAATATATTTGTTTTCGGGTCCTTCTTGAGGTTGGTATTTGAATCTGCCATTTCGTGATGTTAAAATACAAAAATTATCAAAGGGATCAACATCAGCGGTTATTATATATGCTTGTGGGTCTCGCATACTTCGGAGCAAAGCTATTAGAAGACATATTCTGCGAAGGTTGGGGAAATCTGGTGATCCATTGTCTTAAAATTGATAAAAAAAAATTGTTTATAAAAACTTGCCTAGTTAAGATTATAAGCACTTTTAATGTTTGTTCAAAACAAAATAAGTACACATGTATAGGCATAATAATCATAGAAAAAAATTACATTATCTATAAAAAAAAACACCCTATTTTGGAATAAAATGAAATAAACTTAAGAAAGTGTTGTATAATAACACTATTCCCAGTTAGGTTAGATGAGAAGACCCAACAAAGTAATAAAGCTATTGGAACTAAAACCGACTGTTGCTGAACCGTGACTGGACTTAATCCAAATTTGTTCACATTCGAATTATTGGATCTACTGCTTATGCACACATTCATAATCAATTAAGCCGCAAGTTAGATTAAAATAAAGAAAACGTATACTTGTTGGCTATACAATAAACCTCTGTAGATCATGAAACCGTGTAACATGGACGTGACAACAGGCTTCTGAATGGGATAATCGAAGAAGAATTGTACAGAAGAGATCGGTAGTCTTCGGGATAAGAGAACACATAGTATGAAAACTAAATAAGTTGTTGTATGGTCTCAAACAAATTCATTAATTAATTACCTTATCGAGAGATAATTAGCTGTTAAATGTACGCAAAAATACAAACATTATACAAACGGGATTACTTGCTGAGATGCGAATAAATTATAAATGTATTATTTGAATGGTACATCAAATAGAATAGTTATAATTAAAAGTAAAAGCAGTACAAATCTATATTAACTTTTATTATTTACCAATTGCATCAATAAGTAATTTTTTTATAATTTTCCCTGTTATAGCTCTTCTTTCATTTCCAAACGTTTCTAAGTAATAATCGGGAAATTCTGTAAAAATTAATAAGTTACAGTGTTTAAAAAATTTTTTTTTATAAAATTGGTTTTTCGTGAAATATTTGTATTTATATTTCAAATAACTGCTCTAAGATGATTGTTAATTAGGAGTATAATAACCTATTAAAAAATTTTGGAGTTAAATTCATCTAATTTTAGAGTTATTTTGTCAGTATTTTAAGTTTCTGTGAAATAGCTATACTACATTTACTTCAACGAGTAAAATAGTGATATCTATTGTCCATACCGTCTTGGCAGAAATATAAAATGTTTAAATAACAACTTAGGACAAAAATCGTATTTATTCCCATTTTCACGAGAGATGAAGTGGACTGTTTTATTTTTTATTTTATTGAAATACTTTCTATTTAGTTACAAACATTTTCAAACTATAATCTAAGACCTTAGGGTTTATTACGTGAGTAAATGTTTGCTTACTTTGATTCCGACCAAGTTCAGGCACAGTGATATCTATATAAATAATTTGAAAAATTTAATTATTTAACAGTAAAAAACATGCATTTTATCAATTTAAAAATGTGTAAATTTTTTTTTAACTATAGTTTAAATGATCATCAAAACAAAAAACATAATATAGCTCTATGCCTGAATTATTGTAATATGTTTATTGAATTTGGTTTAAACTGAATAATTATAAATTTGAAAAATTATTCGCAACTATATGTTAAACTTTACACTTACTTGTAACTTGGGATATTGCTTCTTGCAATGCCGTCTGATCAATTTTGGCAACATATTCTGAAACACAAAAAATACTATATAATATATTTTCTTAAGACAGAAATGATAATACATAAGATTGTGTCAATTTTTTTTTTTAATGGGATAAAATGGGAGCTTTTAAATTTTATTTAATTCAAATACAATTTTCCTAACATAATGAATATTATAATACGACACTTTGAAAATCATTCAACTGATACTCCATTGTAACGGTTTTTTTAAATATAAAAAATTAGGTTCTCTTATTATTAAATTATGACAATTCAAAGACATAAAAATAAAAAATATTTGTATAAAGTTAGAGCCCAATAAAACAAATAAAATTATAACTGGATGCTAAACAAAACGTTATTCCGGAATATAAATTGAAAGATCTTCAAAGTGTAGAATTTAAGTTTTTAGAATGATATTTTATTTCTGAAAATATTTACTAGTTTTTAAATAAAAATGTTTTCAATAAAAAATTAAAAGGTAAAGTTAATCGAATGAAAAATAATTACAATGTACTACCTAAAGTTAGTGACTAAAATCTTATGGTTTACTATCGATTAAAAATGTGAGCCATAGGAGAAACAAAAATCATTTAAAAGATACTTGAATAAGAATCTGTATAAAATGTATGTATTGGAAATATAAAATATACAATTAGGTTACCTGGTAAGTTGATAATAAATGTATCATCTGAAATTAAAACAAAACAGAATTTGCATATGGCGCTGTGAGAAATAGTTAAATATTTTAATTGCAATTCATATTTTTAACTACCTGGATATGATACGTGTAAAAATTAAATAATTACATGTCATTATCGGTGAAACGTTCACCAAGGCAAGCGTTATTAAAATGCAGAGAAGCTTCATAGTGCTGGATAATATTGTTAACGAAACAATTTAAATAATATAACTTATAAGAATAGTATGAATTCTAAAAGCTTGTATTACGTTTTAGGTTAGTGTGATTTTCTTGCAACTAGTCGTAACGACGGTGTGTCGATATGTCAACAAAAGAAATAAATTGAAAATTAATTTTGCAATTTGCAAAGCACTACACTCTAAATCTCACTGTGTTGAATTAATAATTTAATTACTTTTTTTATAATGTTTTTACATAATGTGATCTCAATTTTTATGTTCTTACCATCTTTAGATTATTTTTTTTTATAGCAACTACGATCAGTCAAAGTTATTATAACTTGAAAAATAATCAGCTAAATGCGGTTTTCAACTTATCATTTTTGTAGTACAATATTTAAAATTTTAGAGGTAATGAAATGAATGCGTTACCATTTAAGTTTCAAAAGTTTATATGAAAATCAGTTTGGGCGGAGGTAGGAACTTGAAAATTATTGCAAAATTGTGGTCACTTTTTGTGAAAAAAACATTCAACTATTAGTTATACCCAGTGAGATATTGAGTGGCCAAGATAAAAAAATCATCCTGTATATAACTGTTATACGTATTTAGGATTTGTATACTTTTTATAAACAGTCGTTTCAATGGTTTTATTTTAACCGTCATGACTTATAGCAACTCTTAAAAGAAAATATACTAAAAAAAACCTGAATATTGTATTCAGGGATTTTCTACGTTTTCCAATTTAATTTGTACACCTTTTCTTTTTATACTTCAATAACAGTTGTATCGACTATGGGTAGCTAGAAAAAAATAAAACGTCTGATACTACACAAGATTATTCGTATTGAAAAAAGTTTTAACGCGAAAGCAAAAAAATAATATATTATGTTGTTTGTTTTAGGGCACACTACCATTCTGCACAATACATTTCTTAAATATATTTTAAAATTTGATAACATTTAACACTATTTTATCACTATTCTACTTACACAAATCATAACTACTAATAATTGTAATTTTTACATATGATAAGTCAAAACTGTTATATTTATTAAAATCATAACAGCTTTTTTTATATTGTATTTTACCATGCATTTTAATTTAAACAATTTATGTATGTTTTCAAAAGAAATAATTGTAATATCGACAATATTCTCGAATAAGTCGTTCTTTTTTTGGGTTTTTTTCACACAGATGTTTCTATATACTCTTATGAAACTTCTATAGGTATTGTTGGATTATTTATCCAAAAAAAATATTTAATTCGTTTTGAATCAAATCACCGGTAAAATCACAAAGAACGATTATGTGTACTGTAAAAATAAAATTCTTCAACAACAACAATTTAATATTCCAAATAACTCAAACAATAGACAAAATATTGATAGAGAAAAAGTTGAAGTATACTAGTACAATTTATAATTAAGAATATGATAATCAATGACAAACCTTGCTACCGTGCACGCTTTTACTCGGATCCGATGTAAGTTGGTGTTACATCATTTGACTTAAATTAACTTAAAACTAATACCTACTCTTATCGGTTTATAACATATAAACTAATTGACTTAAAACTAGAACCAACTTTGTATAGTTTTATAACATACACAACTAGTTGAAACATAAACCTGAACCAATTTAAGGTTTAAAAGGAGACAGTGATGTATGACCCTGAATGATGGCTCAAACTGACAAACCCGTGTGTGCGAACCTGAATGTACAAGCAACATGTACAATACAATGTATGTGAATTGTACCTACACATCGGCTTTTAGTTTGATAATTGTTTTATGACTCTACTGTTGTACGTGCTAAAATGTAAAACATTTTTGATATCCCCAATCGAAAATTGTATTCTCTAGCAAAACTAGAAAAGCCAGTACAGTGGTGAGGGGGTCGTAGCGGTAACAGAGAAACTTTGGGATGGGGGTAGGAAGCGGAACAGGCCTATAAGAAATATTAGAAGTTAAAAAAATAAATGTATATTTTTTGGGTGTTTTTCTCGGTTTCGAAAATCGCGTTGTATCGATTTCTGTGTGTGTGTGTGTGTACAAGTGTCCCGCACTCTATGGCGTTTTAAAATGTAACGACAACAGAGTTAATAAATTAGTGTTATTAGAAAAAAGTTGCCGTCCCTACAAAAAACAAATGAACACGTACCTACCCATTTTATAGATAAAATAACACAAATTGCTAGATACTCCTAAAAGGCATTTGTTTGTTATTTTTCTAAAGATTAAAATTCCACACAAATTTGAAACTAATTCGACAATTTTTAAAGACTCATAGTGGTAAAGTTTTAGGTTTTAAAGTCTGAAAATCAGACCGAATGTAGATCCGAAATGGGTCTATAAAATATTTTACAATTTTATTGGAATATATTTTTTTTAACTAAGAAAAACGCCACAAAAAAGGTAACTTTTGAACATAGTCAATTCTCGGTTGTTATGTGTGAGCAGATCAATAGTCAACAGGTATCCGAAAGATACTTTCTTTTATCTATGATAACAAATTATTATAGGAAGAGGATAAGCAACCCTTATCATATTCAACATATAACAAAAGTACATTATCGTCATTAGTTACATTTTTTTTATCAATAATGGCAATCAGTTTTTCTACTATTACAGATATTTTTTTTTGCTAACTTATACGACGTATATTTTATTCGAAAAAATATCTGTTATTGTCTTACAACACACGACGATTTCATATTTTTGCGACATTTTTTTTTATCGCTCTACTAAATTGAGTATGTGAACACTATTTACTGCTTTGCGTATGAAAAGAACTAAACAAGTATATCTCGACGAACTTTGTGTTGTAAGACGCTTAGGACAAACGAGCAAATTCATGTGTTCAAGACATTAAAAAAGAATTACCGTATTGTGACCGTTTGTATGGAAGTTCCGCTCAACCATACAGCTTAGGTGCCAAAAATAAAATTAAAACAAAAACCGTATAATGTAAACTTATATGGAAATTTGTATAACGTGTATCTAAACTTAAGTTACTTCGTAAACGCCTTAAGCAATAAATATATGAGGTCCTCAGAAGCCAAATCGATTAACTACCTTTTTTTTTTTTTGTAAAATCCAACCATGCTAATCCATGGAAATTCAATCGTGCTATTATTTGCAAAAAAAAAGGTAGTTAATCGGTTTGGCTTCTGAGCGCCTCATATGTGAAACCCTATTAGAATCTCAAAAAAAAAACTTAAACGACAATTGTGGTTGTATATTATAAAATAATTAATGTAGACCTATCCTTTACATGAGTATAGAGGTTATTAAGAGAAATTGTATAATTTGTAATACATTGAATTAAATGACAACTAAGATACAAGTGCAACTAATAAATATTACTAGAGTAAAATAACAACAGGTGGTGCAATATAATTATTTAAAAGCAAATTAAGGTTGATAATATATTTTATAAGAACCAAAGTTGTATCTCCTCCAAAACGTCCACAAATTTATTCCTTGACCAAATATGGTCTTTTGGCGTAACTGCAGCAATAAATATTTTGCATTTACGTCGAGGTTGGTATTTGAAGCTGCCATTTCGTGATGTTAAAATACACGAATTACCAGAGGGATCAACATCAACGGTTCGTATATATGCTTTTGGGTCTCGCATACTTCGGAGCAAAGCTATTAGAAGACATATTTTGGGAAAGTTGGGGAAATGTGGTGCTCCATCGCCTTTAAATTTATAAAAAAAATGTTTTATTAAGAAATTGCCTAGTTTAGATTATAAGCACTTTTGGTATTTGTTTAAATAAAACTAATACACGTCTAATGTGTATATATAAAATCGTAGAAAAATAATTAAATTACCCTTAAAATACATCCAGTATTATGTGACTTATTTTGTAATGAAATTTCTTAAAATACATTTGAGAAAGAATAACCGCAGTTTTGCTCCAGAAATTTTTTTTATTAAGACATTGCTAAGGATTTTTTTACCTTTTATTTTTAATTGTACAATTTAGAACAATAAGCATAATAAATGTAGTTTTACGAAGAGCCCTTTAACAGAAAAAAGAAGCCTCCCACTGGAGGAACTTCGACAAGGTTAAAGAAAGTTTTATTTTAAATTTGCTTTCTAGGTAACAATACACAAAAATTTATTGAACTCAATGAGTACTATTCTTGTTCTGAACTACAATATTTTAGATATCTTGCTAAATAATTTATTTAAAAAGACATTGTACAAGCGACGGATCAAAAAAGTTTAAAATGACGATATAATAAAAAACAAACAAGGTTTAATTATAATGCTACTAATACTAGTTTGTTAAAATAAAAGTCTTCAAAAATCAATTCTATGTGTTGTGTGAGTTCTATGCCTACTTTGTACAAGAAACTGTTATATTGTTATAAGAATCTAAATTTGTGTGCTAGACTTTGGAGTATAAAAGGGTTGCTAGTCGATATATTTGAGAAGGCTACTACTTATATTAAAATGGTACTAGTCTTGAAGGTAATTTTACTAAATAATATTATAATTAAGGTGAAATTAGAAAGAGAAGATGTAGCATTTTATATTTTGTTAACAATGCTTGAAACACTTTCAACTGATATATTTCATTCAACAAGCATAACGGGCTTTTAAGGACCGACGCTGCCATCATGAGATGATGGTTTCTAGACGGATTCCGCTATCCGGGGATCTCAGTGATCAACTAGATGATAAGACACAACAAAGTAATATAGCTTTTGGAACTAAAACCGTCTCTTGCTGAACCGTGGACTAGACTTAATTCAAATTCGTTCACATTCGAATTCTTGGATCTATCGCTTATGCACACATTCATAATCAACTAAGCATTAAATTAGATTAAAATAAAGAAAACGTATACTTGTTGGCTATACAATAAACCTCTGTAGATCATGAAACCGTGTAACATGGACGTGACAAAAGGCTTCTGAATGGGATATTCAAAGAAGAATTGTACAGAAGAGATCGGTAGTCTTCGGGATAAGAGAACACATAGTAAGAAAACTAAATAGGTTGTTGTATGGTCTCAAACAAATTCATTGATTAATAACCTTATCGTGAGAAGATTAGCTGTCCTATGTACGCAATAGTCCAAACAAGAATAGATATAAGTATTTCAGTTAGTATATTTAGCCGAAATCAGTCATACAAGAAAGCAAATGACGGTAATACTTTCTAAAACAGAGGCCGAATTTATGGTGTAGCATCGGCTGTACAAGAATATAAGTGGATAAAAACATTTACTTGTTGAGATGCATATAAATTATAAACGTATTATTTGAGTGGTTCATTAAATAGAAAAATCATAATTAAAAGTAAAAGCTATACAAATCTATATTAATTACTAATGTTTACCTATTGCAGCAATAAGTAATTTTTTTGTAATTTTTCCTGTTATAGCTCTCCTTTCATTTCCATACCTGGGTAAGTACCTATCCACAAAATCTGTAAAAAAAAATAAGTTACAGTGTTTAAAATCGTATTTAATTGCTTTTATATAATTGAATTTTCGTGAAATATTTGTATTTATATTTCAAATATCTGCTCTAGGATCATTATTGAAAATCAGAGGTATAAAGACCTCTCAATAAAGTTTGGAGTTAGCATAGTCACTTAATTGAGAGTTATGTAGTCAGTATAGGACGTTTCTGTGAAATTTGTTTATGGTATTAACACGTTGGGTGCTATACTGTATTTAATTAAACTAGTAAAATATTTATATCTATAGGCCATACCGTTTTGGCTGAGTTATAAAATGTTTAAATTAAAACTTTGGACAAAAGTCGTCTTTATTCCAATTTTCGAGAGAGATGAAGTAGACTGTATTTATTTTTTAATTTAGTGAAATACTTTCTATTTACTTATATAAATTTTAAATGATAAACTAAGACTTTAGGGCTAATAACGTCAGTTAGTAAATGCTTACTTACATTCGTTCGGAGCAAGATCAGGCACAGTGATATCTGTTTAAAAATATGATAAATATAATTATAAACCAACAAAAAACATAATATACCACCATGACTTTAAATTAATATAATACCTTTATCGAATTTGGTGAAAACTGAATAATTATGAATTTTGAAAATTTTTTGAAAATATATACCTAATAAACTTTATATTTACTTGTAACTTTGGATATTGCTTCCTGCACTGCCTTCTGATAAGCTATGGCAACATGTTCTGTTTAAGTATAAAAAATACCATATATTATAATATTTTCTTATGACAGAGTGGATAAAGTGTTAATTTTTTTCTTTTTAATTGGATTAACATTGAAGCTTTTTTATTTTTAGAAAATTCAACAACATTTTTATTAACACATTTAAAACTAAAATACGACACTTTGAAAAATGTCCAATTAATTCTTCGTTATAACAGTTTTTTTTATCAATTTTTTTCACATTTTAAAAATATGGTGCCCTTATTACTGAATTATGACCATTTAAAGATATTAAGATAAAAATTGTTTTTATAAAGTTAGAGCTCAATCAATCTAATACAATTTTTAGTGAGGGACTAAAATCTTAGGGATTTCTTATCCAAATAGATTAATAATTACTATCAATTGAAAGTGTGAGCCTTAGAAGACGCATAAAAAAAATGAAAACAAATATCATATAAAAAGATACTTTTTAAAGAAACTATAAAAACTGTAAGTAGTAGAATTATATAATTTATACAATTACGGTTACCTGGTAGGTCGACAAAAAATGAATCATCTGAAATAAAAGTAAAAATATGTTATCCAGCTATGTGGATAAAAAACTATGTGGAAATATGTCCAACAGTTGTAAATTTATTACAATAAGTACATTTGATGACATACCACGCACATGACAAGTATATACCCATTTTTTTATTTAGTTTTTATTTATAATTGCTATTTTTTCAATAAATCTCGAGACCAGTTTCTTTATAGACGACGTTGGATGTTGTCAGAAAAATGATCGAGCGGACATATTTTTCAAAATAGAGGTTTTTCAATGAAAAATTAATAGTTTCCATGTCAATAAAAGGAAAATATACGAAGTACTACTTGGGTTTGAGCTAGAGATCTAAAATCTAAGAGATAGATATCTTTTTCGGATAAACAACTATCCATTGAAATAGTGATTAAATACAAATTGCTTACCACGATGAATCCACCTGTAATCTTTCTTTTCTGAAATTAAAACAAAAATATGTTATGTCCAAAATTAGTTATTATTTGTAATCAAAAACTTTGTGGAAATACGTCCAAACAATTTTTGATATATTATTACCTGGTATCGTCAACATCAAATTAAATATCCCTGAAATATAGGAATAACACTAAATGATGAATAAATTATGTTGGGTTTTTATAACACTACACTTGTTAACACTTCGAGTAGATATCTATATTTTATTTTTTTTTTTTATTACATAATAATGATTACCTATCGATCTATCTCCGTTAGTAATATTTGAAATTGCTGTCTCCGGTCCAGCAGATTCTATATAATAAATTTCAAAAGACACCATAACAATTTATAAAATTGTACTAATCAATTTTCAGACTAATATACACATAATAATAATATACACAACTTTAAGCTGACTATTTAACTTAACCCTACTCAACCTGTTATGTGAAATAATAATTTTGTAAAGCGTAGTATGTTCTATGAAAATTGTATGAATTTTACTCCTTTGAGAATAATAAATAAAAAATATTCGATTTTCTTTTACAACTACTAATACTTTTATAAATATCAGTATACTGATACTATTTACCTCGTTCATTAATATTCTGAGCTGAGCAGAGTTAAAACTATAGCTCGGTTTTAATTTATAAATCATTTGAAAATGAATACTTAATGTAACTTACCTATTTCAAAAGCCTCTTTTGCAGTCTCCAGACCAGCAGGATCTATATAATAAATATCAAATGAAACCGTAATAATTAATAAAATTATACTAAAACATCTTCAGCTACACAGCTTATTTTTGGTAGATATCTATATTTTGTTTTATATATTTTTATTACATAATAATGATTACCTATCGATATACCTCCGTTAATAAGATTTGAAATTGCAGTTTCCAATCCAGCAGGTTCTATAAGCAAATAGTGTTAGATGCTACATACACAATTTCAAATAAAATCATAATACATTACAAAATTATACATAAAAGCCTTCAGAATAAGAATATACACAGCTCTTAGGTGATTATTTTAATTAACGCTACTTCATCTGTTATGTTAAGGGTTCTGTTTCTTCAACGGATTAGACCAAAAAGCCTGGGAAAATGTTGAGTACTTAGGATTGCCCAATTTTAATTCTGTAGAGACATACGAGTTATTTGGCATCATTTTTTATGTAAATAAATTGGGTTTTAATATTTAAAAACTTGCAAATATCATTCATTTAGTTACAGAAAACTGACATTTATAATTGAAAAACGGATTTCTACAAAACATGGTAATGTAGCCTAAGAACTCGAAACCTTTGTTTTCTTAAATATTGGCTTTATAAATCTCCTTAAAAATAGACCGCGTACAATCCACTTGTATAGTAGTTTTGTATAGCCTAGTAATTGCCTTTTACTCAAATAAACATAAGATAATGGATTTGCCACAACATAAAATATCAAAATGTATCTCACGTTTATCAGCAGCCTCTTTGATCCATTTGTCTGTAATGATTTTTTTCAAACTTATGTATAAAAGTTATAAGATTTAAAAAAATATTATACTGTATAAAAATGTTGTACTGACTTGTAATGTAAACCGAATCTGAATATAACGCTGTGAAAAAGAATTAAATATTTTAATTGCAATTCATATTTTTAACTTCCTTGATAAGATACGTGTCAACATTAAATACTTACATGTCATTATTGGCGAAACATTTACAGTAGCAACCGTTATTAAAATGCAGAGAAGCTTCATAGTGCTGGATAATATTATTAACGAAACAATTTAAATAATATAACTTATAAGAATATTATGAATTCTAAAATCTTGTATTACGTTTTATGATGTGATTTTCTTGTAACTAGTCGCAAGGTCGGTGTTAACTAAAGAAGTAATATAAAAATATGTTTTGCAGTATGCAAAGCACTATGAAATTGTATAGACAACTTGTAGCTTGTATTATAACCTAAATAACGTATACTGGGTGATTTTTTTATAGTTGGTAACTCCTAATATCACTGTGTTTAATCAAAAATTTAATAACTTCTTTTTATAGTGCTTTTACATAATGTGATATCAATTTTCCACAATTTGTTCTGTTCTTACACCCTTTATATATATATATATTTTTATAGTACTTCGACCAGTCAAAATTATTATGACTTTCAAAATAATCATCCAAATGTGGTTATCATCTAATCATTTTAGATTTAAATTACTACAATATTCTCAATTTTAAAGGTAATGAAATGTATGCGTAACCATTTTAATTTCAAAAGTTGATATGAAAATTATTAGTTTCGGAGGGTGTAGGAACATGAAAATGATTGAAAAATTGTGGTCACATTTTATTAAAAGACTATGAAAAAACAATTTAATTATTACTTAATTCCAGTGAGATTTTGAGTGGCCTATGATAAAAAAATCATCCTGTACATATCTGTTATACGGCTTTAGGATTTGTATACTTTGTATACACAGTCGTGTATATTATTGAAACGACTGTGTATAAAAACACAGTCGTTTCAATAATTTTTTTTTAAACCATCATGACTTTAAGCAATTCTTCAAAGATAATGTACTCAATAAAAACCTGAGTACAATATTCAGGGATCCTCTACGTGTTCCAATTTCAACAATTTTTATCTTAATATCTTTAAATTGTCATAATTCAGTAACAATGGCACCATATTTTTAAAATGTGAAAAAAATTGATAAAAAAAACTGTTATAACGAAGAATTAATTGGACATTTTTCAAAGTGTCGTATTTTATAACTCAGCCAAACCGGTATGGCGTATAGATATAAATATTTTACTAGTTTAATTAAATACAGTATAGCAAGAATAAATTAAACAATAATACCGTATAATGTATACTTGTAAAAAAATCTGTGTAAAATGTAAGTGGTAAGAGTATAAAATACAATATACATATAGGTTACTGATAGAAATTGTATATTTTGTAATACATTGAATTAAATGGCAATTAATACAGAAGTGCGACAGATAAATATTATTAAAGTACAATAACAACAGTAGGTGCAATATCATTTTTAATAGCTGACTAAGGTTAATGGTACATTTTATCAGAACCAAAGTTCTATCTCATCCAAAACGTCCAAAAAAGTATAAACATCAGGACCTTCTGGCCTAACCGCAGCAATATGTTTCTCAGGAAATTGAATCTCTTCAGTTGCAGGTGGTCTGTATGGTTGGTATTTGAATCTGCCATCTCGTGATGTTAAAATACAAAAATTACCAGAGGGATCAACATCAACGGTTCTTGTACGTGCTTCTGGATACCGTATACTTCGGACCAAAGCTATTAGAAGACATATTTTGGGAAAGTTGGGGAAATCTGGTTTTCCGTCGCCTTAAAAATTAAAAAAAAAATGTATTTAAAAACTTGCCTTGTTTTGCTTAAGAGCTTTTTGAAATTTCTTAAATACAAATCTAATACACGTGTATAGCATAATCGTAAAAAATAAAAATAAATTTAAGAAAAAATAGCCGCAGTTTGTTCCAGTAATTTTTTTATTGGCTATTATTATGGAATTTATTTCTTTCATTCATTTTTGTTGTACATTCTAGAACAATTTTTAAGAACAATAAGCATAATAGATGTAGTATGTAGTAAAGACCATATTGAGAGAAAAAAGAAGGCCCAACCCTGCCATTATGAGATGATGGTTTCTAGTTGGATCCACTGTCTGGATGTCACAGTGATCAACCACGGACTAGACTTAAGTCAAATTTGTTCACATTCGAATTCTCGTTTGTGTTTTTTTTAGACACATTCCTTATCAATTAAGCAGTAAGTAGGATAAAAATCAAGAAAATGTATACTTGTTGGCTATATAATAAATCTCTATGTATTCTGAAACGATGGACGTGACAACAGGCTTCCGAATGGGGTATTTGATGAAGATTGTACAGAAAACCAGAAGGCATCAGGATAAGCTTATGTACACAAAATTTGTACACTAAAATCTAAAAGAGAAATTGTATAATGTCTAAAAAGTTTATTACTTAAAAACCTTAACGTGAGGTAATTGTAATATGTATTTACAGAATTTGCAAAGATCATTGATCCACTTATCATCCACCTATGGGTATTTAATAAAAATAATTTGATCTACAGTATGCCGGTCTACAAGAAAGCAGACGACGGTAATACTTTCTTAAACAGATGCTATAAAAGAATATATGTGGATAAATGCATTACTTGTTGAGGTGTGTATCAATTATAAATGTATTATTAGAATGTTACACCAAATAGAATAATTACAATTTAAAGTGAAAACAGTACAAATCTATATTAAATAGTAATATTTACCTATTGCTTCAATGAGTAATTTTTTTGTAATTTTTCCTGTTATACTTCGTCTGACATCTCCAAGCGTGCCCAACCAAGCATTCACATAACCTGTGAAAATAAATAAGTTACAATGTTTAAAATTGTTTTTAAACATCGTTGGGTTTTCTAGAAATATTCGTGTTTATATTTTAAAAAACAACTTTAAGTTCATTTATGAAAATTAGGAGTAAAAAGACCTCTTAACAAATTTTGCAGTTAAAATAGTCACACTAAACTGTTGTGACTGTTTTGTTATTAGTAAACAATACTTATTATCTACTAATATAAATTTGTATTTAAAATCTAAGACCCTAGGGCAAACTTTCTTTAGTCAGTATATGCTTGCTTACTTTCGTTCGGGCCAAGTGTAGGCACATCGATTTCTGTATAAAAACATGAAAAATTGTATTACATGCAAGTAAAAAACCCGCATTTTATCAATTGTTTTAAAAAACATAATATAGCTCTGTCACTTTGAACTATTATAATACATATATCGAATTTAATTAAAACTGAGTAATGATGAATTTCGATAATTGTTCGCAAATTTATGTTGTACTTTATATTTACCTGTAGCTTCGGAAATTGCTTCTTGCACTAACTCCTGATTACGTATGGCAATATTTTCTAAAATACAAAAAATTACTTTTCTTAATAATAATATATGTAATGTGTCAATTTAATCTTTTTAATTTGATTAACATGGGAGCCTTAAATTAGGTATTAAATTATCTTATAACACAATTAAAACTTAAATACGACACTTTGAAAATCTTGTTAGTATATATTCCGTAATTCAATTATTTTTTAGAAACATTTTTTATAATTTAAAAATATGCTCTTAATACTAATATATGACACTTCATAGTCATAAAGGAAAAAAATATATTTTATTTTTGGAAAGCTGGATTAGTTTTCAAATTAGAATTTCATTATAAATAAAAAATGAAAATCTAAAGTTAATATCAAATTAAAAAAATATCACATTGTTCTACTTAAAGCTGGTGACTAATTATCCAAATAGATTACTATATATTGAATGTGTGAAACTTTTGAGTTACAAAAAAAGTAGGAAAAACAAATAGTAGTAATATTATAAAATATATACAAATAGGCTACCTGGCAAGTTGATAATAAATGTATCATCTGAAATTAAAACAACAAATATGTTATCAAGCTATGTGGAGATATGTCTAACAATAATTTTTTTAGTAATTTGTAAATTTATTATAATATATAAATTTGATAACATAACTTGTACATTGTACACATGACATATATGACCTGAAAATGGGCTTTTCACTAACGGCAACTCTGGATTTTATATTTTTTAATTTCTAAAATATTAACTATATACCTATTTTTTTGTTAGGTTTTATTTATGATTTATATTTTGTTAATAAATCTCGAGACCTGCATCTTTTTAGACGAAGTTAGATTTTGTCAGAAAAATGAAAGAGAGGACACATTTTTCAAACTAGAAGTTTTTCGATGAAATAGACTACTATCGATTGAAAGTATGAGCTATAGGAAAAACCGAGAAAACCCGTTTGATATATCAGTATACATCTAAGAATCTGTGTAAAGTAATTATAGTGGTATAAAACAATTAAGATATTATAAAAATTGCTTACCATGATCAATTGTGAATCCGATAATAGCTTTTTCTGAAATTAAATTGAAAATATGTTATGCCCAAATGAGTTATTAATTATAATCAAGCAACTGTGTGCAAATATATCCAAAAAATACATAAGTTATATTATTACCCGGTGTAGCCAACATCAAATTAAGTGTCTCTGAAATAGGAATAATGAAAATTGATGAATTAATGATACTAGATTTTTTTAAAACACTCTACTTTTAACACTTTGAGTAGATATCTATATTTTAATTATTTTTTTTATTACATAATAATGATTACCTATAGATCTATGTCGGTTAATAATATTTGAAATTGCAGTTTCCAATTTCTCAGGCTCTACAAGCAAATAGTGGTTAGTACTATACACACAATTTCAAATAAAATCACAATACTGTACAACATTATATATAAAAAAACATTAGAATAAGAATATACACAGTTCTAAGGTGAGTAATTAACTTAACGCCACTGAAACCTGAACTAACATATAATTTTTAATAAAATATTTTCTTTTACAGTTTATTATTTGTATAGTATTTGATTTACTGGTATTATATACCCAGTTTACTCATTTTCTGAACTGATAAAACGAAAAATCTATAGATTGTTATTAATTTATAAATTATCTAAAAATCAAAATGTATCTCACTTCTAGCAAAGGCCTCTATGATGCATTTGTCTGTAATAGGTTTATTTCAAACTTGAGTATAAAAATTATAAAATTTAAAAAAATGTTATACCGTATGAAAATTTTGTACTGACTTGCAATGTAAGCCGAATTTGCATAGAACGCTGTGAGAAAGAATTGAATATTACATTTTTTATTCATATTTTTATTCAACCTATAAAGGTACGGGTAAAAAATAAATAATTACCTGTCATTATTGGCGAAACGTTCACAATGGCAAGCGTTATTAAAATACAGAGAAGCTTCATAGTGCTGGATGGTATTAACGAAACAATTCAAATAATATAACTTATAAGAAAAATATAAATTCTAAAAGTTTGTATTACGTTTTATGTTATAGTGATTTTCTTTCAACTTGTAGTAAGGTCGGTGTGACGAAGTAAAATGAAAATATATTTTGAAGTATGCAGAGCTTTATAATAATTTATAAAACAACTAAGCGACACTTGTGGTTTTTTAACATAAATCAATAACAAATACAGGGTGATTTTTTTATCATTGACAACTCATAACCTTACTGGGTTTAATAACTAATATAATCATTTGATTTTTCTCATATTGTTTCACTATAATGTGATCTCAAAATTTCTACATTTTTTTATGTAGGCTACTCCTAATATCACTGTGTTGTTTAATCAATAATTTAATAACTTCTTTGTATAGTGATTTTACATAATGTGATATCAATTTTCTACATTTTTTTATGTTCTTACCCTTCATTAAATTAGGTTTTTCGATAGCAATTTGGACCACACAAAATATTTTAAGTATTTTATTCTTAATTTTAAAAGTAAATAAAATGTGTGCGTTACTATTTAAGTTCGATAAGTTGATATGATAACAATCAGTTTGGAAAGGGGTAGGAACATAAACATGATTGGAAAATTGTGGTCACCTTATATGAAAACACAATGAATAAACAATTAATTTGTTAAATAAACCGAGTTAGATATTGAGTGGCCCATGATAGAAAAATCACCCTGTACATATGTTGTTAAATATTTTTATACAATTGTATTACATGTTTAATAATATCCCGTGTACAATTTTCAGATAATACCTACGTGCTACATTTTCATTGGTGCACGCTCTATTTTTTTAACTTCGACAACTATCGTAGCGACATACCTGTTCCCAATAAAAATTCTTTACCAACGTGTCGAAAAAATGCGTACTGAACTATAGTTTTTATACGAAACCGTAACGACATCGAAACACAATTATTAGTCACAAGTTTCAAAGTGTTGGTACTCGATGGCGTGAAAGTGAATAGAACTTTCTTAGAAAATAATAAAAACAATGAGATAGAGATGGTGTATGTCGATAAAAAAAATGATTACCCTTGCAAACATTGTACTATAGCACTATTTTTTAACAAATAGTTACCAATAATTGTTATTTTTAATTATGATAAGTCAAAACTATTATATTTATTAAAAACATAAGAGTTTTTATATCCCCGTTTAAATATTTTAACTTTTTGTGTAAAATATGTAAAAACAATTACATATTTCTTTAATCTGACTCTCCAGATCCGTCGCTTTGTCTGTTATGCTCTTGACAATCTTCTTACTGATGTTCTTTTTATGATTTTGGTTCCCCTAAGCTAACTCCATAAACCAGTCGAGTCCGTTCATAATCTTGCCCTCGTGGTCCATTTACTTCTTATTTACTAAGTCCTTTGAATAGGAGAAGGAAGATTTCCGCTCATCGGTCTCCTGCTTCCTCTTGGCGGTAACATAGCTTATTTTGACTGACATTATATTGCATTCTCTGTCCACCATAGTCATTTTAACGATTTTGTTATTAAAACGGTCTTTGGATGAACACATACTACTACTATTTGAGGAAAATAGTAGTTTTTTCGTCGATAAGTCGGTCTTAGGGCCTCAATACCCTATCACGAGGTAATTCTACTGCTTATATCGATTCTTGTGGTGGGATTGCCCAAAAGACGTCTCATTCTCCGAAATTTGAACCCTATTCGAGGTTGCTGAGTAGATAGACGGCCATCGATGGCCGTCACTATGCAAATTAACAATAGACTTTTGCTGGGAAAATTTGGTTTTTTAACTTATTATATCGGTGTATAAGAATTGATGTAAAGTATTAGTAATATATAATTAATAATCATAAAAAATGTAGACATATCCGTTACATGTTTTAATCACTGCTTTTCAAAATATTTTTCCAACTTACAGAATTGTTTCGCTCGTTTTCGGTTATTTATTTGCTTCATTTGGATATTTTCTTGAGTTTGTCTGATTTTTTTTTTTATATTTATGATAATATTTACAATCTATACAATTCGTTTAGTATAACAAGTAAATATGATAATAATAACAATTTTAAAGAACATAGCTTGAATGGCTAGATGATGGTGTTACCCGTTGGCCACACCTCTAGTCGGTTAGTAGACCTCTATTCCACTTTCGCTTAGGTCTGCGGGGTAGGTTTAATGGCAAAGTACTAATAGATATATTTTGTGAAACTAGTGGGTTGCTGTGTATCAATATATTTGAATGGAAATGTTTGTAATGTGTTATAGCTAGTTCTTTGTCTGGGTTTACTCGTAGATCATAGTGTAGGTTAGAGTAATCGACTGATAACTCAGATTGGTCTTATCTTGGATAGTTTGCCTTGGCATCCAGATTTGGATGCCATCTGACCAAACCGGTTGTTAGGTTATAAGCTGACAATATTCTCGAATCAGATATATGCTATTGTAGTATTCGTATTTTTCCAATGGTATATCATTTGATTAATCATTTAGGAAAATATTAGGTTCCATTTTCAATAAAATTACGTGTGCAATATACAGACAATGCCTATGTATTAAATTTTCATTTGTACACATTCTCTTTTATCAATTTTAATAACAGTCATCGTATCGACTCTGTGTACACATGAAAATTAAAAACGTCTGGAATCACACATGATTGTAGAAGCATTTTTCCAAAGTGTCGAAAAAATGCGTGTTGAAAAATAGTTTTAACACGAATGCAAAAAAATAAAATATAATTTTGTTAGATTTTGGTCCCATTACTATTCTGTATTGAACATTTCTTAAATATATTTTAATACTTGATAACACTTTAACATTTACACTATTTCAATACTATTCTACGCGCACAAATAATATCTACATTTAGTTGTTATTTTTACTTATAATAAGTCAATTCTGAATAGTGTATTTCTCAAAAAAAATTTTTAACATTTAATACTATTTCACATACACAAATAGTAACTACTATAAACAATAATAATAATTATTATATATAATATAATTATTATCAATAATAAGTCAAACAAATTATGTTTATTAAAAACATATAACTTTTATCTCCCACCAAAAATTCTCACTATTTGTGAAAAATATGTAACATTTGAATATTTATTTTATTATTATTGTTTGCACTATCATCATATTAACATTTTTATAGGAATATTGTACATCATCATAATAACCGTAATCGTCAAGTTAAATAATAAACTTTATCAATATGTTTTTAACTAGTCTAATTTATCTAAAATAATTGGTTTCAGACTTTAAAGTCGTAAAGATAAAATTGGTTTTCAAAAAGTGTTAAAATTTTTTTTCAATACGTATTATTTTGTCACGCTAGTAAAATAATATAATCTTGTGTATTCCCAGAGGTTTTAAGTTTACATGGGTACACATAGCCGTCGTAACAGAAAAAACAGGTGTCGATTAGTTTTAGCTTCGATGCAAAGCGAGAAGGTATTGGTTTTACTCTGATGTGGGCTTTTTTTTTCGCTGTATACACTGTAACTTTTTTAATACTAGACCAATTCCTTTGAATAGCAACTCTATAAATCACAAATTTTGTCTAGTTTGTACTTTGGGGGGGTAAAAGTTGAAAAAGTTTAAGTCTTCACAGACGAAAGTTGAAAAAACAAAAAAAAAAACCGTACGAGTTTTTAAGTTAGAACTTTTACTGGCTATAGTATCGAGAAAAAGAGTCGGATCGAGTTGAAATGTATAAGAAATATTTATTTGTTATGCCCGCGCACGTCAGTTTTGTCAAATTCAAAATATACCCATTTCCCGCCCCCCTAGGGGGGGTACAAGTTTTTTTGTTTTTCGGGGTTTTTAGCCGTAATTTTAAAACTTTTGGGTTGAAAATTTGCCAGTAGTTGGAACTCATATGTATCCATAACATATTAAGCGGGTGAAAAATTCGGCACTACAGTTTTTTTTTAATTGCCGGAAAACCGTGTTTTCGCACATTGCGTATATTTTAACAAAAACACCTAAAATCTTTAAAAAAAATTGATCAAATCATTAAAACAATTTTATTTATATCTATACAGAATGATACTATTAGGTTTTGTGCTCAAGTACACCACTCTTGACTTAAAGTTTACACAAAGTTTAAATTTTTTTTTTTTTTTTACTTAAGTTCTTTCCGGATGATTAAAATTGAGAACTGATATTAAATTCGTAATCACCGACCCAAAAAACATATAATTTGACCACTTTTGATGTCTTTTACACAAAAATCCAGAAAAATGTTTTAGCTTCGATGCAAAGCGAGAAGGTATTGGTTTTACTCTGATGTGGGCTTTTTTTTTCGCTGTATACACTGTAACTTTTTTAATACTAGACCAATTCCTTTGAATAGCAACTCTATAAATCACAAATTTTGTCTAGTTTGTACTTTGGGGGGGTAAAAGTTGAAAAAGTTTAAGTCTTCACAGACGAAAGTTGAAAAAACAAAAAAAAAACCGTACGAGTTTTTAAGTTAGAACTTTTACTGGCTATAGTATCGAGAAAAAGAGTCGGATCGAGTTGAAATGTATAAGAAATATTTATTTGTTATGCCCGCGCACGTCAGTTTTGTCAAATTCAAAATATACCCATTTCCCGCCCCCCTAGGGGGGGTACAAGTTTTTTTGTTTTTCGGGGTTTTTAGCCGTAATTTTAAAACTTTTGGGTTGAAAATTTGCCAGTAGTTGGAACTCATATGTATCCATAACATATTAAGCGGGTGAAAAATTCGGCACTACAGTTTTTTTTTAATTGCCGGAAAACCGTGTTTTCGCACATTGCGTATATTTTAACAAAAACACCTAAAATCTTTAAAAAAAATTGATCAAATCATTAAAACAATTTTATTTATATCTATACAGAATGATACTATTAGGTTTTGTGCTCAAGTACACCACTCTTGACTTAAAGTTTACACAAAGTTTAAATTTTTTTTTTTTTTTTTTTTTTAACTAAAAACCCAGTGTACCAGATGTGAGAAACGAACAGACACTAAAAACTATCAGTTGGTAACGTCTATCCGTGTTAGATTAGTTTAGGGCCCAATGATCGGTATCATAATATTGTGTTTATTACATGATATCACAGGCGACTAAATCGTGTAACTGATTATAGTAGACACTCGATTTATTGTGAAAAAAACCTGGTCGTGTACTTATTAAGACACTTAATGATTCTGATACGACAAAACCACTGTCGTTATCTCGTTATTTTATAGCCTGCGTTATATAACCTTACCGAAGGTTAACTATGAGTATTTAATGTCTAACTACCTGCAAATAATGAAGAGGAGTGTTGTTTTTTGGATTCAGATTAAGTGTTGGTTTTTATGCAGTATACCGACTCAAAATGTTTTTTTTATTACACAATTTTTTTAAAGGAAAACTAATGTTTTGTATATTGTTATACTGTTATTCATTTAAAGAGATTCACGCTTGATTGTTTAAATTGTCTAATATTAGATAATCTGCTTCGTGCTAATTTTATTTTTTTAGTTTATCAACTTGTAGCTCTAATTTTGTAAAAAATATTTCATTTTTTTATTACTATGTACTATTACTATTAAGATAAATTTTAATAATAATTAAGTCATAAATGATAATACTTTATTTTATGACTAGATCAAATCTTGTAAACATTTAACATCATGATACTGCTCCTATGCTATCATTAAAAAAACACAATTTTTAAAATCTCCATTAAAGGTTATTGTTAAATAACAGGCAACAGCCGACTGCTAGTGGCTATACACGTTAGTAATATTTAACTAATAAGTAATAAATGTAGGTAAAATTTATTGTTTTCTCCATCACAGTACCAGTATACGATTTATTTTAATTTAAATGTAAGAAAATCGATTTTTCTTTAGAAAATAACAAGAAATTAATATACAGGATGAGGCAGTAAAACGGCGATTTTCTAATGTATTTAAATGGTAAAACCCGTTTCACTAACCCACCCTTTACATTTTAAGGATCTATGAAAAGGTTTTTTTAGTTGCATTTTATTTTGTACATTGTCAATCTAGTAAAATAGAAGTATAATATAGCTTTGAAATAATATAATCTGTGAAGTATAAATAGTTTGTGTGAGATTGCTATAATGGAAGTATATAATACATAAATATTAATTTTATTGAGAATAAGCGATTATAATTTAAACTATGGAGTACAAACGATTGAAACATGAATCGTCGACCATTCCAACAAAATATAACAAGACATTGTATTTGTGTTATTTGGTCCACTAAGTTTTTGCAAAAAAAAAAAAAACCAGTACAGTGGGGTCGGTGCATAGTGGGGACGGAGCATAGTTGGGTCGAGGCATAGTGGTGACGGGGAGGTCACAGGTTTACAGGAATTTTTAAATCTGAAAGTGATAAAATCACTTTCGAAAAAACGCTTCGATGCAAATCGGTAGTTAGTATTTTCAAGCCAGTACAGTCCAAACCAAGCACAGTATAAACCAGCAAAGTTAGAAAGTTTTAAATGAAGGTTCTGTATTTACAAATGAGCATCAAAGCGTTTATTTGAAAGCGATTTTATTCAATTTTATCACTTTTACTTATAATAATTCTTGTAGACCTGTGACCTCTCCGTTTCCTCATTGCTTTGATTACATTATGCCAATACTCTACTGTACTAGTCCTCTCGGTTAAAATCACTTTCAAATAAACGCTTTGATGCTCATTTGTAAATACAGAACCTTCATTTAAAACTTTCTAACTTTGCTGGTTTATACTGTGCTTGGTTTGGACTGTACTGGCTTGAAAATACTAACTACCGATTTGCATCGAAGCGTTTTTTCGAAAGTGATTTTATCACTTTCAGATTTAAAAATTCCTGTAAACCTGTGACCTCCCCGTCACCACTATGCCTCGACCCAACTATGCTCCGTCCCCACTATGCACCGACCCCACTGTACTGGTTTTTTTATAAATTCTTATACTGCTTTGCATACTGCAAATTATATTTTAATTTCACTTGTTTTGTTGACACATCGACAAAACGACCCAACAGACTAGTCGTACACAATAACTCTAACACAACAAGTGAAACAAACTATTATAATTCATATCTCTCTTATATTATATTATTTAAATTGTACCATTAATACTATCCAGCACTATGAAGCTTCTCTGCATTTTAATAGCGCTAACCTTTGTCAACGTTTCCCCGATAATGACAGGTAATGTTAATTTTTTACCATAAGTACCTACCTAAATAAAATAGTTAAAAAGAAAATGTAATAATTGATTTTTAATTTCCATAGCGGGCTATGCAAATTCAGTTTACACTACAAGTCAGTACCGAACTTTCATACAACATCACATTTTTTTAAAATTTGATCATTTTTATAAATAATTTTAAAATAATGTATTACAGCCCAATACATTAAGAAGGCTAATGATACAAGTGAGATATATTTTGACTTTGAGATGATTGATATAACACAAAACTAGCTATAGTTTATTATTTTGATCAGTTCAGAATTTCAGTGAATGGGGTATAGTTCCCGTATACCTAATGCTATACAAATTCTAAATTGTAAAATAAATCAAATACTTTATATATTTTATTCATAATAAACCAATTCCTATTATTAACATATAACGTGCGGTTTATTTTTAAGGAGTTTTGTTTAGATAATATTTAAGAAAAATGGGTTTTAATCAATTTCGAACATGTCAATTAATTTGAAAAATTTCAGTTTCTTGTAATCTGGAGATGTTTTTGTATAATTTTATACAATGTTATGATTTCTTTTGAAATTGTGTGTATAGCACTAACCACTATTTGCTTGTAGATCCTGCTGGATTGGAAACTGCACTTTTAAATATTATTAACGGAGATCGATCGATCGGTAATCATTATTATGTAATAAAAAAAATAATTGAAATATAGATATCTACTCGAAGTGTTAAAAGTATAGTGTTATAAAAAATATCTAATATCATTAATTCATCAATTTTCATTATTCCTATTTCAGAGACACTTAATTTGATGTTGGCTACACCGGGTAATAATATACCTTATGTATTTTTTGGATATATTTGCACACAGTTGCTTGATAATAATTAATAACTTATTTGGGCATAACATATTTTCAATTTAATTTCAGAAAAAGCAATTATCGGATTCACAATTGATCATGGTAAGCAATTATAATAATATGTTAATTGTTTTATACCACTATAATTACTTTACATAGATTCTTATATGTATACTGATATATCAAATAGGTTTTCTTGGTTTTTCTTGTAGCTCACACTTTCAATCGATAATAGTCTATTTTTCACCGAAAAACTTCTAGTTTGAAAAATATATCCTCACTTTCATTTTTCTGACAATCTAACTTCGTCTATAAAGACACCGGTCTCGATTTTTTAAAAAAATATAGAAATCATAAATAATTACTAAAAATAAAATGGGTATATATAGTTAATATTTTACAAATTACTAAAGTATTAAATCCGTTAGTCAACAACCCTTTTTTCAGGTCATTTATGTCATGTGTTTACAATGTACAAGTTATGTCATCAAATTTATATAATGTATTAAATTTACAAATTACCAAAAAAATTGTTGGACATATTTCCACATAGTAGATTTTCCACATAGCTTGATAACATATTTGTTGTTTTAATTTCAGATGATTCATTTATTAGCAACTTACCAGGTAGCCTATTTGTATATGTTTTATTATATTACTAAGTACTACTTATTTTCCCTACTGTTTTTGTATCTCAAAAGCTTCACACTTTTAATCGATAGTAATCTATTCATATAATTAGTCACCAACTTTAAGTAGCCCAATGTGATATTTTTTTAATTTGATTAACTACTAACCCTTTATACAAGAATATATTATTATACGGTTTTTGTTTAAGTATCTTATGATTTTTTTTTGTCAATCTGAATAACATGGGAACTTTTATTTTTTCTAATCTAATATATTACCATTTCTGTCATAAGAAAATATCTTGTATAGTACTTTTTGAATTTTAGAACATATTGCTATAGCTGATCAGATGGCAGTGCAAAATATGATATTCCAAGTTACAAGTAAATATAAAGTTTAACATATTTTTTGGAACATTATTCAATATTCATAATTACTTAGTTTTAACCAAATTCGATTAATATACATAATCATTCAAAGTCATAGAGCTATATTATGTTTTTTTAAAACAATTGATAAAATGCCTACTTTTTACTTGCAAATAATACAATTTTCCATATTTTTATACAGATATCGATGTGCCTTCACTTGGCCCGAACGAAAGTAAGCTAGCATTTACTGACTGACGTATTTAGCTATAGATATATAGTTTTAGATAATAAATTGAATTTTGTATAAATAAATAAAAAGTATTTCAATAAATTTAAAAACAAATACAGTCCAATTCATCTCTCGGAAAATTGAGAATAAAGACTATTTTTGTCCAAGGCTGTTATTTAAACATTTTATAACCCTGCCAAGACGGTATGGCCTATAGATATCATTATTTTGCTAGACGAATTAAAAAAGTTATAGCTCCCTATGTATTAGTATATTAAAACAATTTCACAGAAACTTCAAATACTGACCAAATGACCCTAGAAATTTAGGTGTCTATTTTAACTCCACACTTTGTTAAGAGGTCCCTAATTTTCAATAATGATCTTAGAAAAGATTAAAAAATATATGTATATATATTTGAACACTATTTTCACTTTATTATTTTCACAGATTTTGGGAATGTATTGGTAGGCATACTTGCAGATCAAAGAAGAGGTATAATAGGAAAAATTATAAAAAAATTACTCATTGCCGCAATAGGTAAATATTGATAATTATTATAGATTTGTACTGCTTTTACTTTTAGCTATAATTATTCCATTTGATGTACCATTCAAACAATACATTCATAATTTATCTCAACGCCAGATAATAACGCATTGATATTCGGCCTCTGTTTAAGAAAGTTATACCGTCGTTGCCTTTCTTGTAAACCAGTTTACTGCCCTTTCAAATAAATAAGTTTAACACTCAAAGGTCTATCATTGTAGTCATTTGCGAATTCTGTATCAACATATACCTTTCAATGGCTTACTCCTTATCTTATGTGTAAATGAGACCAAAAACAGTAGCACCTTTAACATAACGTAGTGTTCTTTTAACTTGATTGTAATGACTGTCTGTCGACCATGACTGTGTAAAATGACCTTCAAGGCTAGTATTATTTTATTGTAAGTAATCGCCTACTTAATTATAGTTGACTAGCAACACTTTTACTCTTCAAAGTCTAGCAAACTAATTGGCACACAAATAAAGTTTTTTACAACCATACAAATAGGCATAGAACTTACACAACACATAGAGTTGAATATTCTAAACTCTTATTTTGAAATACAACTATTGGTAGCGTTTAGATTGAACCTTGTTTGTTTTTGATCTGTCACTTGTGCAATGTATTTTAAAATAAATTATTTTGCAAGATATCTAAAATAGGAATAGTACTCGTTGACTTCAATCAAATGTTAGTTTCGAGATCTGCTAGTTGTATAGGAAAAGAAAAATGTAAAATACATCTTTAATTAACTTTGTCGAAGTTCCTGCAGTAGGAGGCTTCTTAATTTGTCGAGTTTTTAAAAATAATTTTTTCTTATAATTTTTTAGATAAAGGAACACCACGATTCCCCAACCTTAACGAAATATGTCGTCTACTAGCTGTGGTCCGAAGTATACGATTTCCAGATGCATATATAAAAATCGCTGTTGTTGATCCCTCTGAAAATTGTTGTAAGTTAACTTCGCGAAATGCCAGATTCCGATACAAACCTCGTAGGGGCTCTATTGAAGCGGTGAGGCCAATTAGTCCTGATTTTAATGAGTTAGTGAACATTTTGGATGAAATAAAGTTTTGGTTCCGTTAAAATAGACCATCAACCGAGGCTAGTTTTTAAAAAAATTATACTGCACCTACTGTTATCATTTTACTTTAATAATATTTATACGTTGCGCTTGTATCAAAATTGTCATTTACTTCATTGCATTACATTTTAAACAATTTCTTTCGGTGATATTTAATACACTTTATTACTTGTAATTTAATTAAATATCCTTTTTAAATGCCGTTATCATATCAATGCATTTTTTGAAAACTAATACCCCAAATTCAGACACTTGCAGTGTTCGTTTTTTTAAGAAAATTTTATTTCATGGTCGGATTTGTTCACGTTAGTGTATTTGCTATAATAACAATGTTGATAACAACATTGTCAGATAACAGCCGGGTAACACAGCTAGTAAGGTTTGCAAGAAGTTCACCTTTAATTACTGAGAAACCTTCTATGTTTTGTGTAATCAGTCTAATATAATAATATATTAAATTCTATATTACAATATAATATTTACCTAAAATAAATACCTCAATTGTAAATATTATATAATAAAATTCGATTGATTTTAGTTGTAATACTATTACTCGTTTAAAGCTAAAAAACGACTACCAAATTTGAAGCTGCTATACTTTTTTAACCTTACAATTTGGAAAACCTCACCTAAAAGCTCAAAATACAGGGTATCCCAGAAATATTTGACCAATTAAACAACTTTGGTTCGGAGGAATATTTTTAAGATTTTTTTTTAAAAATTAATTTATACTTATTTGCGCTATAATCACAAATTTCTTTAAGAAACTTAGCTGTTTTACTTATTTAAGTTTGTTTTATTTTAAGAATGATTTGCTGAGAATTTTATCTGGTCGAACACTAGTTTTAGGTAATTAATTTATACATTTTTAGTTAAAAGTAGTTAAAGTTAAAGTATAATGTGAGTATGGAGTGTGGTAGAGTTATTTTTATCTGCACTCTATCGCACTCTAATTCCCATCCTGCTATTAAAAGTTAAACAACATTAATAGGTACTATCCTAAACTGGTTGTCGACCAAAATGCTTTATAAAATCTTAAATTTAAGAGAAATACAAATGGTGACAATTAGAGCGTAAATGAGTATAAATTAATTTAACACTTTAAATGCCAAGATAAATAACTGAAATGGGATCGCCGTCACTATTCATGACAGTTAACGTGTTAACAAAAAAATCCTTAAAAATATTCATTAGAATAAAATTTATTTCATCTGTCATCTAAAACTAGAGAACCATTAAATCGTCGTGAAAGCTATGTTTACAATCATAAGGTATATGACTACAAATACAAAATAAATCTAAGTATGACCACTATACATTTCCTTCGACCGGTGGCTCTATAAAACTGTTTTAGAAAAAAACTAAAATGAAAATGGTTATTGTGTAATTAAAATGTGAAATTAGTGTAGAACAAGTAAAGAATAAAAAAAACAACATTATTATCTTTGAATTTGTTATTGTGGTAGTGACACGTAACAAAATTAATTATATTAAAAACAAGAGTTGAGCTTTGACATTTATTGAGAAGAGTTGTGAGTATAAACGTTAGAAAGTACAAATTAAAATATTAAGATTATAAATGGATCTTTATATATTGTGTTTATAATAGTGAACCAAGGAAGTGATAATTTAATGATAACGTTAAATATGATATTATACAAAATAATTTGAAATTGTATAATAATGCGGTAATACAAACAATATTAATTAAACAGATATTTAAATGTTGCATGTTTTTCTTAAAAAGTTGGAATTTTTTTACGAAAATAAAAGTTATTGTTTTTTTAACAAATTTAATTGGTTTGACTTATCATAAGTAATAATAACAATTATAATTAGTAGTTATTATTTGTGTACGTGAAATATATATATATATAGTAATCATATATTGTGAAATGGTATCAAGTAATAAAATATGATTTAGAAATAACCAATACAGAATAGTAGTGAACCAAAAACAAACGACATTATCTTTTATTTTTTTGCTTTCGTTGTAAAACTTTTTTTCAATACCCATTTTTTTCCATGCAGGTGAAATGATATAATGTTATGTATTCTCAGAGGCTTTAAATTTTCATGGGTACACATAGCCGATACGGTAGCTGTTATTGAAGTTTAAAAAATATGTGAACAAATAATTGTGTAACACGTAGGCGTTGGCTGAATATTATACTCGGGAATTTATTAGAAATCGAATGTTTAAAGCAAAAACATTTTGTTTTGTCTTTTTCTAGACAACAAGAGTCGTAACAGTTAAAAAAAAAGTATTAAACCATCTATGTATACAAGGTAAAAGAAAAAAGTACAAGTAAAAAATGTACAGGGTGATTTTTATTAATGGCCATTTAATATTCACTGGGATTAAATAATTTAATTGTTTTTTAATAGTGTTTTCATATAATGTGACACTAAGTTTCCTATAATGTTTACGTTCCTTACCACTTTCAAACTGATTATTTCTATTGCAACTTTTGACACTTAAATGGTAACGCATCAAGTATACACTGTATATCCAGTTACACTGTTAATTACTAGTTTTGGATAATTATTATTGAAATTGCTATCATAAAAACTAATTTGAAGGGAGGGGGGGTACTATGTTCAATATTAAGAACATATTAATTTGTGGACAATCGAGATCACATTATATATAAAAAAAAAATTATTATATTATTGATAAAACACAGTAAGATATAGAGTTGCCCACGATAAAAAAGATCACCCTGTATACGTTATTTATTTTATAATACAAACCACAAGTGTCGCACTAGTTTATTATAAAATATTATAGTGCTTTGCATACTGCAAATTATATTTTCATTTTACTTCTTTGGTTGATATATCGACACACCGACCTTACGAATAGTTGCAAGGAAATCGCTGTAACACAAAAAGTAAAACAAGCTATTATATTCATAAGTTATATTATTTGAATTATTACATTTTTATTGTCCAGCACTATGAAGCTTCTCAGTATTCTAATAACGGTTGCCTTTGTGTACGTTTCTCCGATAATGACAGGTAATAATATAATTTTTACACGTACCTCTTCAAGGGAGTTAAAAATCTGAATAGAAAATTTAATATTTAATTCTTCATTATAGGGGAATATGCAAATTCGGTTTGCAGTACAAGTCAGTACCAAATTTTCATACTATTACATTTCATACTAATTTACAGTACCAATATAACATTTCTTTTCAATTTTATCATTTTTATACATAAGTTTGAAATAATTTATTACAGCCAATCACATCAGAGAGGCTTATTGTACAAGTAAGATACATTTTGATTTCCAGATGATTTATAAATAAAAACAAGCTATAGTTTGTTTTTATATCAGTTCAGAATATAAGTGAACGGGGTATATTATACCAGTATACCAAATTATTCAGTAAAGATACTAAATTGTAATAGAAAATCGAATACATTATGTATTTTATACTCAAAAATTCTATTCCTATAATTAAACGGAGTTTTGTATAAATAATATTTAATGAAAAAATAAGTTTTAATCAATTTCGACCATGCTAATTTATTTACCAGTTACTTTGTACAAGCTTCAAGGTTTAATTAAAATAATTTTTTCTATGGGTATTGGCCATTTTGGTTTTTTGGCTACAATACAATAATTTATGTAGGAAGCCGATTTTGATTTAAATATTTAAGTGTTATATGATGACCACGTCATCAATATAGGTTACGTGTTTTTTAAATAAATGCGTAATACTCTAGTGCTCTGACAAGTACAAGTGTTAAACCAGTGTGTGTACATCTAGAGCATAGAGTGTCTTTTTACTTTTCTTTTTGTCTTACGACATAAGTTTTCGGTAATTAAATAAATGAAATTTGCAACATATAAAGCCGGTTTCACCTACACTTATTAGGAACCTACCTTATTGTTAATTATATTTAACAACTAGTTAATGAAAATTGAGTTTCATCGATTTGTTAGCCGTAACAAACTGTTAAATTTATCACCCGAAATCGGCATATAAAAATGTATTGTAGACTTATATATATAATATTTATATTATTATAGTTAAGAAATTGTTTCATAATTTTTGTTGACTGAGTATATTAGTAATGTGTAATAATATATTACAAATTTGATGAGGACCTTCTTTATAATGAGTATTTAGAGAACTGTAGAAATAACAACTACGATAACTCTTTATTAGGTAAGCATAAGTTATTTTATGTAGGTAGATTAGGTAAACAAAGGAATGACATAGACTTGCATTATAGGTATATCATAATTTATTATATTTTATAATTAAGATAATATTATTAGGATTATCTTGCCTGTATTTACAAATAATGTATACATTATTTATATTAACTGTAACGTTAAAACAAAGTAAAATAAAATATCATATAATAACAAACTGACAAATTAATATTACAATAATTTATCAGTTATCACATATCTTGATAGTTAATGTGAACGTTGGAATCGAGGTAACCGCTTTGGTAACCCAACTAACGTTTTGCTGACTTAACAAATATAATTTAACAATACTAATATTATGGAGAAAATTATTTTATTTAATCAGATGTTAATTTTAAATGAATTGTTAAATAACATTGTGTTAAGAGTGTATTTAACAATAGTTGGTGAAACCGGCTCCATAACAATTAAACCACATAAATATTGTTGCCAAAGAACACGTATTGTTCTAAAGAACTTAAATGGGGCCATCCTATGTAGTCGAAATTTTGTCTGACTTGTGGGTCTAAATCGTCGACATAACTGACCGCATTCAATCCTCTTAACATAACAGGCTGATTAGCGTTAAATAGTAATTTTATAGTTATGTATATTCTTGTTCTAAACATTTTTATTTATAATTATATACATGAATATGATTTCAATTTGAAATTTTGTGTATAGCTAAAACCATCTATTTTGCTTATAGATCGCGATGGACTGGAAACTGCAATTTTAAATTTAATTAACGGAAATAAAACGTTCGGTAATCATTATTATGCAATAAAAATAAAAAAACCAATACAGTGGGGCCGGGGCATAGTGAGGAAGAAGCATAGTTGGGCCGGGGATAAGTGGGGACGGAGAGGTCACAGGTTTACAGGAATTTTTAAATCTGAAAGTTATAAAATCATTTTCGGAAAAACGCTTCGATGCAAATCGGTAGTTAGTATTTTCAAGCCAGTATAGTCCAAAATAAACACAGTATAACCCAGCAAAGTTAGAAAGTATTAAGTTGAGGTTCTGTACTTACAAGTAAGCATCAAAGCGTTTATTTGAAAGAAATTGTATTCAATTTTATCACTTTTGTTTATAATAATAATTCCTGTAGACCTGTAACCTCTCCGTTCCCTCGTTGCTTTGATTCCATTAAGCCTATACTCAACTGTACTAGTTCTCTCGGATAAAATCACTTTCAAATTAATGCAATTTAATATCTGTTTTTCATTTTACTCTGCCAAAAAAAAAACTTAAGTAAAAAAAAAAATTGAATTTGTGAAATCTTAAAGTCAAAAGTAGTACTTGAGCACAAAACTTAACAATATCATTCTGCATAGATCTACATAAAATTGTTTTAATGATTTGATAAATTTTTTTTAAGATTTTAGGTGTTTTTGTTAAAATATACGCAATCTGCGAAAACACAGTTTTCCGGCATTAAAAAAAAAAAACTAAAGTGCCGAATTTGTTTTCCGTTTAATATGTTATGAATACGTATGAGTTCTAAATACTGGCCAATTTTTAACTGAAAGGTCCTAAAATTACGGCTAAAAAATTAAAAAAACTCGAACCCCCTCTAGGGGGTTGGGAAATGGGTTTAATTTAAATTTGATACAACTGACGTGTGCGGACATACCAAATAAATATTCCTTATAATTTTCAACTCGATCCGACCTTTTTTTTTCGAAATTATAGCCAGTAAAGTTTGTAACTTAAAACCTCGTACTGTTTTTTTTTTTTTCAAATTTCGACTATAATGAAGTAAACCTTTTCAACTTTTACCCCCCCCCCCCCCCCCCCCCCCCCAACCACCAAAGTACCAACTAGATGAAATTTGTGATTTGTAGAGTTGCTACTTGAAGGAATTGGTTCAGCATTAAAAAGTTACGGTGTATACAGATAAAAAAAACACACATAAGAGTAAAACCAATACCTTCGCCTCTCTGCATCGAAGCTAAAATTATATATAGATTACTACTCGAAAAAAGTGTAAAAATTAAAGTGTTTTAAAAATATCGAAAATCATTAATTCATCGATTTATATTATTTCTATTTCAGGTACACTTAATTTGATGTTGGCTATACCAGGTAATAATATTTTTTATCTCTTATTGGAAGTATTTTCATATAGTTTTTGATAATAATCAATAACTTATTTGGGCTTAACATAATTTCGTTTTAATTTCAGATAAAGCAAATTTTAGATTCACAATTCAGCATGGTAACCGATTGTTATATACTACTAATACTTTACACAAATTCTTATATACCAATATAATTAATTTTTTTTTCCGATGGCTCACACTTTCAATTGATGTTAGTCTTTCCGAAATAAAACTCCTTAGATATTAGATCTCTACCTCAAATCTAAGTAGTACCTCTCGTTTTTCCGTTTATTTACATAGAAAATATTAATTTTTCACTGAAAAAATTCTAGTTTGAAAAATATGTCCTTTCTTTCATTTTTCTGATAACTTCCAACGTCGTCTATGAAAAAACTGGTCTCGAGATTTATTTAAAAAAAAAAATTGTAATTAAAATCTAACAAAAAATTGAATAGGTATATACTTAGTATTTCACAAATTACAAAAATATTAAAACCTGTTGTGCCGTTAGTGAACAGCCCCTTAATTCGGTCATTTATGGCATTTGTGTACATGCAAAGTCATCAAATTTACTATTTGCAAATAATTAGTATATAAATACATAGTTAATTATCCACATAGCTTGATAACATATATTTGTTTTAATTTTAGACGAGTCATTTATTATCAACTTACCAGGTAATCTAAATGTATACATTTTATACTCCTAATACTGACACTATCAGTTTCTTACACAAGTATATATTATACGGTTTTTTTTTATGTACCATGTGATTTTTTTTTATTTGATTTATATGGGTACATTATAATTTCCTAATATAAAATATAATATTATACAGTATTTTTTCAAAGTGCTATATTTTACCTTAAAGTGTTTTAATAAACAAAATGTAATAAAACATGTTTAAGTTATTTTTATCAACTTGATGACAAACTATTTTTAGAAAGGTATAGAACTATCTTTACAATGTAATAAACAATTATATATCAATTATTTATTTAAACCGAAACGTTAAAATAAAGTAAAATAAAATATCATATAATAACAAACTGATAAATTAAATGATACAATCGCTTATCAGATATCATATATCTTAATAACCAATGAAAACGTTGGAATCGAGGTAACCGCTTAGGTAACCCAACTAACGTTTTGTTAACTTAACAAAGAGAATCTAATAATAATAATGTTATGGAGAAACTTATTTCATTTAACCAGATGTTAAGTTAAAATTAACTGTTCACTAATTTCGTGTTAAGAGTGTATTTAACAATGGTTGGTGAAACCGGCTGATAATCTATTAAATTATAATTCCTGACCTAAGAAAATGTATGTTATTTTGCTTGTATTTCAGAAAATATTGCCATAGCTGATCAGAAGGCAGTGCAAGAAGCAATATTCCAAGTTACAAGTAAATAATATAAAGTCTAACACACATTATTTTCAAAAATCATAATTAGGTATTAAGTTTTATGATTATTTAAAATATAATCAAACTTTTTTGTGAGTTTTTTAGTGTAAAATATTAAACAATTTTCATAATTTTTATACAGATATCCGTGTGCCTGACCTTGGCCACCACGAAAGTAAGCAACCATTTAATTAATAACGTAAATAGCCCTAAAGTCCTAGTTTATAAGCTAATTAACCATTTTTTTTTAATTTTATTTATTACACTGTAACTTTTTTTTTCACAGATTATGATAATGATCGTAGCACATTGTTTTGGCTTGGAGAAGATAGACGAAGAATAATGGGATATGTTACAAAAATTGTACTTATCAATGCAATAAGTAAATATAAATACTTTTGTAGACTTGTACTAGATTTACCTTTAATTATAATTATTCTATTCGATGTACTATTCAAAAAATTCACTTATAACTTATACACTTCATCTCAACAAGTAATTATTCAATCATATTATATTCTTGTTTAACCGATGCTACGCTAGACATTCGGCCTATGTTTAAGAAAGTATTACCGTCGTTTGCTTTCTAGTAGACCAGGACACTTTCTATCCAAATATTCTAAATAATTACCACAGATTGTTAATATTGGCGTCATTAACGATTTCTGAATCAACGTGTCAATAATATATTATATTATATTATTATATCAATAATAGTGTAACAATACATGTAGGCATAGAGCTCACACAACATGTAGGACACACCATGTTATTTTTAATCATTTATTGTCATTTTAAACTTTTTTGATCCGTCACCTTTGCAATGTCCTTTTATCAATAATTTTGCAAGATATATAAAAGATTCAAGATTAGATAAGAATAGCACACATTAAATAAAATTATATTATCCTCATCTGCTAGTTATATAGAATAAAAAATTTGAAATACCTCTTTATTTAGCTTTGTTGAAAATTCCTCCAGTGCGGCTTCTTTTTCCTGTCAATCTGCTCTTTGCAAATACTAAATTTATTATGATTTTTCTTCTAAATTGTATAAAATTGTTTAAATAAAAATTAAATAGATTTTTTATTAAAATAGTTTACATGATATAGTTTTTTTTTTATGTGTAATGTAATTATTTTTCCATGATTTTGCATATATAGGTGTATAAACTGTGTTTTGAACAAAAAAAAAAGAAGTATATATAAGCTAAAATTGTCAAGTTTTTAAAAACAATTTTTTTTATAATTTTTCAGATAAAGGAATACCAGAATTCACCAACCTTAATGAAATATGTATTCTAATAGGTTTGCTCCGAAGTATGCGATTCCCAGATTCGTACATAAAAACCGCTAGAGTTGATCAAGATGATTATGTTTGTATTTTAACCTCACTAAATGGCAGATTCCATTACAAACCTTATAACGGCTCTATTTTGTTGGTAAGTCCAGTGGGTGATGAATATTTGGATAACGTTTTGTATGAGACAATAACATGGTTCTAGTAAAATAGACCCTCAATAGTAGTTTAATAAAATAAATCACACTTACTGTTTTTATTTTGACTTTAACAATATGTATATGTCGCACTTGTATCTAAATTGTCATTTAATTTAATGTTTTACATAATAAATAATTTCTCTTAGTGTTATTTAATACATTAAACCACTTGTGATTTTATTAAATTCTATCCATTGCAGTGCATAAAATGATATTAAAATACTAATACTAGTAGTGTATTGTACACTACTAATACTACCTATCCACAAAACAATACGATGTTTATCTGAGAAATTATTGTGTACAGCTAGTGCTAGTAGTGTGCTAACAGTCAATATGGCAAAGACGGACGCAAACGTATCAATATAATCCAAGCCTTTACTATAATTTACCATTAAAATAATAAATGTTTTCTTCGTCTTGAGGTTTTTCATTAATATTTTCTTTCTTCAGTTGTTTCAACATTTTCTAAATTTTCTACTAGAAAAAAGATTTTCTTCTCTTTCAATGGTTGAGTAGAACAATACAATTATTATAAATAATACAATGTCCTAAAATTACATCCCGGCTTTGTTAAATGGTTTCATATTCTATAGCGGTTTATTGTATAACCGACAAGTATACGTTTTCTCGATTTTGAATCTAACTTGCGCCTTAGTTGCTTAGGAATGTGTAACTAAAGTAACACATCTGAGAATTCGAATGTGGACAAATTTAGATTATGGCCAGTCCAAAATTCAAAAGGTGTCTTGTTATAATTATAATGTATTGATAGTCCTATTCGCATTATTTCTTAAGACAAATTTGATTGTTGTAGAAATGATGTAGTTCTTTCTACGAATACTCTGTTTAATCTTTCTGTTAAACTATTCGTTTTCAGGTGTATAGGGAATAGTAAAGTGGACCACAATTCCTTTATCTTAACAAAAAATGTTAAACACATTACTTAACTACTTTTGTCCATTGTCACATCTCAGCGTGGATAATTTTTAAGTTAAAATATACACATACAGTGTATATATATATAACTTTATATGTTTTAAAATAATCAAACCCATGACAATTGTTTTGTAATAGACTAGACAACTGAAAAACAGGCATAATCATCAATAAAAGTAAGAAAACATTTCTTACCCTTCCATGTTTTCAGTTTCATAAGTCCACACACTTTGTTTTGGGTTTTATTCTTTTATGCAATAAGCCGTTATCAATTTATACAATTATTGGTATTAATATAATATAGTTTTAAGAAAAATTAAAAACATTTTTTTGTGTTGCACACATCTACAGGGTGATTCATTATGGGTAAGACACTAATTTTCTCAGAAGATATTAATATTTTCAACAATCATTTTTCCAAGATTTTTTGGCACACATTGTACTAAATTTTTAAATATATTGAAAATTTGTATCACCAAACCTTATAAGTCAAAATGGGATTTATGGTTTTTTTTCATGGCGACATATGATTTCCGTTACATAAGTTTGTAGACAAAAAATATTTTAGCGTTTGATTATTTAATTTATTTGTTCATTTGTTATGACTTTATAAAGCTTTAATTTTTTTACTATAAAGTTATAGACAAAAATGCGGCCCAGTATGCACAGATTCACATCGACACATTTTCTGTAATGTGATATAGGAACTCTGCTTCTACTGAATTATTTTATTATAATATTAAGCTGTTATCTTATAACTTATAGTATTGTAAACAAGTTAATTATGTTGGTTCGAACTCTTAGGTACCACTTATAATTTCTAGTAATAATATCAAATATTATTATGATAATAGAACAAAAACACTCAATGTGCACAACGGTAATTTATTTTTAGACGTCGGCCTATATAACAATTCTATTAACCTCCATGGGTGACTCTGGGTTTGTGTATGTATTTAAATGTATCTAGCACAATAATTGTTCATCCTTAAAATTGGGGCATCTAGTTTAAAAGATCTTTTTGGGTAATCATTTTTAATTCTGTCTAAAATTCCCATATAAATTATCCCTTATATATTATAAAATCTTCCAAAAAACTATTGCTATAACTTTGTAATGTTATAATTATTGATAAAAAAAAAAACGTGTACAAATGAAAATGTAAAACGTAGACATCGTCTAAATAATGTACACAGGATTCTATTAAAAATGTAATATATATTTTTTTTTTTTAATAATTATATGTTATAACAGTTTTTAAAAAAAATTAAAACAATTGTGTACACAAATCCTAATAAAGTATATCTATTTCGAGATAAACCATAAACAGTAGTTAAAAAAACAAATAAGTACAGGGTAATTTTTTTTATCTTGGGCCACTTATTATCTCACTTGGTTTAGTTAGTAATTAAATTGTTTGTTCATAAATTTAACCATAATTTAACCATTAGAACCCATATATTTCTAATAAGTTATATTATTTGAATAATTGTTTTATTAATATTATCCCGCACTAAGAAGCTTCTCTGCATTTTAATAACGCTTACCTTTCTAATCGTTTCGCCAATATTGACAGGTTATATTTATTTTTAAGAGGGGCTATAAAAAAAACGGAAAATATTTTAGCCGACAATTCTGTGTCGGATGCATTGTGTCTGCGCAGGCGCTGAGCAGCTTGTTTTGGTTTCTGCGCATGCGCGGTGCCGACACTCACTGGCCACCTGCAGTGGCACCGTACGGTGACTCGCTTATTTGAGTTTTTTAAATTATTATTTTTTTTTTTTTAAAAGATAGGTTTAAACAATTTTATTTTTTATAATTACAACACTAATTATAATGTTTGAATAAAACATTTGTATTCGTTATAATATAATATACATTATATACCGGGAGATTAGTTCACTGTGATCCGGTCGATAACCTACAGGATATAACACTTTTTTTTAATTAATTTTTTTTTTATATAATTTTGTAATTATTAGTTGGGAAAAATTTAATAGATTTTTAGTCACTCAATACGATACAATACGTAATCTTTTTTTCCCGCAGCCCTTCATATATATATATATATATACTATACTATTTATATTCGTTGATGGGTATATTATTTGATTATTACGAGTATGAATGTTCATTTTTTATAAGCTAGTTATTTGACTTGAAATAGTGTTTACTCGTAGATCATAATGTAAGTTTTAGGTGGTTATGATGTACCGCAGTGCTTTGGTAATCAGCCTCAGAACAATCGACTGAAAAGCTTGGATTGGTCTTATATTGGATGGGCTTGGCCGGACCCCAGATTTTGCACTATAAACACCACGATTTTGTGCTGCTCTTAACTGTTTTTTTTTTTTTTTATATATATATTTTTGTTGAATTTAAAACTTTATAAAGAATAACTTGTCGAAAATTTTGGTCGACAACCAGTTTTGGATATTTCCTATTAATGTTTTTTAAGTTCGAAGTGCAGGATGGGAGTTGGAGTGCAATAGAGTCATGCGTGCAGATAAAAATAACTCAACCACACTCCGCTTGCCTTATTATATTTTAACCATTAATAACTTATAATGTAATTATCCAAAACTAGTTATCGACCTGTTAAAAATCTCAGCAAATTATTTTTGATAGTAAAAGGTCCATAAAGAAATTGATGGTTACAGCGCAAGTGAGTAGAAAATTATTTTAAAAATAAATCTTTAAAATAGATCAAAACCCTAGAACAAAAGATTTTTCATTTGATAAATCTCACTGGGACAACCTGTATTTTGATCTTTTTAAAAGGGGTTTTCCTTATTTTAAGGATGAAAAATTAAAGCGGCTTAAAATTTGGTAATCGTTTATTAGCTTCAAAAGTGTAATATTAGTATAACTAAATTCAGACTCATTATTATTTCAATTTGGTTTTGTGCGCTACAATGGACAGAATTTAATACAATTACAAGTGATTGAGAGCATTAAAAAATTATCACTAAAAAAAATAGTTTATTTTATTATACATTGAATTAAATGACAATTAATGTACAAGTGCGACGAATAAAATATATTATTAAAGTAAAACAACAACGGTATGTGCGATACAATTTTTGAAAAGCAAGCTACGAATGATGGTCTATTTTACCAGTATCAATTATTATCTACCTCATTCATAACGTCCACACATTACCTTACCGCAACAATATAGCCCATATGAGGCATGTATTGGAATCTGCCATTTCGTGAAGTTAACGTACAAGATTCACCAGAGTCATCAACACTAACAGTTTTGATATACGAATCTGGGAATTGTATACTTCGGGCCACAGCTATTATACGACAAATTTCGGTAAGGTTTTCGAATCCTGGTTCTCCTTTATCTTAAAAATTATAAAAAAAAAATAGTTTTTAGAAACTTGTCAATTTTGGCTTTCACCTACTTTGGTTTTTTGTTCACATCAAAAACCAATACACGTGTATCAACAATATCATAGAAAAATAATTACATTACTCATAAAAAACACACTTTTTTTTTATTGAAATTTATTAAAATACATTTAAGAAAAATCAACTGCAGTTTGCTTCAGGACTTTTTTTATTGATATATTGTTATGGATTTTAGTTGCTATCTTCATTTTTTATTTGTACAATATAATACAATTTAGAACAACAAGCGTAATAGATGTAATATTTACAAAGAGCACATTGACAGAAAAAAGAAGCCTCCCACTGGAGGAACTTTGGAAAAGTTATTTGTTGAATTCATTAAGTAGGTATTATTCTTGTTCTGAACAATAATCTTTTTTATATCATTGAAAATAACCGAATTAAAAAGACATTGCACTAGCTATAAATCTGTTTATTTGAATGGTACATCAAACAATATAATTATAATTAAAAGTAATAGCAATGCAAATCTATATTAATTATTTATATTTACCCAATGCAGCGGTAAGTAAATGTCTTGTAACACTTCTTGTTATACGTCTTCTGTCTTCTCCAAGCTGTGACAACGAATCATTCTCAAAATCTGTAAAAATAAAATAAATTACAGTTTTAAAAAAAATTGTTTATGAAATAATTGTTTTTTCGTGAAACATTTTATATTTCAAATGATTGCTCTAAAGTTATTACTATTGAAAATTTGTAGGTACTAAGACCACTTATCAAAGTTTGGGGTTGAATAGACACCTAATTTTACAGTCATTTTGTCAGTTTCTGTGAAATTTCTTTAAGGTACTAACGCGTAAAAAAACACATCATATTTAATTCAACTAGTTAAATAGTGATATCTATAGGCCATGTTGTCTTGGCAGAGTTATACAATGTTTAATTAACAACTTTGGACAAAAATCGCCTTTATTCCCATTTTCGAGAGGAACGGAGTAGACTGGGTTTGTTTTTTAATTTAGCAATATATTTTCTATTAACCATTAAATGCTTGCTTACTTTCGTTTTCAAGTGGAGGCACACGGATATCTGTATAAAAATTGATATTATTTAAATGTAAAAAACACCGATTATAACAAAATAAAATGGTGTGCCCGTGTTTAAATTAGACATCAAACAATCATCATCAAGACTTGTATCAAAAAACATAACATTGTATATGACTTTGAACTACAATAATATATTTATCGAATTTTCTTAAACCTTAGTAATTATGTGTTATAAAAAATATTAAAAAATTTATTTATTTTGCAGTAAAAAACACCAAAATAAAAAATGTATATACTAGTTTAAATTATACTTCAAACGATCATCAAGACTTGTATCAAAAAATATATTACAGCTTTATTGCTTCTAATTCTTTTAACATATTTATCGAATTAAAACCAAGTAATTATGAATTTTGAAAATTGTTCCAAAATATATATTAGATTTAACGTTTACTTGTAACTTGAGATATTGCTTCTTGCAATGCCACCTGATCAGCTATGGCAATATGTTCTGAAATACAAAAAAATCTATATAATATATATTTTCGTAGGACAGAAATGATAATGTATTAGATTGTGTCTATTTTATTATTTTCATTTTAATTGCAGTGGGAACTTTAAAATAGTAGAATTTGAAAATATATACAAATAGGTTACCCGGTAAGTTAGTAATAAATGGGTCATCTGAAATTAAAACAAAAATATGTTATCAAGTTATGTGGAAATGTATCGAACATTTTTTTTTTTTTTATAAACATATTTACAATTTATAAATTTATAACAATGAGTAAATTTGAAGACATTACATGTACACAACTGACAATAATGACCTGAAAAATAAGCTGTTCACTAACGGATTTCATATTATTTTAATTTGTAAATGATTTTTATTTTTTGAATAAATCTCGAAACCAGTGTCATCATAGACGACGTTTGATGTTGTCAGAGAAATGAAAGAGAGTACATTTTTCATGAAAAATTGTCCATGAAAATCAAACTAAAATAAAATATGTACTACTTAAATTTGAGCTGAATATCTAAATTCTAAGGAATTTCTTTTTCGGATAGAATTGAATCGAACTCGGATATCGATTGAAGGTGTGAGTTATAGGGAAAACCAAAAAAAAAAATTTTAAAAACCGTTTTATATATTATTAGTATACTATACATATAAGAATCCGTGTAAAGTATTTGTAGCATTTAACAAAATATAACAAATAACAATTGCTTACCATGATCAATTGTGATTCTGAAAACCGCTTTTTCTGAAATTAAATCGAAAATATGTTTGCCCAAATTAGTTAGTTAATTATTATTATCAAGCAATTATGTGGAAACACGTCAGAAAAAATATAATGTAAATTACTACCCGGTACAGCCAACATCAGATTAACTGTCTCTGAAATAAGCATAAGATATATTAATGATTTAATGATGTTGAATTTTTTTTAACACTATATTTTCAACACTGAGTAGATATCTCTAATTAACATTTTTTTTATTACATTATAATGATTACCTATCGTTTTATCTCCGTTAATAATATTTGAAATGGCCGTTTCCAATCCGGCAGGATCTAAAAGCAAATAGTGGTTAGAGTTATACACACAATTTCAGATAAAAACATTTATACTGTACAAAATTATACATAAAAACCTTCAGACTAAGAATATACATAGCTTTAAGGTGACTATTTAACTTAACGCTACTCAACGTGTTTTGTGAAATAGTAATTTTATATAGCCTAATATGTTCTATAAAAATAAGTGGAATTTTACTCTTTTGACTATAAATATACATTTCTAAAATTTTCTTTTACAATTTAGTATTTATACAGGTAAAATGAAACTATATACCCCGTCCATTTATACTATGAACTGATATAAAAACCAACTATAGCTAGTTTTTCATTTATAAATCATCTGAAAATCAAAATGTATCTTACTTGTATCAGAAACCTCTTTGATGTATTGGTCTGTAATAAATTATTTCAAACTTATGTCTAAAAATAATAAAATTTAAAAAAAAAATGATATATCGTAAGAAAATTTGTTACTGACTTGTAATGTAAACCGAATTGGCATAGTGCGCTATGAGGAAGAATTAAATTATTTACTTTTCCATTTAGATTTTTAACCATCTTGAAAAGGTACGTGTAAAAATGATATAAAATTACCTGTCATTATCGGCGAAACGTTTACAAAAGCAAGCGTTATTAAAATGCAAAGAAGCTTCATAGTGCTGGATAATATAATTGAATCAATTCAAATAATATGACTTATAAGAAAGAAAATATGTATTATAATGGCTTGTTATTTTATGCGACTAGTCGTAACGTCGGTATGTCGATATGTCAACCAATGAAGTAAAATTAAAATATATTTTTCAGTATACAAAACAATATAATAGCTTATAAAAAATTAAGCGACACTTTTGGTTTGAGTTTTAAATAATTAACATATACAGGGTGATTTTTTTATCGTGGGCAACTCGACATCTCACTGTGTTTAATCAATAATTTAATAAATTGTGGTCACATTGTACGAAAAAACAATACAATTATTAGTTAAACTCAGTCAGATATTGAGTGGCCTTTGATAAAAAAAACCACCCTGTACACGTCTGATACATTTTTTATTTATTGCTTTTAAATTATTCTCGAATAAGACATACTTAAACACAAATTTGTGTACACAGGTGTTTCAATATTTGTTTTAAATACTACAACCATTAAGTTATTTTTAAAAGAAAATTTATTACATTATTAATTAAATCGCGTGTACAATATACAGACAATGCTTACGTGTTACATTTTAATTTGTGCACGTTGTATTTTTTTTTAATTTCATAACTATCGTATCGTACCCATAAAAGTTAAAGTTTGTTTTTGGACACACTGCTATTCTGTATAGTACCCTTTTTGTTTAAAATTTGAAAACATTTAACACTATTTTATACTATTTCACATACACAAATAATGACTACTAATATTTATTATTAGTCACACTAATTATACTTATTTAAAACATAGTAACTTACACCTCCATTCAAAAATTTTATAGCATTTAAATATTTGTTTATTTAATATTGTTTGTACTACCACCATACTTGACAACATAGTCTTTAAACCAATAATTGAGTACACAACTGGTGTGCGTTTCTTGTTCGCGAATTTCGGTTTTCAGAAAGTCAATGAGAAAATTGAATTGAACTATTTTCTGCGAAACCCGTTTTATAATATTTCTGATATTGAACAATAGGAACCAACGTGAAAGTTAAATGTTATGTAAACGTTTACCTGTACAATATTATATCTTTAAAAATAATCCAAAGAAATTCCAAAAATAATTTTAATTATAAACTGCTTATGCTTTATATATATATTTAATATTACACTATGATAAATAATATGCATTTTTTATCCGTATTTAAGAGAGTGTTCCAGTGACAGATGATTAAGTATAAACAATGATGTTGATGTTAATAGTAATGTTTGTACCTAACAAGTAGCAAGTTCCTATTATGTGTAGAAAGTTAAACAGTTTTAAGTTAATATTTCAATAAAATAAATAATAATAATAATCCTTCATGCTTTGGACAAAAACATAAAATAAAATAGCCTAATTTAGATGTAAAATATGATAATTGTAAGAGCATTAATCGTTTTTCTAAACTATCATCAGTCATAAGCAGTAGAGAATGTTCTAACTTGGTAGGTTGATTTATCTTATATTGTCATGGGGGGTCAAATGGACACTGGTGCCCAGGAGAACATACCATGAAAAATTCTTGTTTAAAAATAAAAATAAACTACGGAGAATTTGGGGTCTATACATTATAAAGCAACTCATTCAATTGATACTTCTAAACTTAAATGTTATTATCAAGATTATTTCTAGCTTCGAGGCGAAGCAGTGAAGGTTTTGGTTTTACTATGATGTGGGCTTTTTTTTTTTTTATCTGTATACACTGTAACTTTTTTAATACTGGACCAATTCTTTCTAGTAGTAACTCAACTGAAGAGATTTCATACAGATTTTGGGACCTTAAACTATTTTGAATTTATCATTAAGTTCTAATTTAAACTTTGAACGTCCAACATATCTCTTATCTCTTATCAGATAACAGCGTAACCCTTTTTTGGTAACACTTTATTCGGTTAATGTGCCAGAGCTCAAACATTCCCATCCCCATTCCAACCTCACTCCCACCCACAACCCCATGACCACCCCTCCCTCATCTCTTATCTCTAATCCTAATCTCTAATCTCTTATCAGAAAACAGCGTAACCCTTTTTTGGTAACATTTTTTTTCGGTTTTGTGTCAGAGTTACTATTGAATAATTCCTGAGGTAAGTATTGTATTGTAGGCAGGTATTGTTATGATATCAATTTCGTTTTGTACACTGCAATGGACAGAATTTAATAAAATCACAAGTAGTTAAGAGTATTAAATATCACCGAAAGAAATTGTTTATTATGTATTACAATGAATAAAATGACAATTTTGATACAAGTGCGACATATAAATATTATTTAAATAAAATTTACAACAGTAGGTGCAATATAATTTTAAAAAAAACTAGCTATGATTGATGGTCTATTTTATCAGAACCAAAACTGTATTTCATTTAAAACGTTCACCAATTCAATAACATTAGGTTGAATGACAAGAAAACGTGGCCTCACCGCAACAATATTGCCCATAAGAGGTTTATATATGAAACTGTCATTTCTTGAAGTTAATTTACAATATTTTTCAGAGTGATCAACATCAGCGGTTTTTATATATGCATCTGGAAATCGTATACTTCGGACCAAAGCTATTAGACGACATATTTTTGAGATGTTGGGGAATTCTGGTGTTCCAAAACCTTAAAAATTATAAAAAACAATTTATGAAAAATCGTCAATTTTAGCTTAGATCTACTTTTGTTTTTTGTTGAAAACACAACTAATACACGTGTATAAGCAAAATTATAGAAAAATAATTACATTACCCATAACACACACACTATTTTCAATGACATTTATTAAAATACATTTAAGAAAGAATAACCGCGGTTTGCTTCAGAGTTTTTTTTATCGAGATGTTTTTTTTTATTAAAACATTTTTGTTATTTACAATCTATACAAAATATGTATAGTCAGCAAGTCTGATAACAAAGATACAGTGACAATATTGTACGAATAGGAAGGCTCTCAGCAGTGTCCTTGACCAGAAAATTGCGATATTGTAATGGAATTTTTTTTCATTTTTTGTTAAAAATGTCGGACATATGTAATAATATCAACATTAGGAACACTACTATGGAAACACTTTCAATTGATAAATTTAATTTACAATTCAATTGACAGTTGAATTTGTAAAAAATCCAACTGTTAAAAGAGAAATTAAAATTTCTAATATAGATAAAGCGAGACCATTTCTTGGTGTTAAAAAAGAACTCACTGAAAATACATTAAAAATTAGCCAAATGTTTTACTTAATAACCATAACGTGAGATAATATTGGCTATCCTATGTTCGCAATAATCCAAACAAGAACGGTAATATTATTTTAAACTGAGGCCGAATATCAGAGGCCTAGTGACGGCTTTACAAGAGCATAAGTGGATAAAAAGATTACTTGTTGAGGGTAAATGATGAATGTACCTACTATTTAAATGGTATATTAAATAGAATAATTATGATTAAAAGTAAAATCCGTACAAATCTATGAAAATTATAAATATTTACTTATTTCATCGACAAGTAAATTTTTCGTAAGTTTTCCTGTTATCGCTCTTCTTTGTTCTCCAAACGTGCCTAACATATCATTCGCAAAATCTGTGAACAAAAATAAGTTATAATGTTTAAAATGTTTTATCTAATTGGTTTCTTCGTGAAATAAGCGTATTTATATTTCAAATAACTGCTAAAATAGTTAAAACAGTGTTTCTATAGTCATTTTGTCAGTGTTCAACGTTTCTGGGAAATTGTTTTAATAAACTAACACGTACGGAGCTATATTACATTTAATTCATCTAGCAAAATAGTGATATCTATAGACCAAACCGTCTTGACCGAGTTATAAAATGTTTAAATAACAACCTTGGACAAAAACTGTCTTTATTCCCATTTTTCAGAGAGATGAAGTGGGCTGTGTTTATTTTGAAATTTAGAGAAATATTTTCGACTTTACGGCTAATTTCTTTAGTCATTAAATGCTTGCTTACTTTCGTTCGGGTCACGTTGAGGCACAGGGATATCTGTGTAAAAAATATGAAAAATTTAGTTATTTTACAGTAAAAAACACACATTTAATCGGTTTAAAAATGTGTACATTGGTTTAAATTATGTTTCAAATGATCATCAAGACAAAAAACATAATATAGCTCTATGACTTTGAATTCGTATAATCGAATTTGGTTAATACTGAGTAATTATGAATTTTGAAATTTGTTCCGAAAAATATGTTAAACTTTATATTTACTTGTAAAATAGGATATTGCTTCTTGCACTGCCACTTGATCAGCTATGGCAATTTGTTCTGAAACACAAAAATTCTATATATGATATATTCTTATGACAGAAATGATATAATATTAGATTAGTAAAAATTAAAAGTTCCCTTGTTAATCAAATTGAAAAAAAATCACAAGGTACTTGTGGAAAACCCGTACACTATATTATTGTATTAGAAATTGTATAAAGGGTTAGTGAAGCGAATTCGTCAAGAAATCATCTCATGATGGCAGCGTTGGGCCTTAAAGGCCCGTTAAGCTTGATGATGATGATGATGATGATGATAAAGGGTTAGTAGCCGGAGTTTTAAATATATTAGATCACCTGGTAAGTTCATAATGAATGGATCGTCTGAAATTAAAACAAAGATATGTTATCAAGGTATAGGATAATGGACTAGGTGTGTGAAAATATGACTAACAAATTTTTTTATTTTATACATTTATTTACAATAAGTGAATTTAAAGATATAACGATTGGGGTACATTTTTCCGTAAACACAATTTCCGCATGATCATTATTGTTATTTAAAAATAACACGAGGTAATACTTAGATTTTAGCTAGAGATCTAAATCTAAGGGAGTTCTTTGTCGGATTGACTACTATCGATTGAAGTGTGAGCCATAAGAAAAACAAAAAAAAAACCCAATAATTATATCAGTAAAAAAAAATCTGTGTATAAAAGTATTGTATAACAATTGCTTACCATGATCAATTCTGAGTCTGAAATTGGCTTTTTCTAAAATTAAAACGTAAATGTGTCGTGCTTAATTTAGTTATTAATTATTATCTAGCAACTATGTGGAAATACGACCAATAAGTTATAAAAAATTTTATTACCCGGTACAGCCAACATCAAACTAATTGTTTCTGAAATAGTTTTTTAACTATATTAATGAATAAATGACGTTGGATTTTTTTTTGTAACATTAAAATATCAACACTTTTTCGAGTAGCAATCTTTTAAGTGTTTTTTTTATTATATAACAACAATTACCTACGGTTTTATCTCCATTAAGAAGAAATGTAATAGCAATTTCCACTCCAATAGGATCTGTAAGCAATTAGTGGTTTGAGCTACATACATAATTTCAAATTAAATCATAATAATGTACAAAACTATAAAAAAAATTCTTCAAAACAAGTATATTGTCGTCCTGAATCTGCAGTGATATAGATTTATCCGAAACTCTTTATAATAAAAATTTCGACTACTTAGTATGGTCTACTTTCAATTATGTAGAGTCATACGAGTTCTTTGACAACCCTACCAGGTTATGCAGGTATAGCTAATACTCACAGAACAAATAATTTAAATTAAAAATAATACCTCGAAACTCGTACAAATTAACTGGTATTGACATTGTTGAAATTTATAAAAAAAATTCTCTGTTCTCATAAATATTGGCAATACAAAACTCCTTAAAAATAGACCATGCAGTCTATGTTAATTATAGGAATACATTTCCTTTCAATTTCTATTACAATTTAGTGTTTTTACAGCATCTGGTATACGAGAACTATATACCCCATTCACTCAAATTTTGAACTAATCAAAATAATAAACTATAGCTAGTTTTTAATTTATTAATCATCTGAAAATCAAAACTCATCTAACCTGTATCAGAAACCTCCTTGATGTATTTGTCTGTAATAAATTATTTCAAAACTATGTAAATAAGTATTGTATTGTATGAACATTTGATACTGACTTGTAATGTAAACCGAATTTGCATAGTTCGCTATGAGGAAGAATTCAATATTAAATTTTGTATTCAGATTTGTAACTATCTTTTATAAGTACTTGTATAAATTAAATACTCACATGTCATTATTGGCGAAATGTTTATAAAGGCAAACGTTATTAAAATGCAGGGAAGCTTCATAGTGCTGGATAATATTCAGCCGAAACAATTCAAATAATATAACTTATAAGAAAGATGTGAATTCAAACAGCTAGTTTGACTTAATGTTTTAGAGTGATTTTCTTGCAACTAGTCTTAAAGTCGATGTGTCGACGATGTCAACCAAAGAAGTAAAATTAAAAAATATTTTGTAGTATGCAAAGCACTATAGTAGTTTTTAATAAACGTAGGTGACACGTGTGGTTTGTATGATAAAGTAAATACAGGGTGATTTTTTATTGTGGGCCTCACTGTGTTTAATCAATAATTTAATGAGTTATTTTTTCATAGTGTTTTTATATAATGTGATCCCAATTTTCTACAATTTTTTACGTTCTTACACATCCTTAAGTTAGGTTTTCTGATAGCAACTTTGACCAGTCAAAATTGATAGTATATTATTATCAATTTCAAAAAGTTAATGAAATATATGCGTTACCATTTAAGTTTCAAAATTTGATATAAAAATAATTAGTTTGGGGTGGGTAGGAGGTGGATATTATAATATTATTGGAAAATTGAGGTCACATTATATGAAAACACCGTGAAAAAACAATACAATTATTAGTTAAAGCCAGTGAGATATTGAGTGGTCCACAATAAAAAAATCACCCTGTACATGTCTGAAACAATTATTTTTTAATTGCTTTTAAATTATTCTCGAATAGCAAATACTTCTATGGAATTTTGTATACACAGATGTTTCAATTTTTTTTTTCAAATGTTATACCATTTATTTACGTCTAAAAGAAAAATGATTACATTTATAATAAAATCCAAAGTACAATATACAGACAATGCCTATGTGTTACATTTTAATTTGTGCAAGTTGTATTTTTTTTAACTTTTATAACTACCGTATCGACTATGTATACAACGTGTGACTATGTATAAAATGTAAAAACGTCTGATTATAAAACAAGAATGTAGTAGTATTTTAAAAACGTGTCGAAAAATGAGTGTTGAAACATAGTTTTAACTCGAAAGCAAAAAAATGAAATACATTGTAAATACAATATTGAAATACACAATATTGAATAATTTCTAAGGTATATATTTTTGACAGCTAGATTTATTCTTTACAACATATGTTCTACAATAATTATAAAATAACAGAATAACAACTATTTAACACAAAAATATGAATTAAAATAGTGGAATATTGTAACTATATGGGTGGATACACTGCGATGGACTGAATTTTAAGACTAAGAGTACCTAATAACTATCACTGAACGATTGTTTATTATAAAATACTAAAAAAACTAAATTTAAACATAATTGCGACAAATAAATATTATTAAAATCAAACAAAAATAGTAAGTGATTCGCACAGATTTTCGTATTGACCACCAGCTGTTAGACATAAATATGTCAAAAAAAAAAAAAATCTCAACAATATTCACTAGACCAAAAGTTGTTTTATCAAATCTTCCTGGGACACTCTGTGTTTTGATCTTTTGAGCGGTGTTTTCCCAAAAGTAAGGATGTAAATAGCGGCTTCAAATATGCTAATCATTTTTTAGCTTCAAATGTGTAATATTAGTGTTATTATTTCAATTTTGTTTTTTACACTGCAATGGACTGAATTTAATAAAATCACAAGTGGTTAAGAGTATTAAATATCACCGATAGAAGTTGTTTATTGTGTAATACAATGAATTAAATGACAATTTAGATACAAGTGTGACATATACATATTATTTAAATAAAATTGACATCAATACATTTTTTTAAAAACTAGCTGCGCTTGATGGTCTGTTTTACCAGAACCAAAACACTATTTCGTTCAAAACTTCCACAAATTCATTAACATCAGGACTCATTGCCCTTAACCCGACAATATAGCCCATATGAGGTCTGTATTGGAATCTGCCATTTCGTGAAGTCAACGTGCAAGCGTTTTCAGAGTGATCAACAACAGCGGTTCTTATACATGCATCTGGAAATCGTATACTTCGTACCAACGCTATTAGACGACATATTTCGAGAAGGTTGTGGAATTCCGGTGTTCCATTATCTTAACAATGATAAAAGTTTGATTTTAAAAACTTGTAAATTTTGCCTTACATCTACTTCAAATTACCCATAAAAAAAACCTTTTTTCTGTCCCCTACTTCGGAATGAAATTTATTAAAATTAATTTAATAAAGTAACCGCAATGTGCTTTAAAACAGTCATTCATAATCGACAGACAGCCATTATAATCAAATTAAAGGAGCACGACGTTATGTTAAAGGGTGCTACTGTTGGTATCATTTGCATAACTAGTGAAGGAGTAAGCCATTGAAGGGAACATGTTAATAATAAATTTGCAACTGACGTCAATGACGGAAGATCCACTTTTGGGTAATTTTTTAAAATATTTGGATACACAGTGTGCTGGTCTACTAGAAAGCAAACGACAGTAATACTTTCTTAGAGGCCGAATATTTGGCGTAGCATAGGCTGAACAGAAGTATATCCGGATAAAAGGATTACTTGTTGAGATGTGTATAAATGATGAATGTATTATTTGAATAGTACATCAAATACAATAATGTTAATAACAAGTAAAAGCAGTACAAATCTATATTGATTATCGATATTTACCTAATGCAGCGATAAGTACATTTGTTGCAACTTTTCCTGTAATCTGTCTTCTGTGATCTCCAAGCAGTAATAACGAATCATTCTCAATATCTGTGAAAATAAATATGTTATAGTTTAAAACAAAATCGTTCATGAAAAAACAATTATTGTTATTTAATTATTAAACAAACGCTTTTATTCCCATTTGCGAGAGAGTTGAAATAGTCAGTATTTATTTTTAAATCTGGTGAAATATTTTTTGTTTACTTACATAAATCGAAATTAATAATCTAAGACTTTAGGGCTATTTATGTCACGTGCTGTGCAAAACCTACTTACAAGTGTTATCATTAATTTTAATAGTTCGCTATTTTGATTTAAATAATGGTTTTTTTCGTGAAATAGTTGTGTTTATATTTTAAATAAAATATAAAGTTCGGAGTTAAAATAGTCACCTAATTCTAGAGTCATTTGGTCAGTATTCAACGTTTCTGTATATTATATTTAATTCAACTAGTAAAATAATGATATCCATAGGTCGAACCGCTTTGGTAGAGTTAAATTAAATGCTTGCTTACTTTCGTTCGGGTCACGTTGAGGCACAGGGATATCTATATAAAAAATATAAAAAATTTCGTTATTTTACAGTAAAAAACACACATTTAATCAATGTAAAATTGTGTACATTGGTTTGAATTATACTGCAAATGATCATCAACACTTGTGACAAAACATAAGTTATTATAATCTATTTATCGAATTTGGTTAAAACTGAGTAATTATGAATTTTGAAACTTTTTCGCAAATATATGTTAAACATTATATTTACTTGTAGCATGGGAAATTGCTTCTTGCACCCTCTCCTGGTCAGCTATGGCAACATTTTCTGAAATACAAAAAAAATATACAATATTTTCTTATGACAGAAATGATAATATACCTATTAGAAAGTGTAATTTTTATTTTTTAATTTGATTAACATGGGAGTTTTAAATTTTTGTATTAAAAAATTTCACGCTTTTAAAATCTTTCAATTGATACTCCATTTTTTTTTTCAGCAATTTCTTTTACATATTAGAAATAAGGTGCTCTTATTACTAAAATATGACAATTCAAAGACATAAATGTAAAAATTATTTTTATAAAGTTAGAGCAAAATGAAACTAATAAAACTGGGTGCTAAGAAAAATGTTATTCCGGAATATCAATTGAAAAATTTCAAATTAGTTTTTTTTTCAATGGAAAATTAAAAGCAAAAGTTAATCAAATGAAAAATAATTATCTTGTACTACTTAAAGCTAGTGACTAAAAATACAGTGAGGTTACCTGGTAAGTTGATAATAAATGGATCATCTGAAATTAAACCAAAAAAAAGGTCATCAAGCTATGTGGATTAGTCACCAAGCTATATTGGACTTTTTAAAAAATATTTACAATTTATAAATTAATTACAATATATAAATTTGATGACATATTATGACCTAACGTAACCCAATCTAACGGATTCAATATTTTTGTAATTTGTATACATTAACTATATACCTATTTTATTATTCGCTTAAAAAAAATACACTACTTGAGCTAGAGATATAAAATCAAATTTTTTTTTCAGACAGTTTATTATCGATTAAAAATGTCTAAAGCCCGTTTCATATATCAGTATACATATAAATATCTGTATAAAGTATAAAAAACCTAGAAACTGACTACGGCCAAAGTGTAAATTTACCCTATTTTTGGTGTTTTTCCTTAATAAAAAACACATCATTGTAAAACCAATACCTTCTCAGCTCCACGCCGAAGCTAAAACACATCATTGTAAGAACAACACCGAAGCTAAAAATTAACAAATAACAATTGCTTACCATGATCAATTGTGAACATGAAAATAGCTTTTTCTGAAATTAAAACGAAAATATGTTATGTCCAAATTATTTATTAATTGTCATCAAGAAACTATATGGAAATACGCCCAATAAGACGCTATAAGGAATATTATTACCCGGTACCGCCAACATCAAATTAATTGTCTCTGAAATAGGATTAATATAATTTGATGAGCTAATAATGTTAGACTTTTTTTTAATACTTTTTCGAGTAGCAATCTATTTTTTAGCATTTTTTTTTTACTACGCAACGACGATTACCTATCGATTTATCTCCGTTAATAATATTTGAAATTGCAGTTTCCAATCCAGCAGGATCTACAAGCAAATAGTGGTTAAGGCTATATTATATACAATTTCAAATGAAATCATAATACTGTACAAAATTGTACATTAAAACCTGTAAAATAAGAATATACACAGCTTTAAGGTGGCTATTTAACTTAACGCTACTCAACCTGTTATGTGGAATAGTGATTTTATTTAGCCTAGTATGTTCTAAGTAAATTAGTGGAATTTTACTCTTTTGACTATAAATATAAATTTATTATATTTTAATTTACAATTTAGTATTTATACAGTATTTGGTATACTACAACTATATGCCCAGTTCACTCATATTAAGAACTGATCAAAATGAAAACCAAACCAATTTTTTATACCTAGTAGATTTATAAATCATCTGAAAATCAAAATGTACCTGTGAAAATCTTACCTGTATCAAAAGCCGTTTTGATGTGTTTGTCTGTAATAAATTATTTCAAACATATGTACAAAAATGATAAAATTAAAAAAAAAAAATGTTAAATTGTATGAAAGTTTGGTACTGACTTGTAATGTAAACCGAATTTGCATAGTCCGCTATGGGGAAGAATTAAATATTGTACTTTCATTTTTGATTTTTAACTATCTTTTATAAGTACTTGTATAAATTAAATACTCACATGTCATTATTGGCGAAATGTTTATAAAGGCAATTGTCATTAAAATGCAGAGAAGCTTCATGGTGCTGGACATATTTTAAGGAAACAATGTAAATAATATAACATAAAATGAAAATATGAATTCTAAAAGCTGTATTACGTTTTATGTTAAAGTGATTTTTTTGTAACTAGCCGTAAGGTCGGTGTGTCTATTTTGCCATATGCTAAGCACTATAATAATTTATAATAAAAGTAAGCGACACGTGTGGTTTTCTATTATAAATAAAATAACGCATACAGGGTGATTTCTTTTATCGTGGGCAACTGTGGGCATCTCACTGTGTTTATTTAATAATTTTTTTATAGTGTTTTTTTTTGTGATTTGATCTTAATTTTACACAAATTTGTATGTTCTACACTCTTCAAATCAGATTTTTTTTTGTTAGCAACTTCGACCAGTCCAAATTGTCAGTACATTATTCTCAATTTAAAAAATTAATAGTGAAACCCTTTTTATTCTGATAATTTCAATCGTTGGAATCCAAAGTGTGCATCGACAACCAATCCCGGTTTTTAAACTACTTCAACACTAACCGTACCATTATAATTGTTAGTGATCCAATATAGACTTACATATGATACAGAGGATAAATATCATCGAGTAATATCATAATTTTTAGCTTACAGTTACTTGTAAAGGTAAAATACTGAAAATAGTGAACAACAAAACTAATCATATAATTTCCATTTCCAACAGGCGTCTAAAAAAAACAGTACAGCAGAGTGTATAAATTAAAACAACGGTAAAGAGTGGAATAATAAAAAACAACGGAAACTGTCATTAGCGCTGAGATTATTTAACACTGAGGTTAGTATTATATTGAGTTGTGGGCAGTTATTATTATTATATCAATTTTCATTTGGTACACTGCAATAGACAGAATTTAATAAAATCACAAGTGGTTCAGTGTATTAAATATCACCGACAGAAATTGTTTATTGTATAATACAATGAATTAAATGACAATAAATTTAGATACAAGTGTGATATATAAATATTATTTAAATAAAATTGAAAACAGTAGGTACATTTAAATATTTTAAAAACTAGCTGCGCTTAATGGTCTATTTTATCAGAACCAAAATTGTATTTCATTCAAAACGTCCACAAATTGGTTATTAATTATAATCAATAACAATATAAAAATATGTCCAAAAAATGAAAAGGGATATTATTACCCGATATAGCCAACATGAGATTGATTGTCTCTGAAATAAGTATAAGATATATACATAGATGAATTAATGATGTTCGATATTTTTTTATAATTTTAACACTTTGAGTAGATATCTATAATTTACTTTTTTTATTACATAACAATTACCTATCGATTTATCTCCGTTAATAATATTTGAAATTGCAATTTCTAATCCAGTAAGATCTACAAGCAAATAGTGGTTAGAGATATATACAAAATTTCAAATGAAATTTATTGTAAAAAATTATACATAAAAACTATAGCTAGTATTAAAGCTACAAATCATCTAAACATCAAAACATATCCTACCTGTATCGAAAGCCCTCTCAATGTGTTTGTCTGTGATAAATTATTTTAAACTTAAGTTTATGTTGTATGAAAGTTTGGTACTGACTTGTAATGTAAACTGAATTTGCACAGTACGCTATGAGGAAGAATTATATATTGAAGTTTTATTCAGAAATTTAACTAGCTTGAAAAGGTGTAATAATTAAATAATTACCTGTCATTATTGGCGAAACGTATATAAAGGTAAACGTTATTAAAATGCAGTGAAGCTTCATAGCGCTGGATAATATTAACGAAACAATTTAAATTATATTTCTTAAAAAAGATATGAATTATAAAAGCTTGTTTTACTTTTTGTGTTAGAGTGATTTTCTAGCAACTAGTCGTATGGTCGGTGGGTCGATATGTCAACCAAAGAAGTAAAATTAAAATATATTTTGCAGTATGCAGAGCACTATAATAATAATTTATAAAAAATTTAAGTGACATTTTTGGTTTTAATTATAAAATAAATAACATGTACAGGGTGATATTTCATCGTGGACAACTGTATATCTCACTGTGTTTAATCAATAATTTAATCATTTTTTTTCTATAGTGTTTTTATAAAATATGATCTGAATTTCCCTTAAATGTTTATATTCTAACCCCCCTTCAAATTAGTTTGTTTTATTGTAACTTCGACCAGTCAACATATACAAATAATTAGTTTCAGATAATATTGTATGTGTTAAATTTTCATTTGTACACTTTCTCTTTTAACAACTTTAACTACTGTCTTATCAACTATGTGTACCTATGAAAATTAAAAACGTCCGGGAAAACACAGGTTTATATTAGTATTTTACCAACGTGTCGAAAAATAAGTTTTTAATTATATATATATATATATGTTGGTTTTTGGTGACACTGCTATTCTTTATAGTAACTTATTTGTGTATATTTAAAACATTTAACACCATTTTAGAACTATTTCACTTACACAGCTACTAATAGTTGTTATCTATGATTATTCAAACCAATTATAATTATAAAAAACATAGTAACTTATATCTCCTTTTTAACTTTGTGTGAAAAATATGTAACATTTAAATATCTGTTTAATTTATATTGTTTGTACTACCACCGTATTAAGATTTTTATAGTTACACTAGCTGTGTTACCCGGCAGTGTTGTTATTATAGTAAATACTAAATACCCCAACGTGAACAAATCCGACCATGAAATAAAATATTCCTTAAAAAACGAACAGTGGTTCATAGTTTTCAAAAAATGCATTGATATGATAATGACATAAAATACACATTTAAGTACATTTATCATTTTTTTTTTTTACAATTTTTAATCTTAAGAGGCTATAACACCATTACGTCTCGCTGATAGTTTTTATGAACGTTAAATAATTAAATAAAAATATTCACTACAACATAAGTTGAATTATTTGTAAACTCTTTCTGGAATAACCTGTGTTTAGACCTTTAAAGAGAGGTTTTCCCAATTGTAAGGATGTAAACATATAGCGGCTTCAAATATATAATATTAGTATTGATATTTTTATTTCCTTTTTTACACTACAATGGAACGAATTTAATAAAATCACAAGTGGTTAAGAGTATTCAACATCACTGAAATATATGGTTTATTATGAAATACAATGCATACAACGACAATTTTAATACAAGTGCGACATATGAATATTATTAAAGAAAATTAACAACAGTAGGTGCTATATATTTTATTAAAAAACTAGCTACGATGATGGTCTGTTTTATCACCACAAATTATAATGCATATAAATATAACAAGTTCACAAGTTCATTATGACCAACACCATCTGGTCATACCTCAACAATAAAGCCATTTTCAGGTTTGTATTGAAATATGCCATCATCTGAAGTCAACGTACAAACATTTCCAGGGGGATCGATTACAGCGGTTTTTATATATGCATACGGAGCTCGTAAACTTCGTTTCAAACCCGTTAGACGACATATTGTGTAAAGGTTGCGGAATTCCGGTGTTCCTCTACCTTAAAAATTATAACAAAAATTTGTATTTGAAAACTTGTCAATTTTAGCTCAAAATACAATCATAATACTACCAACAGTTGTATTTTAGAAGAAGAATCTAGAAAAAACAATTCTATGTGTTGTGTGAGTTATTTGTCTACTTGTACTGTTGCAAAAAACTTAATTTGTGTGTTCATTAGTTTGCTAGACTTTAAAGCGTAAAAGTGCTGTTAGTCAACTATATTTGAGTAGGCGATTACTTACATTAAAATGATACTAGCCTTGAAGGTTGTTTTATGAGATTTTATGAAATAATAAGATAGCTGAAGTGAAATTAGATATTGTAGTTCATTTTTTGTTAAAAATGCCGGATAAATTAACAACGGAATTTGTAAAAATTTGACTGTCGAAAAAGAATTTTTAGATTTCTGATCGAGATAAAACGAAACCATTTCTTGGTGTTAAAAAAAAAGAATGCATTGAAAATACATTGAAAATTAGCCGAATTCGTTACTTAAAAAACCTTACCGTGAGTAATAACTGTAAATCTACTTAATGAGATAAATTATGAATGTATTATGTAAATGGTATATCAAATAGAATAATTATAATTAAAAGTAAAATTAGCACAAATCTATATTAATTATTAATATTTACTTATTTCGTCCCGAAGTAAATGACTTGTTAAATAGTCTATTTTACCAAATCTTGTTACTGAGAGCATGTCTAATGCAGAAATAGTATAATCTGTGGAAATATTTAAGTTACAGAGATAAAGTACTTTTTTTATTTAAATAATTGTTTTTGTTTTAAACAATCACGAGACTCAAAGTTGGATGAATTGCGACGAATAAACCCAGAGTTAAATAAAATACTTGCTTACTTTCGTTCGGGCCACGTTGAGGCGCAGGGATATCTGTATAGAAAAAATATGAAAAATTTCGTTATTTTACAGTAAAAAAAACACATTTAATCAATGTCAAGCTTTATATTTACTTGTAGCTTGAAATATTGCTAGTTGCACTGCCTCCTGATCGGCTATGGCAATATTTTCTGCGATACAAAAAGTACTATATAACATATTTTCTTATGACAGAAATGATAATATATTAGATTAGTAACAATACAAATTTCCATGTTAACCAAATACAAAAAATACTTAAATAAAAACCGTATAATATGTTCTTGTATAAAGGGTTAGTAGTAAGAGCATAAAGATATATTATTCATAGACCTATAAAGATATTTCTTTATAGGTCTATGATATTATTAGGTCACCTAGTAAGTCCACAATAAATTGGTCATCTGAAATTAAAACAAAAATATGTTAACAAGCATAAATGACCAACAAATTATTTTTATAAAAATATTTACAATTTGAAAATGTATTACAAAAAGTAAATTTGATGACACAACATGCCATCAATCCTGAATAGGGGCTGTCCATTAACGGCATCTCAGGATATAATGTTTTTGTAATTTGTGGTATACTAACTATATAGGTTAGGTACCCACCCATTTTTTTTAAAATTTGTATTTAAAATTTATATTTTTTAATAAATCTTGAGACCACTTTCTTTAGACTCATTGGATGTTTAAAAAAAAATAAAAGAGAGGCAATACTTTTCAAACTAAATTTTTTTTAATGAAAAATTAATCTTTTCAATGTTAATCTAAACGAAAAAAACACCAGGTAATATTTAGTTTTTAGCTAGAGATCTAAAATCTATGGGAGTTCTTTGTCAAATTGATTTCTATCGATTAAAGTGTTAGCCAAAAGAAAAACAAAATAAAAACCATTATTTATATCAGTATAAAAGAATCTGTGTATATCAGTAATATAAAACAATTGGTTACCATAGTATACATCAGTATACAAATGACTATGAATATGAATCTGTGTAAAGTATTAGTATTATATATCAAATAACATTTGCTTACCATGGTCAATTCTGAATCTGAAATTTGCTTGTTCTAAAATTAAAACGAAAATATGCTATGCTCAATTTAGTTATTAACTATTATCAAGCAACTTGTGGAAATACGTCCAATAAGTTATAGAAAATAATATTACCCGGTGCAGCCCACATCAAACTAATTGTTTCTGAAATAATTTGTTAATTATATTAATGAATAAATGACGTTGGATTTTTTTTTAACACTAAAATGTTAACACTTTTTTCAAGCAGCAATCTATATTTTAAAAATGTTTTATATTACATAATAATGATTACCCATAGATTTAGGTCCAATAATAGTATTTAAAATAGCAGTTTTCAATCCTTCGAGATCTATAAGCAAATAGTGGTTTGAGCTATTTACAAAGTTTAAAATGAAATCTTAATAATGTATAAAATTATACAAAAAAAATCTCCAAATTACAGGAAACTGAAATTTGTTTAATTAAAATCGCCTTCCTAAATAACATAGGTAATGTAGCCAAAAACTCTAATCTTTTTGCAGAATTTAAATTTGACCATCCTATGTTGTCATGAAATTTTGACAGGCTTTTTGGTCTAAAATAAACCAAAATGATTAATACTCATAGAAAAAAATATGTAAATTAAAAACAACACACTGAAGCGAGTACAAATTAACTGATATATTAATTGACATGGTCGAAATTTGGTGTACAGAAAATGTATACCCCATTCACTTAAATTCTAAACTAACCAAAATAATAAACTATAGCTAGTTTTTAATTTAAAAATCATCTGTAAATCAAAATGTATCATACTTTCATCAAAAGCCTTTTTGATGTGTTTGTCTGTAATATATTATTTTAAACTTAAATATAATAATGATAAAATTAAACAATTTTTGTATTGTATGAAAAATTTGTACCGACTTGTAACAAAAACTGCATTTGCATAGCCCGCTATGAAAATAATTAATTATTGAATTTTTTTTTTTTATTTTTAACTATCTTTTATAGGTAAGTGTAAAATATAAATAATACCTGTCATTATTGGGGAAACGTTGACAAAGGTAAGTGTTATTAAAATGCATAGAAGCTTCATAGTGCTGGTCAATATAATTGAAACAATTCAAATAATATAACTTATACGAAAAATAATGTGTATACTAAAAGCTTTACTTGCAACTATTCGTAAGGTCTTCGATATGTCGACCAAAGAAGTAAAATAACAATATATTTTGCAGTATACAAAGCTCTATAACATTTCATAAAAAAATAGGGCGACACCTGTGGTTTGTATTAACGTATACAGGGTGATATTTTTATTATCTTGGGCAATTCTAAATCTTACTGTGTTTAATCAATAATTTTTTCATACCATTTTTATATAATGTGATCTCGATTTCTCAAACATTTTTAAGTTCTAACTATGTAAACTAAACTAATTTGAATAGGGTTATCCTTTAAGTTAATATTTTTAATAGCAACTTCGATCAGTCAAATTTAATAGTAGATTGTTAACAATTTAAACAGTTAATGAAATATCTATGTTACCATTTAAGTTCCAAAATTTGATTTAATAGCAATTAGTTTCAGAGGGAGTAGGAAAATAAAAACTATTGACATTTTTTGGTCACATTTTATGAAAACACTTTTAAAAAACAATTTAATTATTAGTGAAACCCAGTAAGATATTGTGTTGCCCATGTTAAAAAAATCACCCTGTACATATCTGTTACATATTTTTTACTTACTGCTTTTAAATTATTCTCGAATCAGATATACGTTTTTAGGATTTGTATACTTTGTATGTACAGTCGTTTTAATCTTCACATGTAAAACGTCTAGTATTACACAGGGTTATGCGTATTGAAATAAGTTTTAGCAAGAAACCAAAAAAAAATAAAATATAATGTTGTTTGTTTTTGGTCACACTACCATTCTGCATAGCATATTTCTTAAATATATTTTAAAATTTGATAACATTCAACACTATTTTAACATTATTCCACATAGGTACACATATCATAACTACTAATAATTGTTATTACTACTTATGATAAATCAAAAATATTATGTTTATTAATACCATATCAAGTTATATCTCCGCCAAATGTTTCATCATTTTGTTAAAAATATGTAACATTTAAATATTTTTTTAATTAAACTTGTTTGTACTACCACGGTATTATGATTATCATAATTATATTGTATATTATCATATTGGACGTTATCGTTAGGTTATCACTTCTACGGTCACTAACTTTGGCAATTGTTTCAACTTTGGCGATTGCGCCCTTTTTTTTTACATGAATTATAAATTCAGAAATAAATAGTGTGCGCGAGAGGATCGGTGTCGACTTCGAGTCGGTCCTCCGTAAACTTTTTTGTTAACAGCAAATTTAAGTTTACAAGTACACCTATATAGCTGCAAAGCGGTAAGAAACGTGCTTTCTTCTTTCCCAACAGTGTTATTTCTCAAACCCCAGGCCCGCGGCCATCTCTTAGGGGCACCTAGGCGCTTAAAATACTGAAAGTGACCTTTCCCATCCCCCCAAATTTGGGTTTTTTGTAAACGTCATAACTCCGTGCCAAACGGTCTTAGAGACTTGGTTTGGACGTAGGATTCTGAAACGAGCAATGCGGAAGATTCGCCATCTAGTCCACTCCGTAAAAAGCAGAAGTTGAGTTCCTCACTTTTCCAGTCAATTTTGGATGCGGTAGGATGGCTTAAGACCGCCATCGAGAAAGAAGCAGATACGAACAGGAAGTTATCTAAAACGACTGCCTTACAACTTTTGAACAAATTGGATACAATCATTAACTTTAAAAGATTAGTCGCAACTAATGTTTTATACAGCCAACATTTGGCTGATATGAAGACCAAAAACCTGGATCTCTTTACTAGACTCAGAGCGACGTGCGGTGTCGCATGGGGCACTGACAGAATATAGATGACGTTTCTGTATAACTGTGTCTTCCTGCCTAAAATGCGCTATATGGAGTACAATTTTGGTACCCTGCAGCCGAGTCCAGATGTGGCAATTAAATACTTAGTCAACCGCAGAGGGAAGCCTTAATCGGCTAACGGGCGCGTATATAACCGCGGCCACCTCCTATTCAAATAATTTTAGATTACTCAGTTAGAAGTGAGAAGTTTAGTAGTGTTTAAGTTCTAACTGAGTAAACTAAAATTATTTGAATAGGGGTTCCCTTTACATTATTTTTTTTTTTAGTAGCAACTTTGACCAGTCAAATTTGTTAGTACATTATTATCAATTAAAAAAGTTAATGAAATATCTACGTTACCATATTTTAAGTTCCAAAATTTGAAATAAAAATAATTAGTTTCAGAGGGAGTAGGAAAATGAAAATTATTGGAAAATCGTGGACACATTTTATGAAAACACTTTTAAAAAACAATTTAATTATTAGTGAAACCCAGTAAGATATTGTGTTGCCCGTGATAAACAAAATCACCCTTCACATATCTGTTATATATTTTTACATTTTGCTTTGCAATTATTCAGCGAATCAAACATAATTTTATATGATTTGTTTACACAGATGTTTTTTATATTATATTTTATTGTTTTACCATTTAATTTTTTTTAAAAGAAAATATATTAAATTTGAAATTACAATAATCAGACAATGTCTACGTGTTACAAATTGATTTGTACACGTTTTCTTTTTTAAACTTCAATAACTATCGTATCGACTTTGTGTAGCTATGAACATATAAAAAAACTTCTGGTATTACACAGGGTTATGCTTATTGAATTAAGTTTTAACAAGAAAGCAAAAAACAATAAAGTTTAATGTTGTTTGTTTTTGATAACAAAACCTTTCTGCATAGCTCATTTCTTAAATATATTTTAAAATTGAACACCATTCCACATACACAAAACATGACTACTAATAATTGTTATTACTACTTATGATAAGTCAAAACTACTATGTTTATTAAAACCATATCAAATTATATCTCCGTCCAATGTCTCATCATTTTGTTAATAATATATGTAACATTTAAATATTTTTTTAATTAAAATTATTTGTACTATCGCCATATTATGATTTTTATAATTATATTGTATATTATCATATTGAACGTTGTCGTTGTCACTATTTTAATGTATTACCGTCTATTAGTAATATCCCTAACTTGTCTCAATATTAGTATAATATACTTAATGGTAATAGTAATAGAACTAAAACCAATCTTGTTTAATTAAATATAATACATACCATTAAATAACTTCTGAGGTATATATTACAATATATTATGGACAACCAGTTTTATCATTTTCAATACGTTCATTACAATACTTATTATATAACAGACAAACAACTATTTAATACAAAAATATGAGTTAAACTAAATGAATTGTGACTAAATGGGTGGATAACGACAGTAGGTGCTATTTAATTTTCTAAAAGCTACAATTGCTTGCCTAGATTACAGGTACCAATTCCTTATCTGGTCCATAAGTAATACATTTGCTATATTATTTGGTAATGTTGCAGTATGTCTTCTAAGTAATATTTCCATAACAATTTCTCCGTGGACAGTGCGCTTGTATTTGCAAACTCTGCCATCGCGTGAAGTTAGTTTACAAATACCATCAGAGTCTACATCAGCAGTTTTTATAAATCTATTTGGGAACTTGATACTTCTGATCAATCCTATTGAACGGCACACCCCAGTAAAACTAACGGATTCTGGTTCTTCTTCAGATTTTACTAAAATTAAAAAAAAGTTGTTAAATGTAAATGAACACGATGTCTAATATCGTTATTGTTGAAAAAGTCTTTGTTTTATAAATTCAGGTTTTTTTAATGGTAGCTACATCAAATAGCAAAATTACTATTAAAAGTTACCACAGCGCAAATCTACACCAAATCTTAATATTTACTTATTGCTGCGATAAGTATTTTTATCGTAACTTTTCCAGTTATAAGTCTTCTATCTTCTCCAAGTCGTGACAATGAATCATTCTCAATATCTGTTAAAGCAAATAGATTACACACAGTGTTTGTAAAAAAGTTGTAACAACTGTAACATTGTTTTGAACGACTCGTTAATTAGTTTTGAAACTCGAAGAAATAACTATTTTTATAATAGAACCTCAACAAATATAATGTACATACATAGAAACATTATCACTTAATTAAATAGGTAGGTCTTTGGGGCTATTTTCGTCAGTCAGTAAATGTTAGCTTACTTTCGTTTTGGTCAAGTTTAGGCACAGGGATATCTGTATAAAAAATTGAAAAAATGTAATTATTTTACAGTAAAAAACACTCATTTAATCAATGTAAAATATTGTGTATATCTGTATGAAATATTTTTCAAACGATCATAAAACTGGGTAGTTATAAATTTGAAAATTATTGGCGAAAACATGTTAAACTTTATATTTACTTGTAACTTGGGATATCTCTTTTTGCACTGCCACCTGATCGGCTATGGCAATTTGTTCTGAAAAAAAAAAAATAGTATACATTTTCCTAAGACAGAAATTATGATATATTAGATTAGAATTAGTCTATTTCATTTTTTTTTTTTATAAACGTGGGAATCTTTAATTTTGTATAAGCTGTTTTTAAAACACACATAAAACTAAAATACGAAACTTTGAATATCTTTCGAATGATACTCAGTTATAACATATTTTTTTTAACAAAATTTATCACAATGCAAATGTTAATCAAATAAAAAAAAAACTACACAATGTACTACTCAGAGTTGAGTTGGGGACTAAAATGTTGAGGATTTCTTATCCGAATAGGCTATCAAAATAAAAAATGAAAACAAAAACAGTAAAAATATATACTTGTTTAAGAGTCTGTATAAATTGTAAGCGGTAGAGTTATAAATATATACAAATAGGTTACCTGGTAAGTTGATAATAAATGGTTCATCTGTAATTAAAACAAAAATATGTTATCAAGCTATGGGGATAATTACTTAGTGGAAATTTGTCCAACATTTTTTTTTTTATAAAAATAATTACAAATTGTAAATTTTTAACAATAGGTAAATTGGAAGACCTAATAATATGTACACACATGCCATGAAAGTCCTGAAGAAGGGGATGTTCACTAAAGGTCTAATAATAGATTGGTAAATTAGAACTTAATGGTTAAAGCTAAATTTAAATTGGCGGATATTTATAAGACAATAAAGATGGAAAATATTTGATTAGTTTCAAATAAGAATTTTTTTAATAAAAAAATAATATTTCTCGTGTTAATCAAACAAAAAAAAAAAGCGAGGTAATACTTTGATTTGAGCTAGAGATCTAAACTTTAAGGAATTCTTTTTTAGATAGGCTACTTTTGATTGAAATTGTGAGCTATAGGAAAAACCAAAAAAAAAAAATGTTTAAAAAACCGTTTGATATATCAGTCTATAAGAGTCCGTGTAAAGTATTAATACAATACCACAATGGTTACCATGATTAATTCTGAAAATATTTGCTTTTTCTGAAATTAAAACGAAAATATGTTATTCCCAAATTAGTTATTAGTTATTAATCAAGCAACTATATGGTAATACGTTCAGTAAGTGATAAGAAATAATATTACCCGGTATAACCAACATTAAATTAAGTGTCTCTGAAATAAAAATACATAAATTGATGAATTAATAATGTTGGATTTTTTTTTTTTTTGGAATATATTTTTTTTTATTTGAATACACAATAATGATTACTCATCGATTTATCTCCATTGATAATATTTGAAATTACAGTCTCCAATCCTGTAGCATCTATAAGCAAAAAGTCTTTTGAGCTATAGATATACAAAATTCCAAATGAAATCTTAGTAATGTATAAAATTATACATAAAAATCTTCAGAGCAAGAATATATACATAGCTTTAAGGTGACTAAATAACTTAACGCTTCTCAACCTATAATGGGTGGATAGTAATTGTGTATAGCCAAGTATGTTCTATGTAAACTATTGAATTGCTATTTTGAGTGTAAATATGAAATATTCCGTTTTCTTTTAAAAAATAGTATTTACACAGTATTTGACTGAAACTATATACCACGTTCACAATATTCTGGACGGATAAAAAAACTACAGGTGGTTTTTGATAAATTATAAATCATCTGTGAATCAAAATGTATATTACCTGTATCATAAGCCTGTTTGATGTGTTTGTCTGTAATAAATTATTTCAAATATATGTACAAAAATGATAAAATTAAAAAATGTTATATCGTATGAAAATTTGTTACTGACTTGTAATGTAAACCGAATTTGCATAGTCCGCTATGAGGACAAATTGAGTGTTGAATTAATATTTTAGATTTTTAACTACCCTGAAAAGGTACGTGTAAAAATTAAATAATTACCTGTCATTATTGGCGAAACGTTTACAATGGCAAGCGTTATTAAAATGCAGTGAAGTTTCATAACGTTGGATAATAATAGTTGAATATTTTAAATAATATAACTTATAATTAGGATAATATGAATTCGAATAGTTTGTCTAAGTTTTTGTAAGTGGTTTTCTTGCAACTAATCGTTGGGTCGGTGTGTTCGATGTGTGAAACCCTACATTATTAAATAAATAATGTATAATAACATATCCGTTACATTTTTAAATTACAGCTTTTAAAAATCGTTTTTAATTTATAGAACTATTTCGCTAGAATTTGGATAATTTTTTTTGTATTTGTGCAAGCGCTTGTTATTTTAGCTTAGAAAATCACCGATTATACTAGTAATAAATCATAAGCTGACAATATTTTCTAATCAGATACCTATACTATTATAGGACTTGTATACACAGATGTGCGAATAGGTATGGGTTTTTTCAACTACTTTATCATTTGATTATTAATAAAGGCATAGGCATACAAATTAATTGCCAGCAAATTATTCTTGATAGAAAAAATTAAAAAAAAAACAATTTAAACAGATAGGTTTCATGGAAAAAGTGGTTTTTTTAGCGGGAGTGAGTATATATTAATTAAAAAAAAATATATTCACTAGAATAAATGATGTTTGTCAAATCTTTTTGGAACATCCTGTATTTTGATAAACTAAGTGGTGCTTTCCCAATTGTAATAATGAAAAAGTATAGCAACTTCGAATTTGGTAGTCCAAATTTGTCAGCTTCAAATGTGTATTATTAACACTATCAAAATCAAACTTTTTTTTATAAAATAATACTTACTATTGAACCATTTTCGAGATAAATAATATATTGTATTGTTCGGCAGGTAGTATTGTTATTTCAATTTCATTTTGCAGTTTGTACACTGCAATGGATAGAATTAAATAAATTCACAAGCGGTTAAGAGTATTTATTGTCGCTGAGCGAAAGTGTTTATTGCGTAATACATTGAATTAAATGACAGTTTAGATACAAGTGCGACATATGTATATTATTAAAGTAAAACAACAACAGTAGGTGCTACACAATTTGTAAAAGCTAGGTACGTTTCATGGTCTATATTACGGGAACCAACTCTGTATCTGATCCATAACGTTATCATATATAGTCCCCCTACGACCAATTGGCCTTAAAAAAAAAATATCGCCTAAATGAATTATGTATCTGAATATGTCATTGCGTGAAGTTACTATACAAAAATCCCAAACAGCAGTGTGATCAATACTAGTGGTTTCTATATGTATATCTGGGAATTTTAGACTTCGGAGCAAACCTAATAGACGACATATTCCTTTGAGGTTGTCGAGGTCTTGTGTTCCTTTACCTTAAAAATTATAAAAAAAATATTTTTAAAATCTTATCAATATTGGCGTATATCTATTTAAAAAAAACAAACAAGATACAATCATGCTGCTACCTATAGCTGTATGTTAGAAAAATTTATACTATGTGTTGTGTGAGTTCTATGCCTACTCGCATTGTTATAAAAATCTAAATTTGTGTGCAAGACTTTGGAGTGAAAAAGCGTTGCTAGTCAAGTACAACGCAAGTTAGATTCAAAATCAAGAAAATGTATGCTAGTTGGCTGTACAATAAATCGCTATAGATTATAAAACCACTTAACAAAAACTGTTTTTGTAGCACTAGCAGTATACAAGAGCTTGGATAATATTTATATGGAAGTAGTAACAAATCAGTATGCTAGTCTAAAAGAAAGCAAACGACGGTAATTCTTTCTTAAACAGAGACAGAATAACAGCTGGCGTTAGCATCGGATATAAAAAAATCTATACGGGTAAAAAAATTACTTGTTGAGGTGTGTATAAATTATAAATTGACTATTTGAGTGGTACATCAAATAAAAGAATTATAACTAAAGGTAAAACTAGTACAAATCTACATTAATTATCAGTATTTACCTACTGCAGCGAAAAATACATTTTTTGTAACTTGTCCTAATATACGTCTTCTGTATTCTCCAAGCTGAGGCAATGAACTGTTCCCATAATCTTTGAAGTAAAATAAGACAGAGTTACAAAATTATTTTTAAAAAATTTGGGTTATTGGCTTATAAAGTAAGACTTCAAAGCTATCGTCGGTCAATAAATGCTTGCTTACTTTCGTTCGGGCCCAGTTGAGGCTTAGCGATATCTGTATAAAAAATATAAAAATGTAATTATTTTACAGTGAAAAACACTAATTTAATGAAACGTTCAACTGTAAAAACCGGTAAACCGTAACATAGTAAACAGGTGTAAACTTGTTTAAATTATACTTTAAGCGAACATCAAGACATGTATCAAAAAATATAATATAGCTTTATACCTTGGAATTCTTTTAACATATTTACCGAATTTGGTTAAAACCAAGTAATTATGAATTTTGAAAATTGTTCGTGAAATTTAGTTAAACTTTGTATTTACTTGTAGCTTGGAATATTGCTTCTTGCACTGCCTCCTGATCAGCTGTGGCAATATGTTCTGAAATACAAAAAATGTTATATAATATATTTTAGAAATGATAATAAATTAGATTGTCTCTATTTTATTTTTTTTAATTTTATTTACATGGAAACTTTTAATTTTGTATTACTTTTTTTTATTAACACACTTAAAACTAAAATACAAAACTTTGAAAATCATTCAGCTGATATTCTGTAACAACATTTTCTTAGAAAAATGTTTAACAATTTAAAAATATGCTCTTTTTACAAAATATGGCATTTCAATGTCATAAAGGTAAAAATGATTTGTATACATTTCTAGCACAATGAAACTAAAAAAACTAATAACTGAATGCTAAAAAAAATAAATTGAAATATTTTCAAACTGTCGTATGTTAGTTTTTAGAATGTTATTTTACGTCGAAAAATGTTATTAGTTTTCAAATTGTTAATCAAATGAAATAAAATTCACTATTTACTACATAGAGTTGAGTTAAGGATTACATATTTAAAAATGTCTTATCCTAATAGGCTACTATCGATTGATAGCGTGAGCCTTTTAATCGAAACAAAAAAAAATAATGAAAAGAAAAATCATATAATGTAGTAATGTAAAAAAATCCTTATAAAGTATAAAGAGTAAAAGTATAAAACATATACAAACAGGTTACCTGGTAATATCATAATAAATGATTGATCTGAAATTAAAACAATAATATGTTACAATTTTATTATGATTTTTTTTTTAATATTTACAATTTGTAAATTTATAATAACAGGTAAACTTGAAGACATTTGATGTACTCACATGACATAATGACCTGAAAAGGGTCATAATCCCTAACGGCACCTTAGGTTTTAATAATTTTTTAATTTGTAAAATATTAAGATAATACCCATTATTTTTTTTAGTTTTTATTAATAACTTCTATTTTTTTAATAAATCTCATGACCAGTTTCTTTATAGATGACGTTAGAGGTTGTCAGAAAAATGAGAGGACAAATTTTTCAAACAAGAATTTTTTTTAATAGAAAATTATTATATCAATGTCAGTCAAACTAAAAAAAAACACGAGGTGCTACATAGATTTGAGCTAGAGATCTAAAATCTAAGGGAGGGAGTTTTTTTTCGGATAGACTACTATCGATTTAAAGTGTGAGCCATAGGAAAAACAATCATACCGGTATATGAATTTGTTTAAAGTATACAACAATAATTGGTTACCATGATTAATTCGGAAAATATTTGCTTTATCTGAAATTAAAACGAAAAATGTTATGCCAAAAATTAGTTATTAATTATAATCAACATCTATGTGGAAAAACTTCCAAAGAATTATGAAGAATATTATTACCCGGTATAGCCCACATCAAATTAATTTGCTCTGAAATGGGAATAATATAATTTAATGAATTAATGGTGTTACATTTTTTTTAACACTATAATTTTATACTATTTTCGAGCAAGCTATAATTAAATAATTGTTTTAATTACATAATAATGATTACCTATCGATTTATCTCCGTTAATAATATTTGAAATTGCAGTTTCCAATCCAGCAGGATCTACAAGCAAATAGTGGTTAGAGCTATATTATATACAATTTCAAATGAAATCATAATAGTGTACAAAGTTATACATTAAAACCTTCAGAACAAGAATATACACAACTTTAAGGTGACTATTTACCTTAACGCTACTCAACCTGTCATGTGAAATACTGATTTTATTTAGCCTAGTATATTCTATGTAAATTAGTGGAATTTTACTCTTTTGACTATACATATAAATTTATTAGATTTTCATTTATAATTTAGTATTTATACAGTGGCTGGTATACTGGTACTGTATACCCCGTTCACTCATATTCTAAACTGATCAAAATAAAAAGACTTTAGCTAGTTTTAAATTTATAAATCATCTGAAAATCAAAATATATCTTACTTGTATCTAAAGCATCTTTGATGTATTTGTCTGTAATAAATTATTTCAAACTTATGTATAAAAATGATAGAATTAAAATAAAATGTTAAATCGTATGAAAATTGTGTACAGACTTGTAATGTAAACCGAATTTGCATAGGCCGCTATTAGGAAGAATTAAATATTCAATTTACATTTTAGATTTTTAACTACCTTAAAATGTACGTTTTTAAATCAAATAATTACCTGTCATTATTGGTGAAACGTTTACAATGGCGAGCGTTATTAATGTACAGAGAAGCTTCATCGTGCTGGACATTATAATTAAAACAATTCAAATAATATAACTTATAAGAAAGAAAATATGTTTTATTTTCTGTGTTTGTGAATTTTTGTTGCTACTAGTCGTAAGGTCGGTGTGTCGGTATGTCAACCAAAGAAGTAAAATATATTTTGCAGTAGGCAAAGCGCTATAACAATTTATAATAAACGTATTCGGCACGTGTGGTTTTATATTTTTAAGTAAATAACGTATACAGGTTTTTTTTTTTCGTGGGCAACTCCAAATCTCACTGTGTTTAATCAATAATTTTATAATTTATTTCCATGGTGTTTTTATAATATAATGTGATCATTCTTCAAATTAGGTTTTTAGATAGCAATATCTAATCAGTCAAAATTGTTAGTACATTATTCTCAATTTTAAAAATGTAATTAAATGTATGCGTTATCATTTAGGTTTCAAAAGTTGATATGAAAATAATCAGTTTAGAAGGAGCATGAACATTATTGAAAAACTGTAGTCACTTTATATTTTGCATATAAAGTGACAATGAAAAAACAATTGAATTTTTAGTTAAACCCAGTAAGATATTGAGTATCCACGATAAAAAAATCATCCTATTCATATCTGTTAAATTTTGTTACTTACTGCATATTTTAAATTATTATCAAATCAGATATACGTTTGTATGGTTGGTATACTTACTAAACACAGATGTTTTATTATTATTTTTTTTAACTTTCACACACTATTTAGACAATGTCTACGTGTTACATAGTTATTTGTACATATCTATTTTAAGTATATTTTAGTATCACAAACGACTTTTTTAGGGCATTGAATTGTAAAATGTTTTATTCTAAACAGAAATTTTCATGTTAGTTTCAGAGTCTTCAGATTAGGTAATCGTTGTTCAGATTCAAACGTGTAATAGTAATAAGCGAAAGTATTTGCTAAAACCAATTTTAATCACATTAAATAATACATATTGTTAACGAATTGTTTGAGATACATGTTATATTGTATAATAGACAGCTAGTATTATTATTTAAAATGTACATAATAACTTTAAATATTTTATAATAAACAATCAAAGCAATTAACAAAAATATGAATTAAAATAATTGAGTAGTGAATGTATGTGTGGATACCTTGCAAATGACAGAATTTAATAAATATAATTAATGAATAAATAACAAGAGTAGTTGTTATAAATTGTTTCAAAAGTTAGCTACTCAATATTACGGATACCAACTCCGTATGTGGTACATAATGTCTTCAAAAAAATTATCATCACACAGAAAAATATATCCGGCATCGCGTTTGTATTTAAAGCTGCCATCCAGCGAAGTTAACGTACAACAATTACCAGAGTGATCAACATCAACGTTTCTTATATAATCATCTGGGAATTTTATACTTCGAAGCAAACCCATTAGACGACATATTTCGGTAAAGTTGGCGAATTTCGGTCTTCCTTTAGCTTAAAAAGAATAAAAAATTATTGTAAATGTACATCTTGACTTAAATTTATCCACGTTGAGATATGTGACAATGCACGGAGTAGGTAAGTTATGAGTATAAACGGTTTTTATCAGCTAAAGGAATTGTTGTTGCTTTTGCACACAACCCTAGTCGACTAAGTTGCAAGTTAGATTTCAAATCTATAAAATGTGTACTTGTTGGCTATACAATAAACCCTTATAGACTATGAAACCATTAAACAACTGTTTTTGTAAGCCGGGATGTCATTTTTAATAATATTAAATCATTGATATAGAAAAAAAAAAAAATTTTTTTAGTGGAAAATTTAAAAAATGTTTAAACAACAGCAAAAAAAAAAATTTATATAGAACCTCAAGATGATGAAAACATTGAAACGTCTGAAGAAGCCGAAGAAGAATGTTTGTTGAGATGCGTATAAATTATAAATTTTAGTTGTTCAGCAAATTGAATAATTATAATTAAAAGTAAAACTAGTAAAAACTACACTGATTATTAGTATTTACCTATTGCAGCGATAAGTGCATTTTTTGTTACTTTTCCTGTTATAAGTCTTCTTTGTTCTCCAAACGTGTTTAACGAATCGTTCTCAAAATCTGTGAAAATAAATAAATTACATACTAAAAACTTTTTTTTTAAATTTCGGTTTTTCGTGAAATAATTGTATTACATTCTATGAAGTGTGTTTAAGGTACCAACACTACTTACAAACTTTGTTACGCATTTGACTAGATAGCCATACTATATTTAATTCGACTAGTACTATATATTATATATATCTATAGGCCATACCGTTTCGACAGAGTTAAAAAATGTTTAAATAACAACTTTGGACAAAAATCGTCTTTATTCCCTTTTTGAGGGAGATGATATAGACTGTGTTTATTTTGAAATTTAGTGAAACACTTTCTATTTACTTACATAAATTTGAATTTACAATCTAAGACTTTATGGCTATTTACGTCAGTTATAAAATGCTTGCTTACTTTCGTTCTCGCCAAGTTGAGGCACAGTGATTTCTGTAAAAAAGTGTATATATTCCAGTAAAAAACCCATACTTCATCAATGTAAAAATATGCACATTGGTTTGTATTATATTTCAAATGATTGTTTAAATAGAAATTATAAACAATGATTAAATTATGCTTCAAACGATCATCAAGACTTGCATAAAAAACATTGTATAGCATTATGACTTTAAATTATTATAGTGTATTTATCGAATTTGGTTAAAACTGAGTAATTATGAATTTTGAAAATTGTTCCAAAAATTGTGTTAAACTTTATACTTACTTGTAGCTTGATATATTGCTTTTTGCACTGCCAACTGATCAGCTATGGCAATACTTTCTGAAATATAAAAAACACAATTAAAAATCAGTTTAATAATCGTATAGTATATACTTGTATAAGAAACTCTATAAAGTAGAATTATAAAATATATGAAAATAGGTTACCTGGTAAGTTAATAATAAATGGATCACCTGAAATTGAAACAAAAATATGTTATTAAGCTATGTGGATTAATTATTTGGAAATACGTCCAACAATTTTTTTTTTTTTAAATGTATATTTAAAATTTGTAAATTTATAACAATAAGTAAATTTTTTTATGATATTACATGTACACACATGGCATGAATGATCAGAATAAGGGGCTGTGCTCTAACTGCTCCTCAGTATTCAATATTTTTGTAGTTTTTAAAATCTAAAGTATAAACATATTTTTTTTTTTGTAAGTGTTTATTTAAAACTTGAATACCGTATGACTGTACATGTCTAATAAACGATTTGTAAATTTAGACTTTATGGATAAGGCCTAATTGAGATTTGCGGATATATTTAAGCACATGAAAACGGGACCTTATAATTAAACAAAATGTTCCCCATTTTAATAAAAAGAAAAAAAAAATGAGGTACTACTTAGATATGAGCTAAAGATCTTAGGGAGTTCTTTTTTTGGACAGGCTATTATGAATTGAAAGTATGAGGTGTAGAAAAAAATTTGAAAACCCCATTTAATATATTATCATTTTATAAGAATATTTGTAAAGTAGTATAAGACAATTGGTTACCATGAGTTTCTATTTTGAAAATTTTTGCTGTTTCTGAAATTAAAACGGAAATGTATTATGCCCAAAATGAGATTTGAATTACAATCAACAACTATGTGGAAATTCGTCCAAAAAATTATAAATAACATTATTACCCGGTATGGCCCACATCAAATTAACTGTCACTGAAATTGGAATAATATAAATTTATGATTTAATGCGGTTGGATTTTTTTTAACAGTCAAACCTTAACATTTCTTCCTAGTAGCAAACTTTATTTGAATTATTTTCTTATATTATAATATTGATTACCTATCGATTTATCTCTGTTAATTATATTTGATATTGCAGTTTCCAATCCAGCAGGATCTACAAGCAAATAGTGGTTAGAGCTATATGCACAATTTCATATGAAATCATAATACTTGTAAATATTGTGCATTAAAACCTTCAGAATAAGAATATACACAACTTTAAGGTGACAATTTAACTTAATGCTACTCAACTTGTTCTATGAAATAGTAATCTTGTACAGCCTATTATGTTCTATGTAAATTATAGGGATTTTTTTTTTTATATAAATACAAAGTATTCGATTTTCTTATACAAATTAGTATTTACAGAGTAATTGGTATACTGGTAACATGTACCCAATTTACACTTAATCTGAAGTTATCAAAAAAAAAAAAGACTTTAGCTAGTTGTTAATTATTTATAAATCATCTGTAAATCAAAATATATCTTACTTGTATCAAAAGCCTCTTTGATGTATTTGTCTATAGTAAATTATTTCATACTTATGTATAAAACGATAAAATTAAAAACAAATTTTGTATCGTATGAAAAATTGGTACTGACTTGTAACGTAAACCGAATTTGCATAGTCCGCTGTGAGAAAGAATTAAACATTTAATTTTCTATTCAGATTTTTAACTACTTTGAAAAGGTACGTGTAAAAAATAAATATATACCTGTCGTTATTGGCGAAACGTTTACAAAGGCAAGCGTTATTAAAATGCAGAGAAGGGTCATTGTGCTGGACAATAAAATTGAAGCGATTCAAATAATATTACTTTTGAGAAAGATATATGTTTTATTTTCAGTGGTAGAGTGATTTTCTTGTGACTAGACAGTCGTAAGGTCGGTGTGTCGGTATGTCAACCAAAGAAGTAAAATAACAATATATTTTGCAGTATACAAAGCTCTATGACAGTGTATAATAAATGTATGCGACACGTGTGGTTTTATATATACAAATCATTTTTATACTTCAATTACAGCTATCGCGTCGGCTATGTGTATCCGTGAACTTAAGCCCACGTCACAAAAAAAAATGAGTATGGAAAAAAAAATGATGTAAAAAATATAATGTTGTTGTTTTTTATCACACTACTATTCTGTAAATTTCTTAAAGATATTTAAAAATTTGATAACATTTAACACTATTTTTATTATTATTCCCACCCCAGTAAAACACTAATAATTATTATTATTAATATTATGATTAATTTTGTCATGTTAATTTCAGAGTCATCAGATTAGGTAATCGTTTTTCAAATTCAAACGTGTAGTAGTAAAATAAGCGAAAGTATTTGCTAAAACCGATTTTAATTATTTCAAATTATACATATTGTTAACTAATTTTTTGAGATACATGATATATTGTATAATAGACAGCTAGTATTATTATTTAAAATTCGTATTTATAATAATTATTTTATAACAAAACATTAAAACATTTAACACAAAATATATGAAATAAAATAATTGAATTGTGAATGTATGTGTAGACACCTTGCAAATGACAGAATTTACATACAGACTACAGTTATAAGTACCAACTAAATATAACTGAGCCAAATTGTTTATTATTTAATACATTGAGTTAAATGAAAATTTAATTACAAGTGCGACATATAAAAATTATTAAAGTAAAATAACAACAGTAGGTGCAATACAGTTTTTAAAAGCCAGTTACGTTTGCTGATCTCTATTACAAGAACCAATTTTGTATGTGATACATAATGTCCTCAAAATAAGTACCACCACCCATTGGAATTACTGCCCAAACATCTACGACATCACGTTGGTATATGTGACTGTCATTTTGTGATGTTAATATACAAAAATTAGCAGATTCGTCAACATTAATATTTCTGATATGTTGGTCTGGGAATTTTATACTTCGGAGCGCACCCATTAGACGACATATTTCGTTAAGGTTGGTGAATCTTCTGGGTCTTCCTTTATCTTAAAAAGAATACAATAATATTGTGAATATACTTCTTCACTTAAATTTATCCATTTTAATATGTGACAATGCACGAGAGTAGGTAAGTGATGAGTTTAAACGGCTATGTTCAGCTTCAGGAATTGTTGTTGCTTTTGCACACAATATTATTTGACTATGCTGCAAGTTAGATTCAAAATCAATAAAATGTATTCTTGTTGGCTATTTTTAATGAAAAAAAAATTTGTTTTGGTAGAAAATTTAGAAAATGTTTGAACAACAGAAGAAAATATTTATAAAGAACCTCAAGATGATGATAACATTAAAACGTCTGAAGAAGCCGAAGAAGAATGTTTGTTGAGATGCGTATAAATTATAAATTTTAGTTGTTCAACAAATTGAATAATTATAATTAAAAGTAAAACTAGTAAAAATCTACACTGATTATTAGTATTTACCTATTGCAGCAATAAGTGCGTTTTTTGTTACTTTTCCTGTTATAAGTCTTCTCTGTTCTCCAAACGTGTTTAACGAATCGTTCTCAAAATCTGTGAAAATAAACAAGTTACATCGTAAAAAAATTCTTTTAAAAAAATTTTGTTTTTCGTGAAATAATTGTATTACATTCTATGAAATGTGTTTGATATACCAACACGTTATGCAGTAACTACAAACTTTGTTATGAACTTGACTAGATAGCTATACTATATTCAATTCGACTAGTACTAAAGATATGTATAAGCCATACCGACAGAGTTATAAAATGTTTAAATAACAACTTTGGACAAAAATCGTCTTTATTCCCTTTTTTGAGGGAGATGATATAAAGTGTTTTTTTTTTAATTTAGTGAAACACTTTCTATTTACTTACATAAATTGAAATTTACAATCTAAGACTTTTGGGCTATTTACGTCAGTTATTAAATGCTTGCTTACTTTCGTTCTCGCTAAGTTTAGGCACAGTGATTTCTGTAAAAAAGTGTATATATTCCAGTAAAAAACCCATACTTCATCAATGTAAAAATATGTACGTTGGTTAGGATTATATTTCAAATGACCATGTTTAAATGTGAAATTATAAACAATGATTAAATTATACTTCAAACGATCATCAAGACTTGCATAAAAAACATTGTATAGCTCAATGACTTTGAATTATTATAGTATATTTATCGAATTTGGTTAAAACTGAGAAATTATGAATTTTGAAAATTGTTCCTAAAATTGTGTTAATCTTTATAATTACTTGTAGCTTGATATATTGCTTCTTGCACTGCCAACTGATCATCTATGGCAATTTTTTCTAAAATATAAAAAATACTATACCTTATGTATGTCTATTGTATTTTTTTTAACTTGATTAACATGAAAACTTATACTTTTTTTTTAATTATAATTATTATAATTAAAAGTTGCCTTGGCAATCAAGTTAAAAATCACAAGGTACAACTTAAATTAGTGACTAAAGTCGTGGGGATTTCTTATCCGAATAGCTTACTATCGATTAAAAGTGTGAGCCATAGGAGATACAAAGAGAAATCAATTTAATAACCGTATTGTAATACTTGTATAAGAAACCCTAAAAATTAGAATTATAAAAAATATGAGAAAGTAGGTTACCTGGTAAATTGACAATAAATGGATCACCTGAAATTAAAACAAAAATATGTTATTATGCTATGTGGATTAACTTTTTGAAAATATGTCCAACAATTTTTTTTTTTAAATACATATTTACAATTTTCGAATTTATAACAATAAGTAAATTTGAAGACAACATGTACACACATGACACAAATGTTTAAAAAAAAGGGACTGTTCACCAACGGCACCTCAGGGTTTAATGTTTTTGTAATTTGTAAAATATTTTATGTATATAACTACATTTTTTTGATAGTTTTTATTTAAAATTTGAATACCGTATGACTAATATAGAATACAATATATAAAATAATTCTAAACAGGTCTAATAATGAATTTGTAAATTTGAACTTTAAGGATAAGGCTTAATTTAGATTTTAGAATATATCTTAGCATATGAAAACGGGAACTGAATACTAAACAAAACGAGGTACAACTTAGATATTAACTAGAGATTTAAAATCTTAAGGAGTTCTTATTTGGACAAGCTATGATGAATTGAAAGTATGAGCCATAGGAAAAAAAAATATATATATATAAACCATTTAATATATAATTTTAAAGAATCTTCGGAAAGTGTTAGTAGTATTATATAAAAATTGGTTACTATGAGTTTCTATGTTGAAAATATTTGCTGTTTCTGAAATCAAAAAGAAAATGTATTATGGCCAAAATAAGTTTTCAATTATAATCAACAGCTATGTGGAAATACTTCCAAAAAATTGTAAAGAACATTGTTACCCGGTATAGCCAACATCAAATTACATGTCACTGAAATAAGAATAATATAAATTTATGATTTAATGGTGTTGGATTTTATTTTAACAGTAAAACTTTAACATTTATTCCTTTTACTTTATTAAAATTTTTTTTTTTTAATTATAATAATGATTACGTATTGATTTATATCCGTTAATAATACTTGAAATTGCAGTTTGCAATCCAGCAGGATCTACAAGCAAATACTTGTTAGAGATATATGCACATATTCAAATCATAATAATGTATGAATTTATACATACAAATCTCCACAACAAGAAAATACATAGCTTTAATGGGACTATATTTAATTAACGCTACTCAATCTGTTATGTTAAGGAAATTGCATGCGGACTGTTTTTTTTGACAATTAAGACGAAAAAGCCAGACAAAAGTTCGACTACTTAGAATAGTCTGATTTCAATTCTAATCACTGAACATCAAAATATATCTTACCTTTATCAAACGCCTCTTTGATGTATTTGTCTGTAATAATAAATTTCAAATGTATGTATAATATGGTAAAATTAAAAAACATTTTAAATCATTTAAAGATTTGGTACTGACTGGTAATGTACACCGAATTTGCATAGTGCGCTGTCAGAAAGAATTAATTATTGAATTTTTCAATTCAGATTTGTAACTATCTTTTATAAGTAGGTACTTGTATAAATTAAATACTCACATGTCATTATTGGCGAAACGTTTACAAAGGCTAGTGTTATTAAAATGCAGAGAAGCTTCATAGTGCTGAATAATATTAATGGAACAATTGAAATACTATAACTTGTAAGAAAGATATGAATTCAAACAGCTAGTTTTACTTTATATGTTAGAGTGATATTCTTGCGACTATTCTTAACGTCGGTGTGTCGATATGTCAACCAAAGAAGTAAAATATATTTTGCAGTATGCAAAGCACTATAATAGTTTATAATAAACGTATGCGACACGAGTGGTTTTTTATTATAAAGTAAATAACTTATACAGGATGACTTTTTTTGTCGTGGACAACTCTAAATCTCTCTCTGTTGAATCACTAATTTAATACATTTTTTTTTCACAGTGTTTTTATATAATGTGATCTTAATTTTCTAAATAAAGTTATTTTGTTCTTACCTATTTGTTCAAATTAGGTTGTTTGATAGCATTTTGGACCAGTCAAAATTGTTAGTACATTATTCTCAATTTAAAAAAGTTATTGAAATATATGCGATACCATTAAGGTTTCAAAATTTGATATAAAACTAATTAGTTTGGGAGGGATTAGGACACTGTAATATTACTGGAAAGTTGTGGCCACGTTATATGAAAACACTATGAAAAACCAATACAATTATTAATTAAAACCAGTGAGATATTGAGTGGCCCATGATAAAAAAAATCACCCTGTACATGTCTGTTTAATATTTTAACTTATTGCTCTTAAATCATTCTCGATTCAGACATACTTATATGGAATTTTGTGTACTTAGATGTTTTAATTTTTTTTTAATGTTATACTATCGTTTATCAAATTTCTGTGTGAAACCCTGTATTTTACTCTTAAGTACAAAACTTTACAAAGTTCTAGCAAGACTTTTTCGGTAGGTTAGACAGAATAAGTAATAATTACCCAAAACAAAACTTTTAAACAAGGTTCTCCCAATTTTCAGAATAAAAACTTAACCATGACATTAAATAACTGATATTCTTTTACACATTTAAATACATACAGAAACCCAGAGTTTGATAGTCTAGTTATATGTTTATATTTTTTTTTCTATGTCTTTACATTATAATACCTAATAAAGTATATTATACAAGTGTGTCAAACAACTTTTATAAAACCTAAAATTTCATAAAACATTTTATTCCACGCAGAATTTGTATTTTTCATGTTAATTTCAAAGGCTTCATATGAGAAAATTGTTTATGACTTTCATAGGTTTAATATGGTAGTACAACTAAAATCAATCTCGTTTTATTAAATAATACATACCATAAAATTGCCGAGGTAAATATTATAATATTAAATTATGAACATTTTTAGTATTATTATTTAAAATTAATTTTTCACAATAATTTCTAATATAACAAAACACAAGTATTAATTACAAAGATATGAATTTAATAGTGCGACAAACAAATATTAGTAAAGTAAATCAACAATATTAGGCGCTATATATTTGTTTGAAGTCTAGCTACGATTGCTGGGCTATATTATGGGAACCAATCGCTTAGCAGATGCAAAACGTCCAAAATTAGATCACGTGTAGGAGTGATTGGAATTACCGAAACGATAGTGCCGAAATGAGATTTGTATTTATATTGTGTTTCATCTTGTGAAGTTAACGTACACCAATTTTCAGAGAGATCAACATCAGCGGTTTTTATATATTCATCTGAGTGTATTATACTTCGGGTCACACCTATTAGACGACATATTTCGGTAAGGTTGGGGAAGTATGGACGTCCATTACCTTAAAAGATATAACAAAATTATTTTATTAAAAACTTGTAAATTTTAGCTTGCATCTACATTTGTTTTTTGCCTAAAACACAACTAATACACGTGTATAAAATACAACATCATAGAAAAATAATATTACATCACCCATAAAATACACAATCTATTTTATGTAATCTATTATGCGAGTGGTTAAAAATAAAGTTAAAAAAAAATTGTTTTGTTGGCTTATAAACTAAGACTTTAAGGCAATTTACGTCAATTATTAAATGCTTGCTTACTTTCGTTCGGGCCAAGTTGAGGCACAGGGATATCTGTATATAAAATATAAAAATATTAATTATTTTCCACATTGTAAAAATATGTACATTAGTTGGTGTTATATTTCAAAAGATCATCGAAACTTTCATCAAAAAACAAAATATAGCTCTATGAGTTTGAGTTATTGTAATATATTTATCGAATTTCATTAAAACTGAGTAATTATGAATTTTGGACATTTTTCCAATATAAATGTTAAACTTTATATTTACTTGTAACTTGGAATATTGCTTCTTGCACTGCCACCTGATCAGGTATGGCAATGTGTTCTGAAATACAAAAAAAAATACTTTATAATGGAGCACAATGGAACTAATAAAACTTATAACTGGATGCTAAAAAAAAAAATGTATTACGGAATATCAATTGAAAGTTTTCAAAGTAACGTATTTTAGTTTTTAGAATGTTGTTTTATATCGAAAAAATTGTATTAGTTTTCAAATTAAAATGTTTTTAAAGAAAAATTCAAAGCTAAAGTTAATCAAAAGAAAAAAAAAATTACAATGCACTACTTCGAGTTGAGTTAGGGACATCTTAGGGATTTCTTATAGAAATAGGCAACTGTCGATTAAATGTTTTTGAGGCTTAGGAGTAACCAAAAAATTAAAATAAATGAAAACAAAAACCATATAGCATATACTAGTTTAGGAAGCTGTTTAAAGTGTTAGAAGTAGGGCTATAAAATATTATACACAAATAGGTTACCTGGTAAGTTGATAATAAACGGTTTGTCTGAAATGTTAACAGGCTATGTAGATATTAGTCGAACAATTTTTTTTTTTAATAAAAATATTTTTAATTTGTAAATTTGTAAAATAAGTGAATTCGAAGACATAATATTATGTACACACATGATATGAATGACTTGAAAAGGGTATTTTCACTAACGGCACGTCTGGATCTATTATTTACTCTCTAACTTGGACCCTTCAGACAATATACGGGATTTAGCTGTGCTGTGAGGGATAGCTAAATGTTTTAAAAACAAATCCTATCCGGATGAGGTTTTTCATAAATAATAGGCCCAAAAATGCTTGCTTACTAATATAGAAAATGAAAAGATTCTATTAAAGTTGGACAGAGTATACTAATAATTTCGAGTCACAAGTAAAATTTAAAACATATTTCAAAGTATATTTTTGTTAGGTTAGGCTAGGTTTGGATTATGGAGGCCAAGGCTAAAGCATGTTCTATGGTAAAACATTAATTATATCAGTGTATGCGAATCTGTGTAATGTCTTAGTAGTACATAACAATTTAGTTACCATGATTAATTTTGAAAATATTTGCTTTATCTGAAATTTAACAGAAAATAGGTTATGCCCTATTCAGTTATTATAATCAAGAATTATGTGGAAATACGTCCAATGAGTTATAAGAAATATTACCCGTTACAGCCAACATCAAACTTATCACATCTGAAATGAGTATTAGATATATTGATAAATTAGTGTTGTTGGATTTTTATTTAACACTAAAATGTTTACCACTTTTTCCTAGTAGCAATTTATATTTTAATTATTTTTTTTATTATAGTAAATTATGATTACCCATCGTTTTATCGCCATTGATAATATTTGAAATTGCAGTCTTCAATCCAGCAGGATCTATAAGCAAATTGTGTTGAAAAAAATTTCAAATGAAACCACAACAATTTATAAACTATACATCAAATTCTTTAGAATAATAATAGACATAGCTTTAATGTGACTATTTAACTTAACGCTACCCAACTTGTTACGTGAAATAATCATTTTGTATGGCCCTAGTATGTTCTATGTAAATAATAGGAATTTTACTAATTTTCTTTTACAATGTAGCATGTATACATTTTTTGGTATATTTATACCGTATTTAAAGCTAGTTTTTAGCTTATAAATCATTTGAAAATAAATATTAAATGTTTCCTACCTGTATCAAAAGCCTCTTTGATGTGTCTGTCTGTAGTAAATTATTTTCAATATAAGTATAAAAAATGATGAAATTGAAATAAAATGTTTTATCGTATGAAAAACTGGTACAGACTTGTAATGTAAACCAAATTTGCATATTCCCTATGAAAATAATTAAAATATTGATTTTTCTCATTCGATTTTTAAATACCTTATATGTAAAAATTGAAAAAATTACCTGTCATTATTGGCAAAACGTTTACAAGCGTTATTAAAATGCAGATAAGCTTCATAGTGCTGGATAATATTAATGGAGCAATTCGAATAATGATATAAATTATAAGAATAGTATGTATTCTAAAAGCTTTTTTTTACTTGTTGTGTTAGAGTAATTTTCTTGCAACTAGTCGTAAGGTCGGTGTGTCGATATGTCAACCAAAGAAGTAAAACTAAAATATATTTTACAGTATGCAACGCACTGTAATGAAAAATTATAAAAAAAACGTAAGCGACACTTGTAGTTTATTATTATAAAATAAATCACTTATACAGGGTGAATTTTTTTATCGTGGGCAACTTTTAATTCCATTGTGTTTAATCAATAGTTTAATAATTTGTTTTCATAGTGTTTTTATAATATAATGAGATCTCAATTTTCCAAAAATTTGTATGTTCTTTCAAATTAGTTTTTTTCTGATAGCAACTCCGACCAGTCAAAGTTGTAAGTACATTTGTCTTAATTTAGAAAGTCTATGAAATGTATGCGTTACCATTAAAGTTTCAATAGTTGATATGAAAATAAACAGTTTGGCAGGGGATAGGTTACATAAACATTATTGAAAAATTATGGTCAGACTATGTGAAAAAAAAATTTAACTATTAGTTAAACCCAGTGAGATGTCGAGTGGCCCATGATAAAAAAATGTTACCCTATACATATCTGTTACATTTTTTTTACTTAATGCATCTAAATTATGTCTAAGTGTTACATAGTTGTATGTACACATAATTTTCATAGTTTAATAACAGCTATGGCGTCGACTATGTGTACCCAATAAAATTAAAAATATAACGACAAACAATTTTTCTGACATTTACATAATATTACTAATAATGACAATTATGATAGCTTTATAAAATATATTATTTTATTATATAACATATAAAGAAATGTTAAGTGGTAGAATGTTTTTAATGTTCGTTGTTAATGTTATTGCAAAAGTCATTGAAAAACTATAAATATTACAATTGTTCACATAGAAGTTACTAATCAACTAAAAACAAAATTTGAAATTGTGCTTCGTTCGAAACCTTTTAAATGTTATAAAATGCAAAAAACTAATTGCTCGAAAATATAATAATAATCAAAATCTTTTTTTACATTTTAGGTTCGATGCAAAGCGACGAAGGTATTAGTTTTACACTGATGTGGGCTTTTTTTTTATCTGTAGACACTGTAACTTTTTTAATACAGGACCAATTCCTTCGAGTAGCAACTCTATAAATCACAAATTTCATCTAGCTGGTACTTTGGGTGGGATGGGGTAAAAGTTGAAAAAGTTTACTTCTTCACAGTCGAAATTTGAAAAACAAAGTAAAAGCAAACAAATATAATTATAACAGTGAGTAAAACAGCTGTTTATTGAAATACATTAAAATAATCAATTTAATATATAGGTGCCAACTGCAAATATTATTTAAATACAATAATGATGTAACTATAATATAATTTTGGAAAAGTTATTTCATTCATTTCTGGTCTTAATAATTATCATAGCTGGTCCATGAGTGGTTGTAGTTTATCATCAATGTCATTGTCGTTTACTTGCCACCATACGCCGTCAAAATCTCTGTATATTTTATATTCTGTAATTTTATCGTATAGGAAACAAGTTTTTTTATCTCCAGTTTTAAGATTTTTTATGTATGATGTTGGTAAATTTGTACTTATAAACAATGCTATTAAACGACACATCCCTAAAATAGAGAGTTCCTGATTATGAATATCTGAAAAATCAAAAGAACTTCTTTTTTAATTTGGAATACTTTACTTCTCTTTATGGTGCAAGCACAATTACCTTATTTGTAAAGAAAGTCATAATGTAGAATTTAAAAAATTATAAATCAGGAAAAAAAATGTTTGCAGTATTGTTATTTTGATAGTGTAAAAAAACTGTTACAAACTATTACTTACCAGCTACTGTACGGACGATTCTATTTTTTATGCCTCCTGTAGTGTGCATTCTTCTCTGTTCAATAAGATGGGTCATATTTCCAAAACCTACAAAAAAGTATAAATTACCCGTGTTGATTACAAATAACAATAAAAAATAGTTGCATTAAATTGCATGGATCTGTGATAACAGTAATTTTGTTGCACGACCTGAATTAGTAATGGAACTCGAAGAATGTGTTTATAATTTATTTGAATACATACCTATGGTTTGCAAACCATTACAACTCTTTGTTAATATTTACCTAATGCATGGCTCAGCATGTTTGATAAAGCCATAAGAGTAATACGTCTCCTCTCCTTGCCAAGTTGTGACAAAACTAAGTCTCCAAAATCTGCAAAAATTTCATTTATATTTTATTCATTAGGTAATTAAGCTTCACTTGCTCTCCCTAACTAAATGTTTCTTCATTGAAATAATTATTGTTTGAACTAAAATATTTAAATAATTACAACTCTAAAACCAGTTCAAATGGATATTTACAAATTATCGAAAAAAATGAAATTACTTTGGTTTTGAATATTAGGAACAGCAATTCCTGTAACAATACAACAAATATCGAATCACAATAGAGTCAATATTAACCACGTTTACAAATTTTGTCTATAATTGTCTCAATAAAACTGATAAATTAGACTAATTTATTAATGCTAAGGAATTAAAGATTTTGAAAAATGTTCACTTAGAAGTATTCAATCTTATTTATTTACCCAATTCATCCGTTATAACTTTTTGCAAAGCTTTTTGGATTTCTATGGCCTCTGAAAATAAATATACTGTTAATATGTAGATATTTGTAATGTATTAAACCAATATGTAAGTTTATTAGAAGATTATTAGAAGTATATCTAAGATTATTCTCAAATGTCTATGCACGATTCAAATACTTGTAAAGTATTGTAAATATTATGTAGTCACCTTCTAGGATGTAAAGGTATTCAAAGCATTCTGAAATCAAAATGATAACATTGTGTACTTGATGAATATCAAACGACTATGTAAAAATAGATCCATACTATACAATGAAAATTATTACCCGGTACAGTGAACATAATATTTTCAAACACAATGTCCGAAAGCTGAAAACCTAAAATATTTGCTTCATAATCTACATCAACAACAATTTGTTTAATGACATGCTCCAACCCATCTACAATAAATAAATAAAGGGTTGGTCTGTAAAAGAAGTTTTAATAGTCACAGAAACTTAAAAAGCATGTATATATTAGCATACTTATTTTAAATATATCTTACTCGCAACAATTTTGTTTCCAACAGTAATATTATTCATATTATAGGCAAGCTCAATGTGCGCGTCTGTAATACAAACATTTAAACAAATTGTAAAAGAACAGTAAAATTGAAAAACCAAGAAAAATATTTTGTGTAAATTAAAAGTGTTTCTGACTTGTTATGATAACCTCTCGCTTATAATCCGCTGTGCAAAAAAAAAAAAGAGAAATATTAAGTTTTGTTTTAAGAAAATAAGTGCGAAAAGAAAATAATTACTTAGTTGATCTGTCGAAACGTTTACAAAGACAAATGATGTTAAAAAACAGAAAAGTTTCATTTTAATCTGTCAAAAAAAAATTATAAATATAAAATTAATGTATTAGTCATAGTTGCGTTTGGTGCAGCGCAGAGATGAGGTGGTCTTTGTTAACCGAGACTTTTTTATTTTATAAAATATATATTGTGTATTTTTTTAATAAACCCTTGATATTTCATAGGTCGTTAAGTTGACTGTTTTTAATACAGCAAGTGGGACAACGTTAGTAATTAGTCCACTCTAATGAAGATATTCGAAAATCAAAAAAAAGTCACTGGTAACTATTTAAAAAGCGTTGTGTAAAATTACAAGCAATTTTAAAAATTATATTTATTTTTAAAATATATATTATAGATGCTTATCTATAATTTTGTTATCACCAGATCTATTATTAAAAATATAAAATAACTTTAGCTCAGCATGCAATTATGACACAAAAAATAAAACAAATTTTTGTACCTTTAATACACATTTAAAACAAAAGAATATTAACGTTTTCGTATATTATCTGATTATAAGCGTATTTAAACATTTTTAAGCTAAATAGTGTAACTTACTTAAATTTTTGAATTGATAGAACTTTAAAGAAAAATTCAGGTCAATTAGCTTGTTTAACCAACTGCTTTGAAGTGGCTTTGTCTTGTCTATGGACTGTATATTTTTAACGAGACAGTAAAATATTATTATATTTTGCAAAGTGCTTATTTTAGTTTATTTAAATAGCTGTGTTTTATAATAAACACCTACTGGGGAGTTTAATATATAAACTAAAGAACTCCAATTTTAGCATTTTATGTTTGTTTTGTGTCTGTAGACTCCGTACCAACTTCAACTTTTTTATAACTGGACTAATTTGTTCAAATGGCCACACAATAAAGCGCACATTTTATCTATCTTACCTTTACTACTTCTTCACCTTTAAAATCGGGAAAGCCAAAAAAAAAAACCCCTATAAGAATTCCATTGTGTAAAACATAACATTATAATAAGATGTGCATGGTGATAAGTAATAAAGGTAGGTACAATTATATAATTTTTGGTTTATATAGGGGCTTCGGCCTATATATTTTATTAATCCAATTAGCCAATGGGTATACACTGATAATATATCTTAATAATATGACATTTAGGTAAAACTCGATCCACTTTTATAAATTCAGATCTAGTTTAGCTGAAAATGTCCATTTCAGACAGAAAGGTCACTTCTTATGTGACACCCAAACAATCACCCCAAATGTAGATCAACTCGAGTTAAATGATAAATCTGGTTTAAATCGGTCGTTATTATTATTATTTTTTTTTTTAAATGACTATATCTTGTGCCTGGTGTTCTGTCATAAGACATAGTCATGACTCAACGCATACCTTAGCGGGAAACATTGAATTTCATTTGCTTGAAAGAAGAACACTACCTACAGCTAAAGCTATGGATAGAAGGCTTTGAGAGTTTTTATAGATAATTGTTTTTATTAAGAAAAAATCGAATTAACCAACTATTGAATTAATCTGAAAAAGTCTAGTTAAGACTAAGTATTTAACTTAGTATTTAGCGTCAAGTCCGTTTGTGCTTTTACATGATTTTTAACCATTTTTTTTTGTTATTTTTATAATATTTTTAGACAGTTATCACATTTTTAAGTGTCCACGATATTATTATAATAATGTTATTACCGTCCGGCTGCCCCGTGATCCGCTTGTACGTGGAATTTATGCGTTTTGTAAGAACTTGTATATACTTACTAATCAGGTAGGAATGTTTATGTGTGTGTGTGTTTAAAATATGCTCTATGTCCTGATAATAATAAAAAAAATTAAATATATATATATATGTACGAGCATGGTCCGGCAGCAATAAAATAAAAGTAAAAAAAAAAATCTATGAATGGAATGTGTTCGAGCAGAGCGATTGTAGGTCTGGTCTGCGGTGGTGGTGACCACTGTGCGAGCAGCACCACACACGTATTGTATTATAATATTATATGTATGTAATATATTTTTTTTATATATTTTTTTTTTTATTATAACTGGTCCTGATTTAACAAGTTGTTTGACAAATGGGAGACCCACCGTGCACGGTACTATATTATATGTGTACATGTGTACGTGCAAGCGCATCATCGCCGGTCGTCCATCATTACCAATGCTAATAGCCCGGACATTTATTTTAACGAAATCATTCGGTTTTTTTTTTTTTTTTATTTGATTCTCTTATCCCGTTCATACCCCACGAGGACCTGTCCGTATTGTAAATATATACATGTATACCTTTCCAACGTATACACCGGTACGCATTAATAACAACAATATAAAGTAACGTGTGCACGCTTAACGGTGGCAGACAGACACCCTGCGCCTCTCCGACCTCTGGTGTTGCTCCTCCACGGTTTTTTTTTATTTGTGAATGAAACAGCCGGATATGATATTAGTATGATTTACCGGCGTCGATTTTTGAATCGACCCCAATTCGGTCGCACAAAGTTAGACCTTGAGACGATCGTTTTGGATTGGAGTCTATTGAGAATGAACAAAAAGCATTGATCTTCTTGATTTGAGCTTGAAGGACTTTCGCTGTTTTTACTACATACCTCCGTTTGTCTTTGTCCACGCAATGCCTGTGCACTCAATTGTCTACAGTTGGTCCACATATCCGTCTAAATACTCTTCTTTCAATACTTAGGCCATTTCTTCCTCATCTCATGACAAAACTGGTCGTAGGAAATTCGAGTACAAGAGTTCCTTTGAATAATTTTACCAACCCATATCCCAATCTTCGGTGCCTGTAGAATTTCAGAAGAATTCTTGATTCGATGCAATGATTTGTTTAGCTCCAAGATATTTGACAGCTATCGCTGGCTGAAAGCTATCAAATATCTACTGCCAGGTCCAGGTTTATTTTGTCCTGGCTTCGCTGCTCTTGTTAAATCATTATTAGTCAAAATGCCCATTCCACGAAGTATTGTTATTGATCTGAGAAAAAAAAATATCGAAAAAATGTGTCAACTTGAAACAGCTTGAATCCTTCAAGCTCCTACTTTAGACCTCAATAATGTTGTTGCATGTGGCAAGTGTTTTATCGATGCTCAACGTGATTTGTTTTCAGTGTATGAAGAAAAAGGCAAAAGTTATAATAGCAGTAACAAAAGCGCATCAGGTGGTGAACTTAATCCTTCGGGAAAATTTTTAATGCATTGTTTTCTACCTGTCATTGACCAACTGTCAACTTCAATAAATCAGAGACTGGGATCATATGAAGTTATGTGTGATCGTTTTAGTTTTTTAGGTCGTTTATATGAACTTAGCCATGAAGAACTGCAAGAAGCAGCTAAACAACTTGTTACAGTACACAAAGATGATTTAGATGAATTATCATGCGTTGAAATTGTTGATTTTGCTGAATTTATTCTAATTAGATTGAGGACTTCAATACGTAAAGATCGATTAAATTGTTTATCTATTACGAGCTAACTACTTAGATATTTGGTATTTTCAATTTTTTTACCGTTAGTGGCCTCAAAAAAAAAGATTTGCCCCGGTCAGCCAAAAGTCGAAATCCGGCCCTGGTTTGTACGGTTAGGCATACCGCCGCCGCTCGTCTCCTATTACCCCGCCATAGTGTGTACTCCTTGATTTATAGCCGTCATTACCTAGGGGGGCACGTTATTATTGACAGGCGAAACAACAATAATCGTAAAATTTAAAAATTTAAAAAAAAATAAAATAAAAAGCCGTAACAACATCAACCGTACAGTCATTACTACAGCATTAACGCTTTGCTCCAACGGCGGCGGCGGCATTGTTTTTTAATTTTTTTTGTTTTTGTTATTGTTATATACTTAAAGTATTTTTTTATTGGCATTACCCTCGGACATTACAGGTTCGGCACGATCGACGTGTGAGCATGTTATTATAATAATAATATTAGGTATTTTTTTACCTACAAACATTTGGCTCCCCCGTACGCATTCCGGCCGGTACGAGGTGGTACTGATGAAAACGTGATTTTTACCGAGTTCGATGCGTTTGGAAGTCAAAAAAAAGTCTGAGTTATTGTTTTTTTCTTTTCCTCCCTCGCCGACGCTGTTAAAAAAAAAAAAAAAATTTCAAAAAAAACCCGAAGCGGCTACCTGATAATGTAACAAGACGGTTCACCTCTTGATCTCGATTTTCTTATTGCATTACAACCGCCGACGGAATATACAAATATGCGCACACATACTGGCCTCAAGGTATTTCTCTTTATTTTATTTTTTAATACTATTATTTTTTTCTCCCGGCCTGGACCTACCGCCGTGGCTGCGTGGGTGACACAGCCACGGCCAGGTGAGGTTATTATTACAAGTTCGAAGGATGCAAGAATCGGTTATAGGTAATACTATAATAGTTGCCGTGGCATACGAGCACCTTGTGTCCAAATTGTTTACAAACTGCGCAATAACCATTAAAGAATTTCCCATATTTTCTCGAATCGATTGTCAGTTGGCTGCACTGTAACCCGCTTTAAATTCGCGCTATTGTAATGTTAATTTAATAAACTCTCGATCTTAAACACTTAGGGCCACTTTGTCGGTATCTTAAATCTTATCTTAAGTTATACTTTCAAAAGTAAAGCTTAATCGTAAGTATTCACAAACAAGTTAAAGTAATGCTTTTAAAGGTTTCAAGTAAAAGTAACTCTTAAGGACTTCCTAAATTAGCAAGCTGTCATAGATTCCCAAGCCATCCTATAGTATTATTCTTCAATTGGTATAACTTGGTTATAATCTAGTAGAAAAAAAAAAGAACCGCGAAGGGCGGGGTAGAGCGGGACCGAAATTGGTAACTTACTATCACTTGGGAACCTATGACCATGAGAACTTATGACCGAATGCCTAGTTCAAAAATATAAAATTATTGAAAATTACAAGACTGATACTACTAGTGTGCATGAAAAAAATCAAGCTTGGGATAAAATTGCTGAGCCATTTAATACCATCGGAGATCATCCATAAGTAGTATTTTGTTATTTTATTAGTGTAATAGTTAAATTAATAATAACATTATTTCAATATGTATAAAACACTATTGATTTAATTTACTTATTATTATTTTTCAAGTAGAAAGGTACTAGATTAGGTTTGTATATTACTCTCTTTAATTAGGTTCTGTTCCCCTCACACTATTATATACACCTGTTTTTTCGTTGTTTTATCCAATCCATATTATATTACAATTTACATTATAATTTTCTATAATAACTAATACAGTGGTTTTTGAAAATCTACCAAATAAAATATCAAATAAATAATATTATGTTTATTTTATTTTATTTTTGTATACTAATTACTTACCTCAACAATCACACGAAAATCATAAAACTAGAATTTTTCTTACCTAAATCGGTTAATAAACTCAGCATCTGAAAAATGATCAGCTGGATTTTCCATTTCTCGTATGTATAACGTTTCGGAATTCGTCGACCAAGATTATTATCAACAGTAATGTACAAATCAATTGAATAACTTCCATTTTGAGTGTGTAATAGTAGTTATGAAACAATTAACGCAAACATCGTGGTCAACCTGGTCTAAACTAAATCATTTGACTTCAATTCGACCGAAGTGCTATAGTTTTTAATTATTTACACAATTACTTAACCAGTTTAAACA